TTTATCCTAGATTGACATGTTTTTTACATATTAATGCACATGTTTGTGTTTTATAAATACTTTTATCCCTGTTCTGATACCTATTATTGGAACCCGTGAGCTAAAACATTTCGCTAATATCTTTAAAACAGAGACTGAGTAGTTTCTGCATTAATTGGAGCCTGAAATTACAAACAATATCTCAAGTCCACAATATCCATTTTCCTAGGGTATGCAGATTGTTGCTCATTCCGTGCCAAAGTTGCACAACAATGCTGCTACTTCATTTCCCCATGTTGCTGAAATTTTTCCCATACAAATCAAATGTATCGTATGGAATGACGCAACAATGAATCTTCATTACATACGCGTTCCCGTAAGATACATTTGATTTTGTATGGGAAAAATTTCAGCAACATGCTGCCACACCACGAAAATGAGGGGAAAGTCTCCACAAAAACACTCTATTCTCCACGAATTGAGAGCAAATTTAGCAAACTCTCCACGAATTGAGAGCGAGTTTTGCAAACTCTCCACGAATTGAAAGCGAAAAATGCCAGTATTTTTGGTGCGCTAAATTGAGTTTGGCGGTCAATTTGAAATGTGTCTTAATATTAGGAAAAATAACTTGATGTGTTTTGTCGAGTGATTCCCCTCCTCTTCTGAATGCTTCCTTTCCTGTAAATACTATTTACTAATTTAATTCATAAATAATTTACATACATTTTTTGCTATTTTACTTCATTTAAGTAGTAATTTTTCCCCAATTATTAGGTGGGTACCATTGCACGTAAATGCAGTAGAAAAACATTCTAAGAGCTAGACTTCGTCAATCAATGTCTATGACAGAAACATAAAATATGAGACAGGTCTAAGAGATGTCGTATAGGGTATATGTATAGCTGATTGGACACATACGTTCCGTCAGGACTGAGGGATGTGGAATGCCATTTCATTTGTTTGCATATGCGAATGCGGATCGGGATCTGCTGATCTCTGATCTCACCGTCTGTAGGTGGTCCCTGCGGCATAATTTGTTTAGGATTAACACCGCCTGGTGCGCCCGGCTTTTCCATATACATATAACCGCCACAACCCTTCGCACTCCGCCGATTAAAAAGTATGGCTATAGGCCCAAGACGCTCACTGAACTAATGATCCCCCCACAGCCTGCAGGATGTGCGCCCCAGCTTGGTGCAAGATCGCGGGAAAAAACGAGCCATTAAAGTTCAGACCAAGCAGCATGAACAACACAAGCGAATTTGAATTTGAATTGCAAACAAAAATACCGAAAATACCAAAAATACCAAACTATATCATCAGTATATTAGTGGTGACACCTGTTCAATTATAACCACACATTTTTCTTCAGTGATGACACCTGGTTCAATTTTAACCACACATTTTTCTTCAGTGATGACACCTGGTTCAATTTTAACCACACATTTTTCTTCAGTGATGACACCTGGTTCAATTTTAACCACACATTATGTGGAGGACTCTGTACTCTGTGTGCGTACAAAAATATACAAGTAAGTAATGTTCAGAGAACGTCATCCACTAAGTGTATTGTCTCGTTGCGTTGCAGTGATATTCTACTACGCCCAAGACCAGACCAGACCTGCCCTGCTCCTGTATCATCCGGATTTGCCCACCAACTCTCGCAACTTGCCGCCCGACGATGTTACGTTGCCTTTTGGATAAGATAAGCCAAGTCCGTTCCCACTGTGCTCTACTTTCATGGCAATGCTGGGAACATGGGTGCCATTGCCACTGCAGAAAACCGCCTGAGAAGAGCAATGTCTGGGTCGAGCTGGGGCAGGAGCATAAAATCATTGATGTTTAAGGCTCCTTGGCAACTCGGAATACAAACAACGTGTTCTATTGACTGTGTTAGCACTGCGAATGGTTTATTACTTATACATACATCTATATACAGCCATGTGATTAATAATAAGGACACTTGGCCATGCTTCAGAAAATTCTCTATAAAATGACAATTTTCTGGAATTTTGCGGTGATCTTAATTTTTATTAGTAGATTTATGTTTGCACTCCATAAATAAAAAGTAAAAAACCCAAGTATAATGGTGAAAAAAAGAATAAAAAATTTTGTTCGGTACGTCATCGACTTTTGGCTGTGCGAAATAATAGGGACACCGAAACAAAACATGTTATATTTCGTAAAAACAGCATGTTTCTAAGAGGTGTTTGGTCTTAAACTATTGATTGTAATTAGTTTTTGTAATTTTAGATATAAAAACATCCATAAAACAAAGTTTAGATATTTGAGATGGGAAGGAACGTGCTTAGATGTACTCAGATACCCGTGGACATGAAAAAGTCCACAAAAATGGATTTTCGTACCGGAATATTTGCCGAAACATTGACGTTTTCCAAGGAAAGTAATGATAATGCAATAAAACATACTATTTAAGAGGAAACACGGGAAAAAAAATCAAAAATATTCCGAATTCTGGAGAAAAATGTGAAGAGATTCGTGAGGCAAGACCCATTTAAATAATCTGATAATTACAAAAAAAATATTCTATGGAGGCAAACCCTTCTAAAATATGAATAATACTTAAAGCTAACAATCTAAAGTCCAAGAGACCCCAAAAAGTTCCGTGTCTATTGAATAGGGATATACCAAAGATGATGATGATCGCTGCGGACCATGAACCACGGGCCTGTGAACTAATAGCGCAGCATTCTCTGGTCGAATAAGACAAAATGTAATGTTTTCTACTTTAATTGATAGCTCAGCATGTGCGAAGAACAATAAACACAAATTTGAAGAACTTAAAACTATTAAACATAAATTATGGTATGGGGGTGACATGGAGGAGGCACGCCTCACAAGTGGTTCTATACCGATGCTTTCGCCGCGCATTCTGGCGAAGGTTTCAGTTGATTGCAGAAATATTGAATACGCTTTCACAGATCTTACTCTTTCCACTCGCTTTGGACGATGGAATGGCCTTCTTTCGATTCGAAATGCCTTACGATTAATATAATAATAATATAATATATAATATATATAATATATATAATAATATATATAATATATAATATATATAATATAATATATAATATATAATAATAATAATATAATAATTAAGTAATATAATACTTAATATAAGTTATAAGTATAGTCTTAATCAGTGTACTTATACTTATACGTATATTTACGTATATAAATACGTATACTTGATATTTGAGCATTCTAAAGTATATTGTACTCACGCCTTTGCTAGTAATAATATTAATATAATAATACACTTTCGATTACGGGCAACAGCTCTTGGGATGCGCCTTACGCTTATGCGAGCGACAATGTCCTTGTCGCCGTATGCCGGTGTGCAGGATGAGATAGGAATGCAGTAATGTACAACACAACCCTTGTTCGTTTGCTTTGTTCCCAATTGGCAGTTGGGCCCGCCGCCTTCAAAAAGGTATTTTTTGTTCATTTTTTCCATTTTTTAGGTTTGGTTAACGAATTTTAGCTCCAAAGTCTCTCCATAGAAATATATATGGCCTGAAATTTACATAACTCAATTAATTTTACATAGCATAGCTATTTTTATTACATTTTAATGCAATTAGGAATAATATAGTATATAGTATAGTATGGTATGGTATGAGAACACGAAATGCTATTTTATTTACTCTGCATCTAACGTGCCGAAATATTTCTCGTATTTCTCGTACGGACGCTTGTCGACAAGCTGAAGATGATCCTCCAAAAAGGCGCGGAAATTTTGCAATTCAATAGAGTCCTCCTGTATCAGTTTCGTCTCCGCCTTGAAGCACTCTTCCAGCATTTCCTTGCTGTTCGAAGCATTTCCCTTGATGATCGACCTGGCCAGTCGCGAACGGATTTGTTTGCATATTTGGTCGCTTTCGTAGTCCATGATATTTTTGTAGGCGCTGGACGGCGTGCGGTGCGTATTGAGAGGCAGTGGAGGAACACTCTCAGTGGACAAACGTCTGCTTGTAGACGCGACTGGCTCCTTATTTTTGACAGCAGCAGAGCTTCCATCTAATCGGATAACCTTGGATAGCGGGACATGTGGGTCGTCATCATCTTGAAAAAGGGGGATCAATTTACAAAAACACCTTGCATTGTAAAATGTACTTACCAGTCAAATCGCTGCTGGAGCTGGAGACGGCCTTTCTTTTCGTTTGTTTCTTCTGAAGCTTCGCCAACTCTTCTTCCAGAATGTTTGGATTCTGCCTTAAAAATCGGCGCAACTTCTTTTTGTATCTATGGAAAGTACGAATAATTATTACATTGCACTGTAAACTTAACTTAACTTGACTTACATAGCTCGGCCTTTGGCGGCCGCTTCTATGTACGGAACCTTGCACTCTTTCGAAAGCTGATGCCATTTATCAGAAATGAATTTTAGGCGGTGTATTTTCGAAAGTTGCAGCCAGGTAGGGTCGCGTTTCAGTTCCTTCCGTCTTTCGTTTGAGAACCGCATATAGGCTTTCAATGGTGGTTTGGGGGCTCCTGGGGCAAAGATGCGGCGGCAGTGGAGTTTCTTTATTTTTTGATCTAAAAATAAAATGCAAAATAAAATATTGTTCTAATAATGTTCGGTTCGTACTTACTTAGAACGTCGTCGTCGCTGTCGGAGCTTGAGCTTGAGCTCAATTCCGATTCGGATGACTCAATTCGCTCAGGCGAGTCGTGAACGTCATGGACTCTCTGAAGATGCTTCTCCAGATGCACACCTCTTGGGTGCTTTCTTCTGTGCATAGGGTCGGGTGCTCGTCCAAACCAGACCCGTCCAGACCCGGCATGACGAGGATAAGATATTGCGTTCCCCTAAGAATGTAGATGTGTTCATCATCTTCTGCAAGTACATATTATGTACATCTCTCATGTACCAAACATTGCCTCAGGATCACAAGCGTCAGCGTGCCTGAAGCCCATGCAAGGTACCGGCACTAATTTGGGCTAGAAAAACCTGAAAAACTGAAATACAGAAAATATAATAATAGCACACAGATTTCTTTAGTTATTAGTCCTGTTTTATTTAATTATCATAATTATCTTAATACAAACATGTTTGTACATTTATAAATGTTAAGTCCAATGGGATGTTATAATCGCGAACCTAAATATATCCTGATTTGGTTAGGATTCTGCTGTTCAACAGCGTGAGATTTTATGATTTTAAATTACATATAATATATTGGGTCAACGTCAACTGGTGCTCTTCTCATAGTCTAGGGAAAGTAAGGAGGGCTCGGACATGTGTTTTGTTCCCCAAACATCTCGATAGCTTTTTTAAGCTCTGCGTTCGATTCCCCAGAGCCGACTCGCATGACCCACAAGAGCTTAATAGCCTCGTGTTTCAATTCGGGTCTGCCGTTGGTCGACGAGAGAATGGTTATCAATATCTCAGGTGGTAAGTAGAACCCTTGTGTCTGGCATAGTTCGACCATATTATCAGTATAAATGTACCAATTGGAGGTTGCTAGAAGTTGTAATATTGTTAATGTAATTTCCCTGAATTCATGCGCTTTACTGGGCATCCATAGGTACTCCATAATGCAACGCGTTGCCTGCGTTTCCAAGCCCTTACTTTTCATGGCACTGAAGACTTTACTAATAATGGAAGCACAAAAGGGCTTGTACAATCGACAAGTCATCAGCAAGTGAAACAAGTCGGTCTGCAGATTGAGTGAATCGAATACATCAACATAAACAGAAGCGAATGTAAGGAAAAGGCGCTGACTATGCATTACAATTCGGTGATATGTGAATACCAGGGTATTCTCATCCAGTCTCATCAGTTTCCGGGTAACCTCTGCGATGGCGGTGAATGTATGATTACAGCTTTGAGCGGTGCATTCATCGTCTAGATTTGCATAGCACTTGATTCCAAACAAATTCACCATCAAGTACTCACAACTAAACCATTTATTATCGCTCGCACGAGAAGAATTGTCCATCCCACCTGAAGCACGATAAGGCGGATCAAATTTCGGTTGGGATTCGGTAACATGTCGAGCGGCTAATGCCTGGGCACGTGGATTGCCCAACGACGGAGTCACTGTTGCAGCAGGCATAATCAATGTGGGGTTATCCTGTAGCTGCCTTACAATTGGAGCAGGCGCTGAATATAGCGTTGGTGCGACTGAAGCTGAAGAAGGCACTGGATATTGGTTGTGCGCTTGTGAAATCTCCTGAATCTGTCTCTCTTCCTGGTTGTTAGTTGAGTAAATTATTGGAGTACGTACTGAAGACGTTAGAGGCACCGCTAAAGAAAGAGCTGTGGGAGGAGGCACTGAATATAAGGTTTGTGCTTCTATGTTACTCTGTGCATGTCCGTTAAGCGTGTGTATTATTGGTGTGCGTACTGGAGGCACTGAATATGCGTTATGGCCGATTGTGCTCTGTTTCTGATCGTACAGCGATTGCATTATTGGGGTAGCCTCTAAAGGTAAAGCACCCGGCAATGTTGGAGGTGGCACTTCATGTTGGTCGAGCACAAACGACGCCCCATCGAAAGCTATAGATGTGGTAGGCCCTGATGATTTCCGTGGCGTTAATATCCGCTTCTGTGGCTCCGCCTGTTCCTTTTCGTTCAGTGTCTCCTCCTTGATGTACAGCGAGCGCATTATTTTCGGCTGCGACTTGAGTACCTCACTGGTAATTCGTGGTATGCGATAATTTCTTAATGAAACTGCCGTAGTCTCTGGTTTTTTCTCCACTTCATCCATGCCATCCCAAGATGTAGCCGTAACCGATAAGACATCATCGTCCCTGTCCTCTTCATAGTCAAGAACCTCCTCCTCCACGCCAGTGAGCATGAGGTCTGCCTTTTCCAAATCGACTGTGGAGGAATTAGGCAAGCGTTCAAAGAACTCCGTGGTGTTGGCCAATTCATCATCAATTTCGCTTGGCGTTTTACTGGTGAAGATCTTTAGGCAACGATCTATGTCCGGTGTTCGATCACCTTCATCATCCAATTCGAAAAGTGGTATCTCAATGTCGTCCACATTGTTCTCGTTGCTTAAATCGATTTGCTCCTCAGTCCAGCAGGTCGCCATGGTGCTGTCGGCCAACTCCGGAGCATATTCCACAAGTTCTGCTGCCTTTTCTAAATCAATGCTGTCTTGGTTCTTTTGCACGGCCCTGGGCAAATGATTAATATCAGATTGCTTTTCAGATTCCTCCAATATGTCAGTGCGTAAATCGATAGGAGTAGGACCCATTTCAATCTCAGGCATTGAACGAATACTCTCCAGATGTCGGCTAATCTGTGGCAACAAAAGAAATCTGTTAGGATGTATATATTCCAAAATACAGCGTAAAACTTTTACTGGAACATGTGTTTGCCTCCTTCTCTTAATTGGCTGCATTGGGATTGTTATGGTAGGCTCAGTCGGTGGTTTACGCTTAACTGACACTGGAGACACTTGAGACTTGGGGCTATGGTTTTCTATAGTTTCACGGTTTTTTCCGTCAGTTTTAGTGCCATTGCGGTTTAATATTTGATTCCGCCATTCAGACAAGGGCAAATCGTCAAGCGATTCTCTGAGTTCCTTACGCTGCCAGCCAGAATTCAGGGTGTCGCGACGCCTTTTTAAGATGCGAGTGCGCTGTTTATCAGAATTTGTATGCTTCAATGAACGCGATATATCTGCCTGAACCTGAACGATAACAAGTATATTTTAGTAACTACATACATATAATTTATATATTGATTATACAAGAATAAATTGTTGCATACCTTTTTAAGCTCAGGGCTGGATGTAGTAGATCCTTCGGGAGTCGTTGGCAAAATATCAGCGTCAGGAGTCGCCGGCGGTTTTTCCTCAGCTTTAACCGAGCGATCGCTAAGCTTTGATGGTCCCAATTTTTCCGCCTGTACGATATAAATGCTATATTACCCATTCAAGCATAATTCATTTTGTTTATTACTTTTTTAAGCTCAAAAGTCGGTGCTGGTGCTGGTTCTGGTTCTGGCCCGCCTCTGCAACTCGGTCTACGCTTTGATGCCAGCGATTTTGCTTCCTAAACGATATATATTATATTTATTATTCATACCAATTCAATTTATTTTGTTTCATACCTTTTCAGGGCCTTGCAGTTCCGGAAGAATCGATTTGGGTCGACGCTTCGATGGACCAGTGTTTTCCCAAACAGGCGGAATGTCTCCGTCATGAGTGGCTGCTAGTTCTGGACCGCCTCTGGAGCTGGGTATACGCTTTAATCGGCGCGGCTGGACCTCCTAAACGATATAAACTATTTATTGGAAACCTATTCAGTCATTATCTATAACATATCTTACTTTTTTTATCACTGTGTTCTCTAGAGAAGGCAGAATAGATCCGTCAGCACTGACCGAGCTATCGCTAAGCTTTGATGGTCCCAATTTGTCCACCTGTATAATATAAATATAGTATATATATTAATACCTATTAAGCATGGGGTATGAACACAATTAAAGTTCAATGATTACATATAGCGATAGTCAGATCAATGTCCATTACATAGACAAAAACATTGGAGGGGAATCTACTCCGATCAGCTCAAATTTAGGCATTCTCTCAGGCTCCCGGATCACTGCAGCGTCTTTCAAGCGGAATTACTAGCAATCAGGGAAGCACTGAACTGCCTGCAAGGACTAAAAATCTACAGAGACAGCCAAACTGTGAATTGGCCAGAGCTGGTGGCTACTTCAATTCCAAAAGAACGATTTTTGTATGCCAATGGCCACTTCATAAGTGCATCTGAATGGGATAACTGCGGACATTGCGCTAAGATTCCAGCGTTACCCCGAGGAGCCGAACCCGGCCAAAGTGTGACAAGTGTGTCTCAGTCAGACTTATGGCCGCCTCTATCTAACCTTACACCTATTTAATCTATTATCTATATTTATATCTATCTATATCTTCATCTGTCTATGTTTTTACATTTTCAGCCATTTAAATCAGTATTTATATATTTTCTTACCTTTTCGGGGTTAGGGCCGAGCAGAGGACTCGAGTTGGGTCTACGTTGAGTTGAGTTCGATGAGCCAGTGAGCTCCCGAGCAGGTTGAATAGATCCTTCACTAGTCTCTGGCGATTTTGCCACAGCTTTAATAGGCTTCTTTGTTCGCTTTTGGTCCGCCTGAATGATAGAAATGATATCTAAATTATAAATTTAGATATAAATTTAAATTTTATTTTCTTACCTTTTCAAGCTCAGTGGGTCCGTCAGGAGTCGGTGCTTGTTCTGGCCCGCCTCTGGAACTAGATCTACGCTTCAATACTATCGATTGTTTCGCCTCGCGATGAGGCGAAATAGATCCATCTGTTTCGACCGCGCCGTAGCTAGGCTTTAATGATTGTTCCGCCTGTACGATATAAATACTGTTTAAATATCAATTCAGTCAGTATTTTTAATGTTTCATACCTTTTCAGAGCCTTGGAGGTCGAATGAAAGCGTTTTGGGTTTACGCTTTGATGGGCCAATGAGCTTCTGAGTAGACTTAAAAGGTACGTCAGGAGTTGCTCTAGGTTCTATGTCAGCTTTGACTGAGTTGTGACTAGGCTTTGATGATCGCTTTTGGCCACCCTGTACCATATAAGTTATATGTTAATAGTTTTTCAATCGGTTTATTTCAGATTACTTACCTTTTCAAGGCCAGTGTGCTCCCGAGGAGGCGGAATAGGGCCGTCAGGAGTTGCTACCGGTTTAGCCTGAGCTTTGACCGCGCCTTGGCTAGTCTTTGAGGATTGCGATTGCTCCTCCTGTACGTTATAAATTATATGTTGTTATCGTTCAATCGACATCTAATTTGTTTCTAACCTTTTCAGGGCCACACAGGTCCAGAGAAAGCAAACTGGGTCTACATCTTAACGAGTCAGTGAGCTCCTCAGAAGGCGAAGTAGATCCGTCATGAGTTGATGTCGGGTTTGTCTCAAGTTTCGTTCTGCGTTTGCTCTTTAATAGCAGCGACTGCTCCCCCTGAACGATGTAAATTATATGTTAACACCTATTTAATCAGTATTTGTTATGTTTCTTGCATTTTCAAGGACAGCGTGCTCCCGAGGAACTGGCATAGATTGGTCAGGTGCTATGGACGCTTTCCTCTGTTTTTCGCGCAAAGCAGCTTCGGCCAATTGGTCTTTAGATAACTTATCCATCTTGAAAGAGATAGAGATTAATAGCAATTCAATAAATATCATTTATTTTTACTTTACAGTTTGTATGGATATATAACATGGTTTGTTCCAGCTCTGTAGAAAGTCTTCCTTTAACTTTTTCCATTCGCCCTCCGATAATCTGTCTTCACCATATTTTTTCTTCATTTGCATCCATAGTCTCTGCTTCGTCTCTTCACGCATTTTGTCAGAGTTTTAAATGCACGTGAAACTCTATTTTTTTTTTGCGCCGATCAAGTGCCGTTAGGTATGACGTCACAAAATCCAGAGCTTTCAAGGAAAAAACTCACCTCACCATGGATGATTTTGTGCTTTCGCGCACCCATGGTATATTTAGTCCGTCGGGGCTAGGGCGAGGTCCTTACGAGGCCCTTAAAAAAAGTTTGGCCGGCTTAATACTGGGGCCATACCTTGCCATGACCCAGTCGAAAGAGAGCACTCAAATCGCTCTCCGGACTCATTTCTACGTTGAAATTGTGAGCCCAAAAATACCCCAGAAATATACCGTACATATACCGCACATATACTGACAAAATGCGTTTGATATTCCTCGATTTTGATATTCCGTTTAATATTATTAGCTAGGTGGCCCTCTCAGCCCTAAACAAATAATTTTATCCGATTCCTCAATTAATTTTGTTCAGGATTGGCTAGTTTTCAGAACTCTTTTTCATTGGATTGAGAAATACTTAAAAATGAAAACAAATAGAATCTAATTAAGGCAGCTATATGAAGAACAATTATATGGATATTACAATATATTAGTTTTATTAATTTGTATGAACCATCTCCTGCTGCTGCTGCTGATAGCCAGACACATTCCTTTGCCAATCAAATATTGGGGAGCCCAGAATATGCCTGGGGAAGACCGAACCCAGTCAAAGAAGTACATTTCATTTACTTTAATTTAAACAAAACCAAACAGCTGTCTTATCAGTGTAGCGGTGCGGAATGCAGTGCACAGCTCTGGTCACACCACTGGTCGCTAAAAAAAATATGTGGCACTTTTTGCTAGCAAAAAGGTTTGGAGCTGAGTACTAGGCTTAAATAATGAATTTTTAATTAATTTCAAAAGTAGGAGCCAAATTTTAGTGGGAAACATCAATATAATATTATAATTTCCAAACGAATAAAATTAATTATTTAATAAAATCGAACATGAGAATATTCCCAACAAAATAACTATTAAAAATGGATACAGAATAATTCAGATAATAAGTTTTAGGTGAAACTATAATTTTTTAATCCAGTAAATTTAATCGCGGATATGAAATTAGATTATATTTATATATCTGAAATAATTAATAGCAACTGACCAAGAAAATATAAATGAATAAAAATAATCACGATATCTTTCCCCTAATGACCTCTGCACACTGAGCGCATCCCGGGGGAACGGTGGGAATTTTTGAAAGATGTGAAACACCGATTCATACTGAGACCATCCACCATCCATGAGAAACAGCTGATGCTCACAATTTCGTGAGGTGAAAATTTGTAAACATTTATAATTAAAATGAATATAAATAACATTTCAATGGTTGTGAATGTGATTCAGCAGCAAAACATATTCTTGCACAAGCTAATCATGTTGCTGGACATGAATAAGCGAATCTTATAGAAAATTGATTTATTTATCTCAAGAAATTATGTGTTCAGTGCTGAGGGTGCTAGATAGCTAGTAATGCTAAGCTAACCAAATACTAAATTGAAACCACAGCGATCTCTTTGGGTAAATTATCAGAAGGTTATTCCATCAGGGGATATGGAATTCCAATTTATGGAATGGCCTTTGGTTTTAACAGGATACATGCATCTGAAGCGGTAGAGTCGGTACATGTGATGGTACACAAAAGTAAAACATTATGGACAAATAATGAATAAATAGCAGTATGTACAATCAATTAAAAGGTATGCAATGTATAAACCACCACACATTCTTTACAAGAATGAATGCATGCGTGTGTCTAAAAGATTTATTGGTTTGTTGTTAGTCTGCCAAAAATACATGGAATTAAGCTAGTTAAAATTTCTACTTCTATAAAAGAAATCAAAAGTCAAAATTGTACTAATCATAAATATTTGCACAACGCACTCGGCCAATTACAATCGTTACAAAGTCGTTGTAAGTCCCGTCCGTCCCGCAGCTAAGAGCATTGTACGTCAAAAAGCTCACAGATACCTTCGTCACTTTTCAGTACAAAGTTGAAGTCATCATGTGGTGGATTCAGTTGGACAAGTGGCGGATTTTCTGTAATAAAAAAAAACATACATATCACATAATATTGGTCTGGAACCTGCATCCGATGAGTAAACTGAGAAATGGGCAAACACCAACCTAAATTGGGGTCATCGGGATAGAACCTTCTCAGCGAGTGGCCAGTCATGTAATTTTGAAAGATTATTTTTGCAGTGAGTTCGTTTTCCAGCAGCTTCATCTCCTCCTTTAGATCGGGATTGCATGAGTACGTATGCTCGTCCGTGATGACGTTGCCAGTGCTTGTGGGACCGCTGCCATCTTCGCTGGATCGGGATGAGATGGATGGAGATGGGGTATCCAAGCGCCGATAGTCAAAGAAACCATCAGCATCGTTTGGATTTGTTGTGCTCTTTCCCTGGTTTGTGACCAGCCGTATATCAATGGTGCTGCCATTGTCCAGGGAAACGCGGAGTTCGCTCTGTTTGGGGAGGGGATAAATCTAGCATTTCGACTTTGATTTACTACCTTCTGAAAAGTGGCTTACATCATTGCGCTGGATCTCCACCTCTTCGTCGTAATTGGGTATGGTAAAGACCGAGTCATCAGCATACATTTGAAGAAAATCGTCCCGCGTGAGATAGGCATATGAGAGATTTGTTGGATCCTGCATTACATATCGCAAATTGCGTTGCGCATACTCTAGCTGCTTGTCTAGGTCTTCCTCCTCCTTCTTCAGATGATTGGTGCGCTCACGAGCCACGTCGTACTCCTCTTGGTCCTTGGCATTGTTGAACCCCCCTCCGCTGTAGCAAACCAAATACAAAATAGGACAAATGGAACACCACAAACGATGGGAACACTTACCGCCAGCGTACTAGGGAACAGTGTCTGCCCTTATCAATCAGTCCAATGCCCTCTAACACATTGGTTATATCGTATATGCGTCGCTTCTGCACATCCAAGATTTTCGTGGCCTACAGTTAAACGAAAGCGATAAATAAATGTTGCCAAACAATCTGGAGACACTTACCTCTTTCAGATCAATGGACCCACCATTGGACTTCATGAGCTCCACAAATTTTCGGGTTAACAAGACGAGCGAGCCCACAGAGCGCTGCTGACCTGGCTGTGGTTGGGACGGCGATTTTAGCGACTGTTGTTGCTGCGGGTCTTGGGACATGTCCATGTGAACGCTCTCATTCTCATACACCTTTATCGTCATCGCCTCATCCATGTCCACATTGCTAGCAGCACCTTTGGCTCTGCTGTTCTTCGTCGTGAGAGCAGAGCCCGGGCCCGCGCTGTCCCTTATTCCAATACTTGCAGATTTACGCTTGTACATGGCACGCGTTCAAATGGAAGTCTTTGTTCGGTATTTGGTAGATATTAACGTGGTTGAACTGGATTTGACACGCGTTTAAACAACTTAATGATTGCCTATTTTTACGACAAATCTCACTTGAATACAAATGTTGGCGCTTGAGCAAAATTTTCCGCCATTTATTTATGTCACTTTTTTCTATTCTGACTTATAGTGCTGTATAATGACAAGCATGGGCATGACTGTACAGCTCCCAACACTAGGCACGAGTTTAACCCTAGATAGTATCGGTTAATTTTACCCCTCGACCTCTGTCGAATCTTTGACTTCCAAACTATCTATCATCTTTTTTTTATACGAAAACAATACACAATTGTTTTGTGAAACAAACTATTATGTCTTTTTTGAAGTTTTCCTAATATTTAAAATTAAATTTAAGGAGGTTTTTGCTTGTATTTTAACTTTTAATTATCCTCAAATATCCTGCAGAAAACATTTTTTTTTACAAAACTTGATGACGTTTTAAAGTTTTCTGCACACAGCAAGATATCACTGCCGACTAAAGATTTAATAAAACATATAAAGATCATTAGTGGAAAACAGATATAGCACAAACAAAAAGTGTGTTCGTGTTAACACTTCTAGGGTTAAATACAATGGAAACACTGATTCATTTAATTTTTTTATATATTTCATTTGTTTCTATAGAGTTGTTGAATCTGCATCATCTGATTTTTGTTTTTGGCTCTCCTGCAGCCGTTGCATCTGTTTTAACTGTGCATCGCGTAGTACATCAAGGATTTTCCACTTTGCCTCGAAAAAAAATTCATCTTGGATTTGCTCCAAATCAATTCGAATTACCTGTGTTGTGTAAGGTATTCAGGGGGAAATTAAATTCTGTATTAAAGTTAAAATATAATTTTCCATATTACCTCGCAAAGATTTGCAATATGCTGGGCTTTATTCGCTATTACATAGTCTGATGAAAGTTCCGCCCCAGCCTCATCTGCCTGTACAGTTTGCTCACTGCCTGAATCCATGCGATCTGGTTCCACCACCTGCTCTTCGACGGCAGCCGCCGCCTGACTGAGGAAACCAAAGTCTGGATAATCAAAGAATTTGGGCATCGGAAACTTCTTGGCTGCTTCCCATTGATCACGCAGAACGTGCACTTTTCGTTTGACGGGAACAACCGGCATATTTGTATCTATGGCCGAGGCAATGTCCTTCCAAACCTTCTCCTGGTACTCGGCACTCTTGTAGTCCGGACAACTCGGATTCCAGAGGCATTCATTCTGACGATATAGATGTATCAGCTTGGTCACCGTATCCTTCTGCGACAGTATTGTATGGAACTTGGCTCTTCCACTGAATTTCACATTGAACGCATTCAGACGCCGAGGCGAAGAAGCCGAGTCCGAATCGGAGGAGAATATGTTCACCAAGCTGTGATAATTCTTTTTGATTAATCCAATGAAGCTTGAGCTTGACATGACAACAAATTTCCACAAAATCAATTTTGAAACTGTAATCTGTCAAATCTGCACATACACATGTACAGGTTTTCTAAGTCTAGGGTTTCCAGTGGACGAATTTCTTTAAAATGGGTTTGATTTTAGCAGGTTTACGCTTTAGTCGGGCCTCGTGCATGATTAAAAGGATCTTCTTTTGTGCCTTCAAGCAATCATCTGGACGAAGCTGGCCCAGTTCTTGTCTTAGTTCATTGCAGAATTCATCCAAATCGGCATCGGTACCTTCGCACGAGCCATCATCGGCGGCAATAAAAGCATCCACATCGGGATTGCTGACTTTGTCAGAGTGTTGGAGTCCTTCAGAGTCTTCCAATGCAATAAAAGCAGGCTCTGTGAGACTGGGTTTCATGTCATAGGCAGGAGTCGGAGCCTGACTCTCAACATTCACTTTCTCCCGCAACAAGAACTGAAACTCTTCCAGAAGGTCAAAGGACGGCTTGCCACAGAGACCACCTCTCATTTTACATTCTTCAATTCGTGCAAACTCGTCCAAGGCTTGCGTGGACAAGCCATTCATAACACATTCCACTTCAGATCCCGACACGCCCGGACCAAACTGTTTCCCTATCCAGCTCCATAGTTGATTTCTTTTTCTTAGGTTAGGGTATTCGGCATGCCTTCTGTTCCACAGACACTCGTGTCCGGCGTAGAAGCGTATCATTGTGATAAGATTTCCTCTGTGAGCAAATATATTTTCCAAATGCTGTACGTGATTATTGTTTTTACTTGGGTCACGTTGTCTATGGACGTATCGTTTGGAGGGACAAAGCATTGTGTTTAATTTATGATTTTGAGTAAGAGCCAAGGAGCTGAGCTAACCAAAAATAGGAATTTAATGACTGGGCGCACTCTGATTTCATAAAATTCATAAAATAATTTGAATGCCAGGCCCGCCACGTTTTCTCAGGTCTGACGGACGTTTCACAACACTGGCATGACTTTTCCCCGTTTGTTTTGTTCTCACATTCTTCTGCCCGTGGAACAACGTGCACAAATTCTATTTAGGTAGTAATAATTAAATTAACATTTAAATAAATAAAATGCCGTCGAAAGTCAAGCCGAGGCTTTCGCGTGGTGTCCTGGACATGAAATTCATGCAACGCACCAAAGTGAAGGTTGACAAAGAAGATGACGACGAGCAGAGTCGGGCACTGTACTCGAACGAAATTAACGCGAAAATGTTGAACTCCAATTCCAACTTCATCATCGAGCCCAGCTATACCATTTGCGCTGGTCTAATCGACGGTCGTCTCAGTTTTCGTGGCATGAATCCAGACCTTGAGGTGCTAATGGAACAGGAGCTGGCCCAAAAGCTGGCTAAAGTGAAACCCGAACAGCCCAAGGAGGTGTCCGACCAGGATATGGCCAAAGCGTACTACACCAACAAGGCGCCCAGTGTCGCCAATAACATGTCCAAGAAGTTTAGCACAAAGAACGACCTCAAGCGGAAGCAAGGCTACCAAAAACAACAGAAGCCACAGTTCAAGAGACCTCGCGACGAAGACGACGATTAGGCGCAGCCTTAGTTTAATCATTGGTTCAAACTTCTTAGTTGTAACATAGTGACTTAGTCTAGTTATCTAAAATATACGAATTCAATCCGATTCCTTCACTGCCTGCAGGGCGTAACACATTTGGGTCGTGTTTATCCAGCGCCAAGTGTTGCTCCAGAAGTCGTAGGTGCTGCCATTCACCAACACGGTCTGACAGTTCACTAGGGGACGATGATGCAGACAGGACATGAGCATTGTTTAAGTGCTGTATAGCCAATTAATACTTACTCGTGTCCAATATGCGCTGAACATCCAATGGGGAAATCATCTTCTCCCAATGATGCGTGCCCTTGGGCACCAGGTTCAGTACATACTCGCTCAAGACCACTCCGGCCACCCACATGGGCAGAGTTTTGTTCAAGGTGGTGATAAAGATGGATCCCCCTGGTCTGAGGCTACGCACACACGCTTCCAGCAGGGCCACCTTGTCCTCCACGTGCTCCAGTACCTCGGATACTATGACGGCATCGTAGCGCTCGCAATTTGCTTTGGCATGCTGATCTACTGGCTCCATTTTGTACTTCACATTGCTGCACAGCTCCGGACTGAGCTCCGTTAAATGCTCACGAGCTGCGGCAATTAGCTTCTCGGCCAAATCTATGCCAGTAACCTGGGCCCCCAGGCGCGCCAGCTGTTCGGTGAGCAGGCCACCGCCACAACCGACTTCCAGCAGGCGCTGTCCCTTCAACACCTTTGTGGTATTTACGTAATGAGACTTCACATTGCCGCGCGCAACGATGCCATCGCGTATAAAGGGCACACTGTGCGGAATTTAGAACTTTGTACTCGGGCGAATATTTTCGGGAAATTGATTGCATACCGTATTTCATTTAGGGCATGCAGGGCTTCCATTGTGCCGTTCTGGTTCCACCAATCTTTATCATGATTCTCGTGATGCTGCACCTCACGTTTGGTCTCGGCATCGAGTGTTGCACTGCCGCCGCCTCCGCCGCTGCTGCTGTTGTTGCATCTAGCTAGCACATTTGCCAGTGACTGCCGCAACTTGCTGTGATACACACAAATGGAACAGAAAAATGGAAAGAAACACTTATTATTTAATTAGCTTTTTTACCTGTTCGGAAAAATCGAATTTCGCAGCATAATGTTGGTGAAACAAATAAATGTTCACGTAAACAGCTGTTTTTTTGTTTGTTTTCTCAGTGCCCAGTGTGTGCTCTGAGAGCACTGCTCTCTCAATCTCCTCTCTCTCTGTGACTTTTAGAATTGCGATTCAGGTGGTTCTTTCTTTATCATTCTTCAATGCAAACGAAAAATCATTATCACTTGCGTATTATCGATACAGATAACAGAGCGGAGTGTGGCTATTACTAATCGGCGATCATTTAGGGTTTTTTTTCCACCCGATCCGAACTTATTCAAAAAATGCCGCAGCAATATAAGCCGCTGCATAACGAGGAAGATGTGGAAAATGGGGCTGCCGATGCCACCCCAACAGGAGACAACAGACAGCAACAACAACAACAAGAGGCTGCTAATCCCCCGGCCGTGCAGTTGCTAATGGTGTCTCTGTTTTTGCTACTCTTCTTTGGCTCCTCGTTCTTCCAGCCACGGCCGCGACTGCAGCACTTGAGTGGCGGCGGCAGTAAGTATGATCAGTCCAAGTACGACTGCAAAATCCAACTGGTGGAGTCCATACCCATTGGGCTCAACTACTCCGATGGCAGTCCACGCTTCTTGAGCACCTTTGAGGCATGGCAGCAGCTGCTAGACAGCGCCAAGGAGTCCCTGGACATTGCTTCCTTTTATTGGACTCTTCGAGCCCAGGACACCCCCGGCGTGAACGACACCAGCACTCAGCAAGGCGAGGAGATCTTCAAGCGCTTCCTGAATAATAGAAACGGTGGCAGTAACACGCCCAGGCTCAACATACGCATAGCACAGAGTGAACCCTCCAGTGTGTCGCCGAATGAAGACACCAAGCTGCTGGCCAGCAATGGAGCGGCCGAAGTGGTGTCAGTGTCATTTCCCAAGTACTTTGGGGGCGGCGTCTTGCACACGAAACTTTGGATTGTAGATGAACAGCATTTCTACTTGGGCAGCGCCAACATGGACTGGCGGGCTCTGACGCAGGTGAAGGAGATGGGAATACTGGCCCAGAACTGTCCACAGCTCACCAAAGACGTGGCCAAGATATTCAAGGAATATTGGTATTTGGGAAAGAGTACGGATGCGAAAATACCAAACTGGAACTGGGATTATTCGACGAACTACAACCTCCGTTCGCCCATGATCCTAAATGTGAACAGCAACACAACGATGGAGGGATTTTTGTCCAGTTCCCCACCCCCACTTTCCGCCAACGGTCGCACCAACGATCTGGAGGCCATACTAAGCACCATTGATTCGGCCATTACGTATGTGAACATTGCTGTGATGGACTACTATCCTCTGATCATTTATGGCCAGCATCCCAAGTATTGGCCGTACATCGATGATGCCCTGCGCCGGGCAGCCGTGGAGCGGGGTGTGGCCGTAAAGCTGCTCATCTCCTGGTGGAAGCATTCCAATCCCAGTGAGAATAAATACCTCAAATCGCTGCTGGATCTCAACTCCAAAAGGGACAAAATCGATATTCAAATTGTAAGTAGAAAAATTTAAGAATTTTCTGAAACTAAACACATTTTTTTCAGCGACGTTTCATTGTGCCCACGGATGCGAGTCAAGAGAAGATACCCTTTGGTCGGGTGAATCACAACAAATACATGGTCACCGATCGAGTGGCCTACATAGGCACCTCCAATTGGTCTGGGGACTACTTCACCGACACTGCCGGCATTGGCCTGGTGCTCAGGGAAACCCACGAAACGGAGCAAACCAAGACGCTGCGCAGCGACCTAAGGAATGTGTTTGAGAGAGATTGGAATAGTCCCTATGCCCATGACTTGGAATAGATTGTTAAACCCCTACGAACCTTCTAAAAGTTGTTCAGTTTTATTCAATTGCTTTTATTATTCACTTTTTTGATTATATTTTTGTATGAAAAATAAAATAAAAAATTCGTTTCGTATAACAGAGAAAAATAAAAAAATTTAAAAATGTGAAAAATTTAAAGTATGTATACAAAAGTATTTACAAAAAAAAAAAACAGAAAAATAAGATTAATAATAGAATTCCTTCCTTCGGGGGTTGTTGCTTTTGATTTTCAATACATCAGATTTGTCGTATAGACACGCTTAATAAGGAGCTAGCTGCTCATTAAACTTACTTTAAATACTCTTCAACTTTAACATTGAACTTACGGTTAAGAGGGTAGAGGGTTTGGGGAAACAAAAGTGCATTTGTTTCAAGGAGAATCACCAGACAGGCTGAGAGGTATCCGTATCCTGGGCTGATCGCTGATCATTTGACATTGGCATTGCCGCCGCGTTTCAGGAAATTGTTGCTTGCAATGCTCTTGTCTATGGCCACACTGATGTTGGGCACGCGATTCAGCAAAGTGTTGTAAATGAGCATTAGGCAACGGGCATCGATGGCTGCCAAAGGGATAATTAATATTTCTGATTCAATAGAAGTGCTGACCGGGACTCACCTGCATACAATATCTGCTCGCGACGCAACGGACGATTGGCCCAATTCGAACATTGATTTGTCTTGTTAAGCTTCTTGCCCAGGCAAACCAGCGACAAATCGGACAAGGCATCGCCCGCTCGATTGACATTGCCAAAAGGCAGTTCAATGCCAAAGCGTTGCTTCTTCAGCTCCAGCCAAAGGCTGCGCAGATCGAGGTAATGATGCGCCAACTGCAGGCGCAATTGCAGCGGCAGCGACCGCTGCAGCACCGCCAAGTCGCTATACATGGAGAAGCCCACCTTCAGGATGTTCATGTTATTGAATACATCCGCTCCGAGGGCACGCCAGTGATTCGCTGTGATGCTCTGCCTGGCCAGGCAATCAATCAGGTAGACATTGCGCACGGTGGCAATTTGCAGCAGACAGAGCTGGCTCTCCCCGCACACATTCTGCACCCACTCCGAGTCCATGTAGATGATATGTTCGCGCTTCAAATGGCCAAGCATACGTTCGAACTGTGATGCCGTGTCCACAGTGAGAAGGCATTCGTCTGGCAGATCCATGGTCAGGTACATATCACAGCCAGTGGCCGAAGATGTGGCCCCGTTATCATTTGGGACTTGAGGCGTTTCCTCCTCGTTGATGCCGCGTGAGATCTGCGATAGAATGTCGTGCGGACAATCCTTGGGATTCAGTTTGAACTCTTTGTACCAGTAGACGGCTTCGTTGCGTGAATCCTGAGCCCCCGCCACATATCTGACAAAGTCCACCTGGAGGGCATGATCAGAGGCATGCACGCTAACCATCTCCCGAAAACTGGCCAGGTTAATGCGCGACTTCTCGTACTCTCGAAACAGATAATGCAAGTAGCCGCAGGTTTTTGTAAACTTGTAGTTGGGGGTGACGGTATCATCGAAGCCGTATTTCTTGGCCAGGCGTGCCACCATCTTCGACATGGGGCGATAGCTCAGCACATTATGTGAGATCTTCACATTCTTGTAGCGGCTGTAAGAGAAATGGAGGTTACTTGAGTGTTTTTAAGATTGTATTGGATTACAGGTTGGATTACGCACTCCAGAATGGGCTCGCAGAGCTCAAAGACGGACTTATCTTTGTGCAGCAGCGAGTCAAGAAACTTAACAAACGGCAGGCGCTGGGATGTCGCCTGGTCCAGGTACTCTTCGGCCAGCGGCAGCTTCTCCTGTGCAATCAGTGGAAACGCCAGCTCCAGCATATCAAATTCGTGTGCCACCTGCAGGCTAATGGCCCACTGGGCCACCTCCTTGTACTGGCCAGAGTCCAGCATCTCGCGCAGCTTGGGCAGCAGTAGCTGGCGTATCTGATGCAGTCTGTATGCCTCGATTATGGCCTTGTTTAGCGAGTGCACACCCGAGGTCTTGACAAAATTAAATGCTATCATGCTGGTGTTCTGATCACAATCGAGCTGTGGATAATCCTGGTGCAGTTTACACACGGTGTCCAGCACAAAGAGTGACAGGCTTTTCGGCTTTATGTTGCTGCAGTCGGGACAATTGGCGAAAATCTTCAAAGCCAGCAGCAGCGGCTCTTTGTGATCCTTCAAAGCATTGCCGAGATCCCGGCCCAGGTGGGGCGACTTGTTCTTGCTGTACATGTTCCATTTTTCGCGAAACACTGTGAAGAACTCCTGCGCTTCAGCGTCCAATGTGGCATCAAAGTTTGTTCCATTAATGCCAGCACCTGTTGTGATGTTCTCCAAGCGCTTTATTTTCAAATTTGCCATGTAATTTTCAAGTTCATCCTCGTCATCCTCGAAACCGGCGGGAATAGCATTGTACACCTTAGCCATCTTGTGGGCCATTAAATTTGGCCCAAGTTGCAATTGCAATTTTGCGAAACTTTTGCCTGCCACTCCGAGTCGCAGAGCAAAAAAAAAAACAGCGCTGCCAACTCTTTTGAAATTCCAACAACAGTATATAGATATGCTAATTTTGCAGAGCTAGATTAGTAGGTAGTAGCTAGATTTTTACTATGCGACGGCAGCTTAACGAAACGATGAGAACATATGCATGAGAGACAAAAATAATATACTCTATATTTATTTATTTACGACAAACTAAACGGTGTGGTTTAATGATTGTTTTTGAACCTGCTATGAGCAATAAATCGGAAAAGCACAATAAATGGTGTTAAGATGAACGAAGAAGATAGTTAATGACAAATAATTTCAGATCGAAAAAGCCATAGCTAAAAATAGATTTGCCAAGTTTGTTTTAACTCTTTGGGAAATGATGGCAGCGCTCTTTTAGTATTTTGGTATTTATGGTACTTTTCAGCGGTGTGGCAGCTCCAAATAGGCGGCACACGTGCATTTTGTTTTAGTTTTGCTCTAAAAAAATGAAGGTGGCAGCGAAGAAAGTTAAATCCTTGGGCAAACTCAAGGCTGGCATCAATAAAAAACAGCCCAAACAGGAGGCCAACAGAAAGACGGTTGCGAAAAAATCAGAAAAGCTGAAAGATGAGAAGGAGATCACAAGGAAACCCAAGCAGAAGGCGGTGGTGGTTTCCAAAAATGTGAAGCCCCCAAAGAAGGCGTCAAAGAAATCACACAAAGAGGACCTGGAGGGTCTCAAGCAGATAGATCCAGAGTTTTACGAGTTTCTCAAGACAAATGACAAGAAGCTGCTGGATTTCAATTTAATGGACAGTGATGAGGAGGACGAGGACGAAGGTGAGAAAGAATCGGCGGCGCAGAAGGACGCCGATAGTGACAGTGGCGACGACGAGGAGAACGAAGAGAAGTACCACAAGCCCAGTGACGATCTAGCTGTGGCCAGCGATGAGAGTGATTTTGAGGAGGAGGGCGATGGCGAGGATGAATCCGCTGCTACCGGTGGGACTCAAAAGGTCACCCTAAACTTGTTGCGTCAGTGGGAACAGCAGCTAGGCCAGGCCAACGTATCCATTGACATTGTGCGTAAAGTGATTCAGGCCTTCAACTCGGCCCTGGCCAGCATCTCCGCCGATGGGGCGGACGGTGGCGAGAACCAGCCAAATGCTGCCGCCTTTAAAGTCGTCGGAGCCGCCTCCTTCAATGGCGTCATCCAGCTGTGCGTGCTCCACCTGCAGCCGGCCATTATCCGAGTGCTGGGCGTGAGGCCCAACAGCAGCCTGCCGCTGCACAAGCACAAAAAGTGGGTCAAGGTGCGTGGCTGCCTCCGCTACTACCTCACCGATCTGATACGCCTCGTGGAGCAAGTATCGAGCGCTAATATACTGGGCGTTCTGCTCAAGCATCTGCATCAGATGGCTGGCATGGTTGCTCCCTTCACGGCCCTGGGCAAGACCATACTGAAGCGTTTGATTGTGCTTTGGGCGACGGGCGATGAAACCGTTCGCGTGCTGGCCTTTCTCTGCATCCTGAAGATAACAAGGAACCAGCAGGTAATAACCTACTTCCCTGCCTTATTCTAGAAGCTAATAATCTCTCTCTTGATCAGGGCACAATGCTGAACCATGTCCTGAAGGCCATGTACCTTGCCTATGTGCGCAACTCCAAGTTTGTCTCCCCAACACATTGCCGGGCATCAACTTTATGCGCCGCTCGCTCGTGGAGATGTTCGCCTTGGACTTGAACGTGAGCTATCAGCATGCGTTCCTTTACATCCGCCAGCTGGCCATTCACCTGCGCAATGCGGTGATCTTGAAGAAAAAGGACAGCTTCCAGGCCGTCTACAACTGGCAGTTCATTAACTCGCTTCGCCTGTGGGCAGATCTGCTGGGCGCCAGCACAAACAAGCCGCAGCTGCAGCCTCTGGTCTATCCATTGGTCACCATTGCCACGGGCGTGATCCGCTTGATACCGACGGCCCAGTACTTCCCGTTGCGCTTCCACTGCCTGCAAACGCTGATTTCGCTGGCAAAGGAGACGCAGACTTATGTGCCGGTGCTGCCGCTGATTGTGGAGGTGCTGCGGAGCAACACCTTCAATCGCAAACACTCGGCGGTGTCCATGAAGCCGCTGCAGTTCACATGCGTCCTCAGGCTGAACAAGGGTCAGCTGGCGGAGAATGGATTCCGCGATGAGGTCATCGAGCAGGTGTGTGCCTTGCTGCTGGAATATCTCGCTCACGAGTCGGCTTCGCTGGCCTTCAGCGACTTGGTCGTGCCGGCCGTGATGGCAATTAAGGCCTATCTCAAGGAGTGCCGCAATTCCAATTACACACGTAAGCTGAAGCAATTGCTGGACAAGATCCAGGAGAGCAGCAAGTTCATTGAGCAACAGCGCAGCAAGAGCACCGTCACCTTTGACCTTAAGGATGCTCAGGCGGTGGCAGCCTGGGAGCAACAGCTACGAACCAAGCGCACACCCCTGGACATCTACTATGCTAGCTGGCTGAAGACACACGAGACAAAGAAACGACGCCAGGCGGCCCAAACGGACGACATCAATTCCGACTACGCTGTGCCGAAGCTGAAGCGACCGGCGCCCAAGACGGGAGTGCCCGTGCGCAACGAAAACGGCGAACTGGAGCTGTTCCCCTCAGACTCCGAGGATGATGAGGGCGGTCCGCACATCCCAATGGATGACGAAGATGATGACGACGAATCTGATGTTGAGCAGCCCAAGCAGAAGAAGGTTAAGGTGGCCAAGCCAGAGAAGAAGACCCAAAAGGCTGCCATTCCAGAGCCAACGGAGGAGGCAGCTGTCGATGATTATGACGAGACCGGGGCGGCTGTGGACATAGTTAAGGACTTGGATTTGAATGATTGGTAGAAGAACACTAAGCTACATAATTAATATATTTACACATTACAAATTCATTTAAAATATCCCTACTTCTTTTCTGGCGGATCTCGTTCCCGGTATGAACTCGTAATCTTTGTATTTGGGAAATGTGCCGATGGTTGGGCCCTCCACTTGCTTGGGCATGGCCTTGTCATCCTTATCCTTTGCATAGGTGGCCTCCAGCTCGGCAGCATTTCGCTTTTTCATGTCCATAATTTGGAGATTTTTCACCAGCTCCTCACGGGTTGGTGGCTCCTCACGACGTCCCCTTAGCCAGGCCTCCCACTCGGCGGTTAGTTCTTGATCGAAGGCATCCTTTTCTGCCGGCTCGAACCAACGTGAGGATTTGCGCTTGCCAATGGACGGGTTTGCCGGGATCTCAAAGTATTTGTTGCCGAAATAATCTTCGCCAATGTAGTTGCCGCGTAACTGGCGCGGTCGCAATGATTTCCAAAAGTTTTTGAAAATAATTCCAAAAATATCACGCGTCGGTTTCTGGGCCATGCTTCTGGATTTTTTTGTTTTTATTCAAATTTGTAGTGAAATTAAATTGAGATTTGGGTAAATGAATTGAGGTTAGGTCTGACTTTTATTATGACATTAACAGCTGACGGGCTGGGTAGTGCTGCAAAGTGCCAGAGGTATGTACGTACGCATAGCCACTTACCATACATATGTACATTATATTCATAGATGTGTCAGTTTATACAAGAGAAATGTCGTGAGTTTGGAGGACTTTCCCAGGTCTTCGGCTCTGGTGTCGGCTCAGCTCATGATATAAATCTGACGCCACAAAGCTCATCAATAGCCGAGTCTGTGTCTGTCTGTCCGTCTCGTTTTGTTCTCAGAGACTATAAGAGCTAGAGCAACCCAATCTTGTTTCCAGACTAATGTGATATCACACTGAATCAAGTTGTTTCAAAATTTTGTCGCGCCCCCTTCCACGGAAAACACATTAACGTACAGAATGACCAATTCTATCAGATTGCCGATGGTTTAGGTCGGATCATTATTACATACAGAATAAAGAAATTATCACTTTGCCTCGGGCAGTGTGCTTGGTTATTCACAATTATCTGTCTGTCCCACAGAGCGCAAGGCAGTTCATGTTACTGTTCCTGATACTGACTTTATTTAACAAACTTAAACTATATTTATAGGTAACAAAAGGTACAGAAAGTGCCGAGTCTATAAGAATAGGGTAAAATGGAATGGGAATTCAATTAATGTGGAATTAATATATTATTGTGCAGTTGGGCTGAGGAGCGAACGCATCCTTAAAAGAAATCGCTGCAGAAGGGGTTATTGTTGTCTCAGCTATAGTGCAGTGTCGTGTGTTATGAGGTTTTCCGTTAAGTGGGTCAACTTTATTTATTCGATACGTGTGTACTTCGTAATCTAACTTATGCATAATTCTGCGACTGAACACGAGGTTTTCTAGGAACGTTGCTTCAGGGTTAAGCGAGGGCTAGGCGTATTTAAATTCGAAAATTGTGCTTCAGTGGCAGCGAAAACGGACTAAACCAATCGCGATGGAAAACAGCTAGCAAATCTTTCCGAATACTGTTGTTATTGTAGTCCATGTCATGCAGGATTAGTCCAACGCCAGCCGAGTAAATGAAATGCTCTCCCGACCAGCTGGAGCTGCCAATATAAGCGACATCCTCTGTGACCATGTAAGAATTATGATTGACACGCCCGTGGGAGATCTTCTCGTGTTCTTCTGTGGTAGGCACCACAAAGCGGCGCTGCAAAACGGTAGGAATTATTATGTGCACCTATCATTGTGAGTGCTCACTTACAACTTCTATGTCGACTTCTTCTCTCAGCTGGGAAAGGGCTTGCAGCGACCGCAGAAAGTGATCTTCGCTGGGATCGGAATACTTCCACCAGGATATGAGTAGTTTGATGGCCACTCCCCTCTCCACGGCTGCCTTTCGCAAAGCGTTATCTATATGCGGCCAATATTCCAGCTTTCCTTGGTGCCTCAATAGCGGAAAATAATCCACCAAAGCAATGCACACGAGCTCGGTGGCCTTTTCGATGGCATCCAGGATGACATCTAGTTCATTGGCACGCCCTGTGGCCGCCAGCGAAGGCGGTGAGGTGGAGACGTAGGCGTGGATGGTGTAATTCATGTTTACATTTAGCAGCAGTGGTCGTCGCTGATTGATGTGCGTGTGATAGAGCCAGGGCCAGTAGTTGGGGACATCGTTGCCGCCCAAGTACCAATATGCCTTGAATATCTTGGCCAGATCACGCGTTAGATGGGGACAGTTTTGGCCCAGGACACCCATTTCCTTGCGCTGGCTCAGCGAACGCCAGTCCATGTTGGCGCTGCCCAGGTAGAAGTGCTGTCCATCCACAATCCAGAGATTCGCGCGCAGCCGCTCAACTGCAACCACTTCGGCAGCACCGTAGTTGGATAAGATCCTAGCGTCCGCATGCCAAACGCTCTCCTGGCTACGGTTCAGGGCGATTCGTATGCGTAGCTTTGGCCTGCCCGCGTCACCGTTGGCGAGTAGACGATGAAAGAGCCGATCCCCATGCTGCGTGCTGCTGCTGTCATTGACACCGACGCCGCGCAGTGTCCAGTAGGGTGCGGCAATGTCCAGAGACTCCTTGGCGCTGTCTAGTAGCTGCTGCCAGCCCTCAAACGTGCTCATCCACCGGGGGTGGTTACCGCTGCTGTAGTTAAAGCCTATAGGCAGGGTCTCCACCAGCTGGAGTTGGCATGGAAACGCGGCCTCAACGGGGACAGGGGTGTTTGCGTTTGCCCCCTCGTTGCGGTGGAACGTCTCCCAAGGCAACAGCAGCACTATCAGCACAAGCACGAACAGTATAAAACGGGTATGATGTACCCATGGCCACAGCAGCACAATTTTCGCTCATCTCTCGCCGCAATAGTTGCAGTTGGGTCGCCTGCAGCAGGAGGTGGTTGCAATGTGATCTGCTTGAGTGGCCACTGGCGTGTAATCCACGGGTATTTCCTGCACCCCACGACGCTCTGACATGGCGCTCGGCCCTGGCTGACTCTGACTGCGCTTTACCAAACATGTTTCCCAGTGTTTTACTTATTTATTATTCGCACAGGTGCTACAAATGGCCCGCCTACGCAAACAAACGGCCTAGTGCTGGGTAGCGCAAGCGAGCGCTTATCAGCGCACGCCCTCGCACACTGGCGGGAACCCACCAGTGCTGCCAATATTTTTGAGTTAAATAAAGCTTGAATGAAAAAAATAGTCGAACATTTTTCGACATCAACAATTTCATTATCATTCATTCATTGTTCTGTTGCGCTCTCGTTAAACGTTTTGGAACATATAATAATCAAATGATCTGCAGATTCCATTGCAGTATGTTGACCATCAAATAGGCAAATAGATACTTCTGTTCAGAAGTTTTTGTGGCCCCCCTACAAAAGTTTAGTTGTGAAATAGCTGCAAAAAACGCAAGATTTATCCAACACATCTATGCGGAGCCAGTAGGTGAATACCGGGCTTGGCTTTCAAACCACACTTCACAAACATTTTCTTAATATTAATATTAATATTAATATCTTCCACCACTATCTTTGTTCGCGATTTTGTAAGGTTTATAAACATAGAGATGGAAGTGCCGAACAGGGTTGCATTCTTGCTGATAAGCCATAAACACTATCGCAAAATGATACCCAAAGTGCCAGCTTTATTAAAAAAATTCCCGTTTATTCAATTTTTTTCCGCCATTTGATAAAAAAAAAGCTAGAGCAGCGGGAAACAAGCTGGCCTGGCAACACTGGAACCCACGGCAGCAGCGCCACCAAGCAGCGGTTCTCTGTGTGTTAAAATCTTCCGGCTGAGAGGGCTGAAAATTTTGATATACGGCTGGGCCTGAACTTGAATTTTTGTGCTGTAATCAAATCCCGACGTGTGCTCTGCGTACTTGCATATTAACCAAATAAACGCGAAATAATGGCTGCGAGACTAATGAGTGCCCAGGCACAGGTACGTTGATGGCGGCGCGTCTTATGCCTGTCCTGCCTCTCGTGTGCTGTGCGAATTCCCAGTAAAAATCGAAACCTACTAACCCCCAATCAAACTTGATAAAGACTGGAGGAACAGTGCAATTAATTATTTGTATACTCGTAAAATCATGCGTATTCATGTGCAGGATCTTCAGGATGAGGAGGAAGTGGCCAATAATTTGACACAGTTCTTTTCTAACCTAAAAACGAAATCAAAAGTTGTTACCTAACACCGAGAGTACATTGTGATTGTGATTCCATCCCTCCCTTGCTTCCCTTCCCTTCTGACAGACGTCTGCAAACGCATCTTGGATGGAAAAGACTAGACCATGGGATGGCATCAGTGGGGGCGGTGCATTTCAATTAACATCATTTTGGATCTATTATAATTTGCATTTACATAACAGCTGCGCTGCCCTCGTTATTTAACCAGGAGATTCGCTAGCATATATCTTGCGTCCGGTCGGGGTCCGTCTTATCTCTGACAGGTTTACTTACATTCAAGATAGTGCAACTAAATATAGCTACAATTAACTGTTTCTTAACAATTCTATCACGCGCTCGTCCATGGAGTACATACATTGCACACCCATGTACTTGTTTTTGCAGAGGCTTCACTGTACTTGTACTGTCTGTGCCTTGCCAACAAGTTAATGACCCTATTTGCCGACGTAATTGCATTCCAATTTCGATTTTGTTTGGCTTTGTTTCGTTTCTAGAATGTTGCAACAATGTAGAAGTTAATCGGGTGATATTGTCTTTTATATGTGATAGTAAATACATATATGTAAATGGTTTATCATTCTGATAAATATACATTTTTGTAAAGTGCATTATTCGTGGCTATGTAGACAGTTCATTGATCTGAATAATTTTGCACAATATATGTATTACTACTCCGTGACTCTTATACAAATTTATGTACATATTATATAGATATATCTGGAATATACTATCAGCTGTCCACGTAATGATCAGTAAACAAGTCTTAATGGCGTCCGAAAATTGTTATAGGTTTTGGTTTTTTTTGTTGTTGTTGTTGGACTGATTCCAACATCTGAAAACCTGCCCACTACTTAAATCATTTGAAAAAAAGTCTATACTGTATATAGTAAATGAAACCCTTATCTAGCATCGAAATATCTGCACATCTAATAACAGCTCCTAATTACGATTTGTACATTTCGTTGATAAGGCGGCTTCATTCAAATTAATGTTGAGAGGGCCCGTGACATGTTAATCAAGTGTTTATTACGCTCTAAACGAATCAATCAAATAAGACACGAGTACAGTGTGTACCCTAACAAAAAGATTTGATAATAAACCCCAAGTAAAGAGATCAGATGTATCGGGGCTGTACTGTCCATCCCCAGACTGTTGACTTTCATGAGAATACATACACATGTGCTAATTAAATGATCTTGATCTGGTTTTTCAGGTGTGTAGGCTGGGCAAAAATGTTGTCAGCGAAGCAGCGATGGTACGTCAGTTCCATGCCTCCTGCTACTCGGCCTCGAAGGTGGCCCTGTCCAAGTTCGACTCGGACGTCTTTCTGCCCTACGAGAAGCTGAACAAGCGACTAGATGTGGTGCGCAGTCGCCTCAACCGCCCGCTGACGCTGTCGGAAAAGGTTCTGTACTCGCATTTGGATGATCCCGCCAATCAGGATATTGAGCGTGGCACCTCGTATCTGCGTCTGCGTCCTGATCGCGTGGCCATGCAGGATGCCACCGCCCAGATGGCTCTGCTGCAGTTCATCTCGTCCGGCCTAAAGCGTGTTGCTGTCCCCTCGACGGTGCATTGCGATCACTTGATCGAAGCGCAGGTCGGTGGCGTTAAGGATTTGGCCCGTGCCAAGGATCTGAATCGCGAGGTCTACGATTTCCTGGCGTCCACCTGCGCCAAGTATGGCCTGGGCTTCTGGAAGCCAGGCAGCGGCATCATCCATCAGATCATTCTGGAGAACTATGCCTTCCCCGGCCTGCTCATGATCGGCACTGACTCCCACACCCCCAATGGCGGTGGTCTGGGTGGCCTCTGCATCGGTGTGGGCGGCGCCGATGCCGTCGATGTGATGGCCGACATTCCCTGGGAGCTCAAGTGCCCCAAGGTGATTGGTGTCAATCTGACAGGCAAGATCAGTGGCTGGACCTCCCCTAAGGATGTGATCCTAAAGGTGGCCGACATTCTGACCGTCAAGGGCGGCACTGGCGCCATCATTGAGTACCACGGCAAGGGCGTTGACTCCATCTCCTGCACGGGCATGGCCACCATCTGCAACATGGGTGCTGAGATCGGTGCAACCACCTCGCTCTTCCCCTTCAACACACGCATGGCCGATTATCTGAAGAGCACCGGACGTGGTGGCATTTCCGCCGAGGCCCAAAAGTTCCAGTCGAAACTCCTGTCGGCCGACAAGAACTGCGAATACGATCAGTTAATCGAGCTCAATCTTGACACCCTGGAGCCGCATGTGAATGGTCCGTTCACCCCCGATCTGGGCCATCCCATTAGCAAGCTCGCGGAGAACTCCAAGAAGAACGGCTACCCCATGGACATTCGCGTGGGTCTGATTGGCTCCTGCACGAACTCCTCGTACGAGGATATGGGCCGTTGTGCCAGCATTGCCAAGGATGCCATGGCCCATGGCATCAAGTCGAAGATCCCTTTCAATGTGACCCCCGGCTCAGAGCAGATCCGTGCCACCATTGAACGTGATGGCATCTCGGAGGTGTTTGACAAGTTCGGCGGCACTGTGCTGGCCAACGCCTGTGGGCCCTGCATTGGCCAGTGGGACCGTCAGGATGTAAAGAAGGGCGACAAGAACACCATTGTGACGTCGTACAACCGTAACTTTACCGGACGCAACGATGCCAATCCGGCCACACATTGCTTTGTGACCAGTCCCGAGTTGGTCACCGCCCTGTCGATTGCCGGCCGTCTGGACTTTAACCCGTTGACGGATGAGCTTACCGGCTCGGATGGCAAGAAGTTCAAGCTGAAGGCCCCGTTCGGTGATGAGCTGCCCGCCCAGGGCTTCGATCCCGGTCAGGATACCTACACCGCTCCCCCAAAAGTGAGTATACGTGATTTTATGTTTCCTTTTGGATTCTACTTACACATTCACTTGTTTTCTCACACAGGTTGGCGACACCGTTGCGGTTGCTGTGGATCCCAAGTCGTCGCGCCTGCAGCTGCTGGAGCCCTTCGACAAGTGGAACGGCAAGGATCTGACCGATTTGACTGTGCTGATTAAGGTCAAGGGAAAGTGCACCACTGATCACATCTCGGCGGCTGGTCCCTGGCTAAAGTATCGCGGCCATTTGGACAACATCTCGAACAACATGTTCATTGGAGCCACCAACTCTGAGAATAACGAGATGAACAACATCAAGAACCAGCGCAATGGCTCCTGGGGCGGTGTACCCGATGTTGCACGCGACTACAAGGCCAACAATGTCAAGTGGGTGGCCGTCGGTGATGAGAACTACGGCGAGGGCTCGTCCCGCGAGCATGCCGCTCTCGAACCCCGTCATCTGGGTGGCCGTGCCATCATTGTCAAGTCGTTTGCCCGTATCCACGAGACCAACCTGAAGAAGCAGGGTCTCCTGCCCCTGACCTTCGCCAATCCCGCTGATTACGATAAGGTAAGACCGGGACCCCATTTAATGTGTCCGAAATAATTGAGAGTTTTTTCTTTTAATAGATCCAACCTACGAGCAAGATTTCTCTACTCAATTTGAACGGTTTGGCGCCTGGCAAGCCCGTGGAGTGCGAGATCAAGAACGGCGACAAGGTCGATAAGATCAAGCTGAATCACACATTGAATGACCTGCAGATTGGATGGTTCAAGGCTGGCAGCGCTCTCAACCGCATGAAGGAGCTGGCCGCCCAATAAATGGCGCAACTTGAACTTACTTAAGATCCCCAGCCCCCGTATCTAAAACGATTCTATATACCCGATCCTATCAGAGCCCAGATAGGTGTAGACACACACTCAGACGACACAAAACGCAAGCAATCAAGTTTATGGTATTGTTATTCAATTTTTTTCAAATTGTTTATAGATTTTTTGTGCTATTTTTTAAAAAGTGAATGGAATATGTTATTGATCACGAACCGAGCGAGAATTGGAGAGAGTTTTATATACATGCATACATAATTATAATTATACAAACATATATTATTATTATTATTATTTTGTAATTCTTGCTTTGTAATGTTTCCTTCGATATCGATTTTGATTATGTTTTGTGAACTTGTCTGAGCAGATCTGCAGATTGCGACGACTATGAAGACAATGAAGTGCGAATAAAACTTAAAGTAAATCTACGTATTAAACTGAATCTTTTATTTTAGCCCGAAATCGGACAATAAACCCAACCTAAAAGCATGAGGATATATGTATATTTGTGGGGGGGGTTATCCGAGTTCTTAACGAATTTTTATATCCTCAGGCCTAAACTAATTTTATCAATTATAAGTACCCGACAGTTAATATTATTATAAATTATGGGGAAAAAACAGAATATCAAGTACTGATCGAGTTTCAATGCTTTTCTGGAGTTTCGGATTTCAGGGAGTTCACCACTAAAAAAAAAACTAAATGCCAATAAAAAAACCATTTCCAATATAATTTTGTCTCAATATGAAGAGTTTTTACATTTAATAATTTGGTATTGTTCAATCCGCACGATCGATGTTTTCATCGAATTTTTTTACTAAAATTTTGACCAAGAAAATTGCCAAAATCATTTAAAATGTTACGTTTTCATTATATTTTTCAAATGTCTACCATTTTAAGAATCGGGAGAATTGGAGATCCAAAAATGTATAATGAATTATAGATTTTTTTATACTGTTAAGATTTTTTAAAACTGTTTGTTAAACCTGTTTATTTACATTAAAAACAGTAAAATATAAATATATTGGAATATAAATACATAATCTTTAATTAAGCGTCTTTAAAGGTATAGAATTTAATAGATTTTAAATAATAAATTAAAATTTAAAAATTTTGTGTGATTTTGTTTCACTTTACAATTTTTTGAATTGTGCATGTTTGACATAATGTCAAATTATGTTCTATATAGATTTTATTTGGTTGTTTTTTTTTTGGTTTTTTTTTTTAACAAAAGTCAAAATTCTCAACCGGAAAGATGAATTGCAAGCGACATGGTGGTGCCACGAGGAGTCGCACCCGCATTCCTCCCGAGCCATCCGCCTCAACGATAAGTGGGGAAATGCCAGAGTTCACGCGTCGAATGAAGAAATATCTCAAGTTGATTGATCTGTACAAAGGCCATGAATGCCTGTGGCATCAATGTAATAGCGATTTTTTCAATTTTTCCCTGAAGGAGAAGGTCTGGCAGGAGATTGCGAGAAAGATGAAGAAAAACTCAGAGAGCGAGCGCTGGAAATTCTTGATCTACAAGCTTCGCTATAATGTCGAACTGGAGCGCATACATCAGCAGGAGGCCAAGTTCCAGCCGGACATTGATCTGGATCCCCCACTGGAATATTCGCAAAAGTTTCAGTTCTTAAATCATATGTTTGACAGAAAGTGGGGTAAATCTCCTTTACCCACTGAGACTGTAAGTTGGCAGAGTTTTTTCTCGGTAATTGGTTCAGTCAGAATCTTCTTCCCTCCTTAGACCAATTCACATAGATCGGCATGCTTTTTGCTGTTGGATTCTGTTAGAAAGAATTGCAGCAAAGTGACATCGTATGCGAGCAAGCTAAAGGATCTGGAAAACCTAAGGAACAATAAGTGCAGCAAGCTGAGCCTTACGCCCGAGGCCTTTCATAGGATACTAGTGGCCACAAGTGGCTCGATGCCACAGTTTGATAAAGACTGCTTAGAGAAAAGGGAACTGACAACCTACCCATAGGAAAAGTGAATACTCAAAAGACTAGAATGCCAACAGAATCATGAAATAGTTGTATAAACGCTTGTAAGTGTTAACAACAGGAATGAACAAAGCCATCTTAAAGATAGAGACTTGCCAGCGTATCCATAGAACCAAGACATGGCACAGACATCGCTATAATTACCGACCACAGCAACTATGATGATGGTGATGAGATTTCTTGATAACTTCATAGAGCATTGAAGTATAACTTTTACAATTATGAAGATGAGAAGAAGCTGATTTCCGGTTTGGAAGATAGTTTTGGACGGGATCTTAAAACATTATTAATTAGAAAGTTGAAATTATTAAAGATTGTAGAGGCTTAGGGCTTTTCAATAGATTTTAAAAATATATTTCCGACACCACCGATCATTTAACTGAAGAAGATTTTTCAATATTTTTGTAATGTACAAAATTTTCCCAAAGTGTATTTGAGGCGTACGCTCCTATATTGCCATGAAATATAACAAGCGCTTGTAAAACGTTTCGGCAAGAGCAGACTGCTAACAAGAGACGAGAAATTCCAGCCCTCCATAGAACTAGAAGAAGAGATAGAAGAGCCAAATCATGATAAAATACTCAATGCTTGTAAATCGCTTGTTCGTTTTATTACATTTTTTCTTGTATCATCGTAATCGGGTTTTGTTTCTTTTATTTTTGCCATTCTTTAAATATAGACGTTTTTATAACAATTCATAATTTTAGCTTATAATATAATATTTCTTGTTTTTATATATTCTTACAATTTGTATTTCTTTTTCTGTTTTGCAAACACATGCCTTTCTTTTGCCCGGGAAAACACTTTCCTCTTACAACTTTTCAGAACTGGGACATTTTTTTTTTGTATTTATTTAATATCTGTACGAAGATATATATATCATCATCTCTATATATATATCATATATTTCTTTATGTATATAACTAAAAATGCGTAAATTAATTGTTTGTTTTACTTTGTTTTTTTTTTTTAGGGAGGGGTTACGGGGTGTAGGCATTTCCTTTTCATAAAAGGAAGAAAACATGCAAATGTACATAATTAGTATTTTTTAGGGGGGTGGGTAGGGCAAACAGTTTGCCTTTCCTTTTTTGCTTAATTGCGCATCAATTACAAACATTTATCGATATTAAGAACCTGATTTGTTGTTGTTTCAAAAGCGGGCGCTATCTATAGTTGTATTTACGCTTCAGTTACTCTCTCCGCTCGTTTCTCGTTTCAATCTCTTAAAGGCAGCTCTCTATCGGGGGAGGGTCAGGTTCAGGATCGTTATCGGGATCAGCTATCAAGCGTCGCTTTGCATCGGGCGGCAAGACTGGATCGTTCGATCGATCCTTCGCTTTTGTCCTACTCTGAAGCTCCCGCATAGTACGATTGCTGCTGCTGTTCGGTTTTATTGTTTCCTCTATTTCTATGAAATGGCTGTTGAAAGATTTGGTTTGAGCGCATCATTCCCACTCAGTGGTACCCGGCGGCTTGGCGGTCAAGTCATAGAGTACCCGCGAGATTCCATCCAGCTTGGTTATGTCGCGCACCATTTGATTAAGGACCTGTCAAGCAACGATAATAGAGATCAATCCTGCATTGCAGATCAACAGATTCCACACATACTTGCAAAGGCAGTTGCACTGATCCAGGCACAGCCGGCACTCCAGTCATAAAGTCGTTCGTTATGAATGGACGCAGCACCACCGATCTTCTGCAGGAGGGCGTCCTATTGATGGGATCCCGATCAAAGTGCACGGGTATCAGAACGACTGGCATCTGTGAGATTTTCCTGTACAATCCAGCTTGCATGATAATCTAAAAATGGGTTACAAAACGCCGATTAGGATTATGGGGCACTCTTATAGGGATTATGAATTCTTGTACCTCATTTGCAATGGCATCGGCTTGCCGGAGCTGCGACAACACCACCGTATTGAGGGTTGTGTGCGTTATGTCTGTGACCAGATACTGGACGGGCTCCCCAAAGATATAGCATACCCGATTCACATTGTGCAGAATGCGCGGTATGATCTTGGCCAGAAAGAGCAGATCCATCCAGTTGGGCTCCTGACTCGTGGACAGACCCACCACATAGCTGTAGCTACGCTTGTCGCCTTGAACACCCACCGACCGTATGGGCAACAGGGTAGCTTGAATCGTGGAGTTGGCAGAGATGCGCAACAGCTCCTTTTGTTCGGCCTCACTGGTGGCGCCCGTCACTCGATTGATGAGCGCATGATTCTTCTGCAGTTTGTTCTTATAGTCCACAATAACACGCACAATTACCTATAAAGAAGGTTCTTTAAATATTATGACTGATGGACGATTGAGCATCTAGTACTTGCCTGAGTCTCTGAATAGTCCTTTTCCATATAGGCCTCCTCGGCGCACAGCACACGGATGGCCAGACCGGGACCTGGGAAGGGTTGACGCTCGACTAGCTCTGGGGGCAGACCCAGATCATTGCCCAAATCTCGTACTTCATCCTTGTGAAAGTCACACAATGGCTCCACAACGCGTCCCGCATTGCGCAGTTCTCTGCAAACAAACAAAAATAAAGGTTTCCCATTAGATGTTTGCCTTAAAGATCAGATTAACGGATGTCTAACCTAATCAGATCCGTGTCATTGTGATGCGTTTTGATTGTTTCGGCATTCGTGCTGACCATATTCGATGCGGACTCAATTAGATCTGGCCTTAGGGTGCCCTGGGCGAGCATAACTTCTTCGGGTTTGAGTTTCAGAAAGGCCACAACATCGTTGGTCACCTTTACGAATATATCACCAATTATCTTGCGCTTCTCCTCGGGGTTGTAGGTCTGACAGAGCATGGGCGTCTCAACGACCGAATATTGGCCGGGTCGCTTCACTTGCGTGGTGCCCTTGAGGAACGTATAGATTTCCTTTCGTACAATCAAATCGATGCCAATTTCGCGCAACGAACGTTCCACCTTTTCACTTTCGTTCTTGCGCATGAAACCTGTAAGAGTATACATTTACCATTGAATTTATCTTTTAAATGAATGATTATGCATACCATTATCCACATGCACGGCAATTATCTGATGAGGATAGAGGGCACGTCGCAACAAGGCTGCACAAACACTTGAATCCACTCCGCCACTGACCAAGAGCTGCAAATAGCAAAGATATTTCAATGTGGGATTAACAAATGATTCGTTAAGGAATCCTTCCTTATGTTCAACCTACCAAGACTTTATTACTGCCAACTTTCTCTCGTATGTAGCGTATGCACTCCTCCTTCCTGCTGCCCATTGTGAAGTTTGGTGTTAGTTCGCAGATTTCATAGAGGAAATTTGATAGCATCTGTTTGCCGTTGATGGTTAGGTCCACCTCTGGATGAAACTGAACGCCATAGATGCGCAACACTTCGCTGTAGATGGCCGTGATAATGCGGTTCGTGGACCAACCCCCCACCTTTAGCTTCTCCCCCACTCGCTCTACGCTGTCCCCGTGGGTGAGCAGTACGGACTGTGTGCGACTCAGGCGGCTGTAAGTAAAAGGATTTCCTGATTAATAAAACAAAAATCGACAGTAAACGGTAGCTACTGTTAAGCCACGTGTAGATCAGTTTATAAACTGCTCTAAACTGAACTGTTCTTGGCTTAAAAGATTACTCTGGCAGCATTGTATCAGCACTCAAATAAGCTTCATCAATTTGAACACTTTCTTTTTGCTGCCATGCGATTATTTTCTCTGGGCTTTCGCTCACCTGAACAGCGGGCACGAGGTTTCAATCTCAATGTTCTGTTGGCCATCTTCCCGGACGTCCGTCTTGAGAACGGTGCCGCCAAACTCTTTGTTGATTAGCTGCATGCCATAGCAAATGCCAAGCATGGGAATTTTCAACTTAAACAGATCCGGATCGTACGTGGGCGCATCCTCGGCATACACAGAGTTGGGGCCGCCGGATATGATTATGCCCCGATAGCCATTATTCCGTATCGTTGCCGCTGGTGTATCTAGGGGCAGTATATCCGATTCAACGAGCAGTTCCCGCACCTTTCGATCGATAACCTGTAAAGCAATCACAAATATTTTGAGACAATGGTAACAAAGGAATAAATACATTGAGCCTTACCTTGCCGTACTGTGCTCCCGCATCCAGTATAACAATCTTATCATGCCGCAGGCCGTTCTCAGCTGTGCCATGAAATATGCTTGAATTCATTTCTTTATCGTTGCAGCACTGCAAATTAGGAATAGAGGATGGGGAGAAGTGTTCGCTGTGAATATCGGATCTCGACTAGCATGGGTTAGCATTGCTCTGGGCGCTTTATATGCACCAGATCTGCGGCTGTAATCGAATCAGAGGCTGCAAGGTTGTAAGCGGGGGATAGGGTCTAGGGGCTAGGGGATAGAAGAGATGCGCTCACATACCGGTAATAGTTTGTGGAGCACTCGTAGAAACATTCAACATGCAGAAAGCCAGGGCAGACGCGACGCAGTGCATCCAACAGAGAGAGAGAGAGAGAGAGAGAGGGAGACACGACACAATTCTACGATAGACAACAAACATTTCCATTCATTTTCCACCATCAGGCAAGGCAAGGGCCGGGCACAGTTTATGGAAAAGTGAAAAGTGCACAGAGATGAATGAGGCAACGAGTGGGCGGGCGGGTGCTGCAGAGCAGTGCGGAGTGTGGCGTGGAAACTCCAAGGCAGAAAACAAACAAAGCAAGAGGCGTCGGTCGGTCGTCTACAAAATGATTTTTCACTCGTCCAGCAGCTGGTGATGGGGCAGTGGCGGTTGTCGATGACATGGCAAACTGATTTTATATACATATACATATGTTTTCCTATATTTCAAATAAAAACTTATGTACTGGCCGCCACAGGAGGAGCAGAAGGATGCGAGGAGGGGGTGGCACGCCTGCTGACCGCGACAGATGACATGCAGAACGCTAAAATGCCGAAAGAGCGTAGTAGAGGAAGAGCAAGAGTGAGTGAGTGAGCACAAGAGACAGAGAGAGAGAAAGAGAGAGAGGAAACTGGGTTGACAGGGGCGAGGTAGAACGAAAAACAGGGAGTGGGGTAACATGCCGATGAATGGCAAGACCAAAAGGAAAATGCGCAGGGAAAATGTGTGGTGTGGTGTGTGTGTGCGAAAAATGTGAAAACAAAAGCAAAAACTGCAATCATCGCCAATCGAAAATCCCTTGCCTTTCTGGTTGTTTGCTCTGGCAACTCTGAATCTTTGGCCTGTCCTCCCTCCACCCTACCAAAACACTACTCCTTGGGGCCAAAGGTGGTGCAGCATTAGGTCACTTGGTTGCGGCTGCTGCTGCTGCTGCTCCTGCTGTGATGTAAGCCGAGTGCTGCTGTTCTTCTCCAGAGCCAGAGCCAATGCACTCGTTGGAATATATACATTTGATAAGGCCAACATGCAAAAGGTTATCAAGCAGCAGCAACAACAACCTCGTGGCTGAATTGTAACATAATATACGGCCCAGGCCCTCACTCACACACATGCACACGCGCAAGCACACACAAACACACGTGTGGTAGGGAGACACACGGTAGATAGGTAGCCTCTCCAGCGCCTGAAGCGGCGCTTATAACCACAAAATGGCCACGATAGAGATGTTTGCAAATAAATCAGCTTGAAAATGGGCAATGCAATGGCTTGGCTGCTTGGCAATGTGGTTGAAGCAGAGATTGCACATGCACTGGTGGAGAGAGGTGTGGTGTGGTGTGGGATGAAGTGCAGTGCATGGGGCGTCGTGTATGTGGTGGGGCCCAAAAGAAAATGCTGCGCCGCATGGCAATAATTGTAGGTGCGTGGAGTGTGGAGTGTGACAAAAGCGGCTGGTTTGATGGGGCAGGGCAGGGATCCTTACCTGCTCAATTTCGTCGTCGCAGGAAGTCACTAATGATCGGAGGGTGGGGGAAATTAGTGGAAAACTTTATTCTTAAACACTAGGTGAGAGATCCGTTGTTAGCGGTCCCCTGTTTTTTTCGTGCACTCTTTTTGTACTTTTTTGCTTCTCAGCGATTATGCACAGCGTTCGCGCCGCAAATGTATTTTATTACGATTCTCACAGGCTGGGGCCCTTTGACGGCAACGATTTGGGCGTTTGATTTGGCCGCTTTTTCTTGTGCTTTTGCAATTTTTTCGTGAATTAAAGCCGAAAGATGACGAGCAGTATGACCGGATCTTGTGTGCGAAAATATACCTGGATTTTTGCAAATATGCATACCAAATGTACTGTTTTGTCCTATTAAATTAGACAACAGTAAAAACAACGATAAATTTTGTGTGTTTCCATCTATGAAAACGAATTGAATTCATTACGGAAAATTGTTTTGTTTTCTTTCAAATCTAGTATTTTAACAGCTGCATTTGCATCCTGTCATGTCATGTCAGCTCGCTTAGTGTTGGAAAATGTCACAGCAGTACAGTAATTTTTTGGTATTTCGGTGTGTGCGTGCAGCAGCCACACTTAGCCCGCCAAAAGTGTTTTGTTTGCGCTCGTTTGGAAAACTGTAACAAAATTTGTGTAAAATCGTGAATAAATCAAAGGACAGAGGCAATCTAATGAGTCCAGCAAATGTATCAAAACCAGACACTAGCATCGATGAGGAAGACGAGATACTGGCACTGGAAAAACTGCTGGGCGAGGCAGAAAACGATATCGCAGAGTCAGCACCTGCACCTAAACCAGCACCGGTTGCTACCGCCCCACGGCTGCGGGAAGACAGCAGTTTCGCCAATGCTTTCAGCTTCGAGAAGACGGTGAAGCCTGCCGCAAAATCAACGGCGGATGACAAGGCAACGCCCAAAGAGCCGGAGCTCGATTCATCCGATGACGAGGAAGTCAAGAACTTCTTGGAACGGAAGTACAATGAATATGGCACTGATATCAACAAGACACTCAAACAGCAGCGGGAAAGTGCCCACGAGTCCAAGGTGGCGCGAGAGGTGGATCAGGACATCAAGACAACCAAGTTTATCAGCTCAACGCCTCAGCCGCTCAAGAATCCACACAATCCCATCAAGCGGCAGGGCCCAGCGGCCAGTTCATTTCAGAGGCCAGTGGCAGCAGCCCAGGCAAATCCCCCCGCTTCACAGCAGCAACCAGCCTCGGCAGTCTATACGGATCCTGTGTTCGGTTTGCGGATGATCAATCCGCTGATCTCCAGCACATTGCTGCAGGAGCGTATGGGGGGACGTAAGGCTGTGCCATTCTCGGGCGTGGCATATCACATAGAACAGGGGGATCTGGCCAAGGATTGGGTCTTGGCTGGCGCCTTGGTCTCGAAGCAGCCAGTGAAAAACACAAAGAAAGGGGACCCGTACTCCACGTGGAAACTCTCCGATCTGCGCGGCGAGATCAAAACGGTTTCCATATTTCTCTTCAAGGAGGCCCACAAGACGCTGTGGAAAACGGCCGAGGGCATGTGCCTGGCTGTGCTCAATCCAACCATATTTGAGAGGCGGGCAGGCAGCAGCGATGTGGCCTGCCTCTCCATCGACTCATCGCACAAGGTGATGATCCTTGGCCAGTCCAAGGATCTGGGAACATGCCGAGCTAACAAGAAGAATGGCGACAAGTGCACAGCCATTGTCAATCTCACCGAATGCGATTATTGTGTGTTCCATGTGAAAGCTGAATATGGGAAGATGTCCAGGCGCTCGGAGCTGCAATCGGCCACCGCGGGACGTGGTCTAAACGAGCTGCGCAACAAGGTGTTGGGTAAGTAGATGGCATTCCCACCACTTCCCATCCTCTAATCCATTCTTATTCTTATGTTCACAGGCAAAACGGAGGTCTTCTATGGCGGTCAATCTTTTACGGCCGTTCCGGCCAAGAAAAGCTCAAAGCTTATATCCAAGGAACGCGATCGTCTGAGCAAGCTGGCTGGCTACGATGTTTCGCCGTTTGCCCACACCGTGGACCATGTCTCGAAGCCCAGGATCGACACACCACCCAGTGTGCCATATGCAGAGCGAGGCGGTCCCGTATCCCGACTGGCCGGGGGTGTTGAAGCTTCATCAAAGCAAAGACTACAGGATATCGAGCGATTGCGTCTGCTAAAAGCTGAAAACGATCGATTCGAGAAAGAGTCCAATGGCAATGTACTTGGAGGAGCCGCTCCGGGCACACCCACAACTAAAGCCACACCAACCCCTGGGACACCAACTACTCCCAGCAGCGTGCCGGAAAAATTCAAAAATCGCGGTTTCTCCTTCGATGTCAGCTTGACCCCCAAACTGTCGGGCAGCGAGAATTTCAGCCTTGAGGTCAATATCGGTGCTCGACAGGCGGCGAGCGCCAAACTTAGAGCAGCTGCCCTGCTGAAAAAGAAGCCGCTGGAGAAGGTGAATCCTAACTCCACTCGCGGCTCACAAACGGGCAAGCGGCGAGCCATCGATGACCTTAACGATAAGTTTTCCACCAGTGCTAAGAGGCAAAAGATCGAAGAAGATGAGCGCGAGCTAATGCGCAAGTCGCGTATCGAGCGGATAATGGCGGCTACGTCGTCGCACACGAATCTGGTTGAGATGCGGGAACGAGAGGCCCAGGAGGAGTACTTCAACAAGCTGGAGCGCAAGGAGGCCATGGAGGAGAAAATGCTGGGTACCTTCAAGATGCCCTGCAAGGCGGTCATCTGCCAGCAGTGCAAGTACACCGCCTTCTCGGCAGCCGATCGCTGCAAGCAGGAGGGGCATCCCCTTAAGATAGTCGATGCGGAGAAGCGTTTCTTCCAGTGCAAGGACTGCGGCAATCGCACCACCACCGTCTTCAAGCTGCCCAAGCACAGCTGCAAGAGCTGCAAGGGCTCACGCTGGGAACGGGCGGCTATGATACGGGAGAAGAAGGTCTGCACTGGTCGGGAGTCACTCTCAGTGCGTGGCGACGAGGAGACCTTCCTGGGCAGCGTGGCCAGCAGCGCCAGTCTCAATCTGCTGGTGCCCGCAGAGGAGTAATAAATATTATACGATTTAGTTGTTGTATTTGCATGTTTTACATAAATATTAGTTAAGATTTTTATTATAATTATTTACAGTCCCACTAGTTACAAAAATGAACGGCTTAAATGATTCGTAGATAAATAAGTACAAATGTTCCAATACCTAAATATTTAAATGCGAATGTGTGAGATTTGTTTGGGGAGGTGCGGGAATATTTGGGCATTCTCTAGCAGTACCAGGCGTACCCATAATTGTCATTAATGGTATGGTTCTATGATTTGTAAGTGACTTAAATAAATATAATGTTTTTTTTAATATTATGACTCGATGGCTAAGACCCCCCTTCATAAGCTGTGCTTCGGCTTCAATTGGAAAACTCTTTGAATAACTTGACCCTGGAACTTATCAGATGTCATAGCTTATGTTAGAAAAAGTGTACACACCTTACACACCTGTACACAGCGGTTATAAATTTGAGAGCAGTCCAACAGCATTGCAAAATAAAAAGAGTCCTTAAGCTCCCTTTGTGTATTTTTTTCCATTCTCAAGCATTCTCTTTTGCGCTTTTCGCTTGTGCATCGCGAAGCAAGGACGTGCTCACCATTGCCTTAAAGAAATTTTATATGAAGAAACTTTCCTTCTCTTGTCTTTTGAATAATCTTTCATTTCGAAGACACTTTTGTATCACTCCCAGAATAAATATAATCTTAAGCTATTATAGAGTTTGTACAAAATGGATTAAAATATTATCTTACAACTAATCGAGCGCTTTTTTGGTTTGCAGCAAGAAGCGTATGTAGATTTCATTGGCATAGTTTAGGCAGAGATTAAATGATATTTTGTGTGTTTGTTCAAGACAGGACAGAGGGTTCTTTTTACCCTTAATTTCAATAGAATTAAGCCATCTTAGGCTGCTCCTTTAAATGCATTTGGGAGTATTCGAAAACGAATTCGATTCCTGTTCAATTGTTGTTTTTTTTTTGGCATCAGAATAAAGCTACGCGACTAAAAGTAAAACTAAAACTATTTAACAAACAATTTGAACTGAGAGACAGGCGCAGACAAGACAAGAAACATATTCAGAACTCATGGGAATGTGAAAATATACACAGATACGGATAGGGGAAGATCAGACCCCTTCTAGACGGCATCCTCGGCCTGCTGTCCTTGGGCGGGCGTCTCCACACACTCTTTGAGATTTAGCAAGCTGGAGAAACGGAATGAAATCGTCTTGGAGAGATGCTTCTCAAAGTCTCGGTTGTCCAGATTGTCAGGTATGAGGCTATGGTTGGTCATGTCCAGATACGATCGTCCCCTCTTCACGGGCACCGCGTAGTGTGGCAGTGCGGTGGCTGGCGAGCCGCCGCTTGTCATGTTGCTGTAGCTCGGTGCACAGCTGGATTTGCGTATGTTGAGCGGAAAACGTAGATCGTTCTCATACCGCAGCACCTGCTCGGTGGTGCTGGTGTCGATCAGGGGACGCGGTAGATCATAGCCGGGTGGTGGCGCGGCTGCCGCCTGCATCTCGATCACGGACTGGTCGCGACTGTTGGCCAGATCCTGGACATCGTAGGTAATCTTTGGCGGCGACCACAGATGCTGCAGGGAGTCTGGTTCGCCCGGGCAGTCCTCAGGCATCAGGGCTGCCTCGTCGCCGCAGTACATCGGATTGGATACGGCATTGGTTTCCATCTCTATATATTTGGCATTGTTGCCCAGCAATTTCTCGAATTCGGCTGCCAGGAATTTGAACGAGGGCCGTGCATTCGCCTCATCCGTCCAGCAGGTGCGCAAAATGGAGTACACATCCTCAGAGCAGTTATCAGGCCGTTCCATGCGATAGCCTGTCTTCAGCAGAGACCAGAGATTCTGTGGAGCTATGCCCGGGTACGGAGAGGCACCCAACGTGATCAACTCCCAGCAGAGTACGCCAAAGGCCCACACATCCGATTTGGTGGTGTACACATGATCTGCCAGAGACTCGGGTGCCATCCACTGGACGGACAGGGGGATACTTTCAGAATATGGTCTACGATTATTGTATGCTTGAACTTACCTTGACGGGCACTCGATCTCGGGATCGCTTCAAATAGGCATCATCTTCGTATACATCTCGAGTCAGTCCGAAATCCGAGATTTTGCAGATCTTGCCATCGGCCAGTAGGACATTTCGTGCCGCCAAATCACGATGAACCAGCTGCAGCACAGAATACAAATTCAGAAGCGTAAGCAACGATAAAAAAGATACGTTGCGAGCCGCGTCAAGGGCCGCGGCTTTACTAAATCAGTATATACATATGTATGTAATCTTATGATTTATGCAGCCTATAGAGTATGTTTTATACGTAATTATATATAAGTGCCGAAATTGGTGTCAAATGCTCTCTCTCTCTCTCTCTCTATCTGTTGGTATCTCTGCTGTTGGCACAACCGATAGATTAATTTGTTAAAGCTTGGGAGGATTTGTTAGGACAGACAAAGCAGACCGCGATCTCTGTCAATTTTGAGAGATGGGGAAAACATGGAGAAAAAAGGAGCAACAACAAACCGCTGGCTATGTTCTAATGTTAGTTCTGGGACTCCGTTTAACCTCTTTTCACCTAATTGCTTATTGGATCTGTCTCTCTCTCTCTACTCTTACTCTCGCTCCTTCCGCCATGAGACGCTACCCCTGGACGAGGGGGCCACGTAGCCCCTGAAAATTAATTCGTTTTTTCTGCCTATAAAAATGATCCGATCTCCGATCCGATCATACATACATACAGAGCCGTAGCTGTAACGACTCGTTTCACCCACCTTGAGTTCTGTCAGATATGCCATCCCTTTGCAGATCTGCCAGGCAAAGGTGAGCACCATTTTGACATTGACCGGTTCCACGCCATCGCTGAAATCCACACCAGCGCACTCGATCTTCCGGCTGAGACGGAGATAGCTCCGTAGCGAGCCATGGCGAGCGTACTCGATGATCAGAAGCGGTGCCTCCGAGGACTGGGTGCAGGCACCCAGTAGCTTGATGACATTGGGATGCGATACCTCCTGCAGCAGCTGAAACTCCGAAATCAGAGCCATGTACTCCACCGAATTGGCGCCCTTCTTGAGCATCTTGACGGCCACCGTGGTGACGCCCGGGAGACCGGCAATCTCTGTGGCATATCCCTTGAGTACCTGCCCGAACTCACCCTCGCCCAGGACGGTGTCCAGTTCGAGTTGTCCGCGCGGGAACTCCCACTTGGTGTCGGCGCTCTCGAACTTGAAGCCGCTCTGCAGCGGCATCAGTGGCAGGTCGCCGTCGGCGGACTCGGGCAGGCCCTGTTTGGAGGATGGGGTCATCGATTGCTTGCCCAGGTGACGGTGCAGCATCTTCCGCTGGGTGAGGAGCAGGCACAGCAGCAGGAGTACAAACAGCAGCGGGCAACTGATGACGATCAGCATGCAGGATCGATTGCATTCGAACCCAGCCACATTAAGCACCCCCAAGAGAAGGGGGTCCTGCAGGGCATCTTTATCCCGCTCCTGCAGGGGCGTGGCAGCCACCGTGGGTGCCGTCAGCTCCGTGTCTGTCTCGTTCTTCCGCTTGCGCGGACGCTTCGCCTTGGGCTCCTCATCCAACGGGGCACAGGAGCACTTGCCGTTGTCCTCGCAGATGCACGTACCCGAGCCACTGAGGATGCCCCGCCTGTTCTCATTGCTGGTGTGTGGCCCCACGATCCTGGCGGCCGGCGTGCAGTCCTGCGGACAGGCATACGGATTGAGTTCCTCCAGCGGATCGCACACATGATCGGGGCAGTAGCGAGCCTGGGGCACACAGGATCCGTAGTTGCGACCAAACATGGCCGAGCTGGTGCCGCGCCACATGCACGCTCCCCCATTGGTGGCCAGGCCGCAGAACTTGGTGCACTGCGACTGGTATTTGACCTGGGCACAGGTTTGCGAACGCGACTTGATCTTCAGCTCGCAGCTGGCATTCTCTGGTCTGCCCTCCACCAGATGCACGTTGATTACAAAGGCATGCGAGAGGCGCTCCTGGTCCAGCCACGTCACATTCACAAAATATATCGTCTCTGGCGCCTGCTCGAGAGCTGGGGGATGCTTCACATAGACAATACCCGACATGAGGGTGATGCCAAAGGCACCGCTCCGATCCTCGACAATGTCAAAGCGAACGGTGCGCGCCCGCATCAGCTCCAGGAAGCTCTCCGGCTGCGTCACCCTGTAGAAGGAGGCCGCCGATCGATACACAAACACATCCTTCTCGTAGTCCACGCTCACAAGGCCATGGGCTCGACCGAATCCATCCGTGTGCAACGTGTCGCCGGCGCTCTCGAAGATGCGCTGCTGACGGCCGCGCAACGGCAGTGCCTGTGGATGCTCCTGGTCGCTGTTGTGCAGTTGCGTGAGATCCACATGCAGACAGACGTAAGCCGAGGCCGACATGGCAACATTCTGCATTTTCATGGTCACATCTCTGGCCTCCAGTACGCAGCAGTAGGGCGTCTGTCGCAGGACTCCACTACGCGAAAAACGGAGCTCTGCAAGGAGGAAATTCGATATCCGTTATACATAGATTTATATCCCTTCCACTTACGGCAGCTGACAATGGTGTGCGGTCTGCCCGTGTGATCCGCCTCGTAGGCATGACAATCCGGCCGAAGGAAGTCGTTGGTGTCGTTGTGGATGGCATAGCCCAGATTCTGATTGGCCGCCAGCGTGTCCTTGTCCACGTAGATGATTTTCTCGCCCACCGCCTCGTTCTGTTGGAGAAGAGAACATGGGAGCGCTTGCTTCATTAGCATTTACTGACCAACGCTAATTAAATTTCACTTGACAAATTGCAGCGCTCTGCAGCTCCCCCAGGATATGCTCTTGGTGATTATCCTGCATTTTAATTCGCGCCCAAGGTCAGGCAAGGGTTTCAAGGGACCTCAGGGATCTGACATAGCTGCTGCGTGGAACGTACCCATAAATGGGTCTCCAGGGTCTCAGGAAATTAGCAAGGTGCTTGCCATGGAGTGAGTTAGGCGTAGGGTCGAATGGTGGATTATTAGGATAGGATAATAGAATGGGAATTACATGTACTTGAATAATAAGGGAGCTCGCGTTTGGGTTGGGTGTGTGGGAAGGAAGGGGAGGAAGTATCTGTAGGGAGACCGAGGTGCGACTCCTACCCTGAAGCAATCCATCACCGACATGCCCCCAATGCTTTAATGTGCATTAGTTAGAATTATCCCTCAGATGAGATCATAAGCGTATTGATGCTTGGGTTGGGCTCAACTGGTTCGACAGAAAGAACATTTCCCGCTTGAAGGATATGAGCAAAGAAGATTCTAAGTCTTACCGACGATAGCGTTTTGCCTGGTGGTGGATACTCTACCTACTGGTTATTTATCCGCTATTACTGAACAAATATTTGTTACATGGATTAGAAAATGCTAATAAGAACCAAAATAACACATAAATTACCTACATATAATGTCTAAAAATAAATAAAAATCCATATGGGATGATCAAGATGACGATCGAATCAAGAGAGCAAAAGAATAACAGTGTAAACACAATATTCTGATAGATTTGAAATGATGCCTTGCTAAGGGTACTTTTTGTATTATAAAGCTCGATATATGTATAAATCATGACTAAAGTAGTCGCAATATGAAATATATCTTAAGGAGGGGTTATTTTGTATTGTTTCCCATACATTTTCTTCATTTACAGGGATACTATTCTCTGGCATATTTTCATTAAATCCTGAAATTGTACTCTTAGCGATGAAAATAGTAAATAAATCATTCTGGAAGTTGTGATTACATGAATGAATTAAATTATGATTAGCGAAAGATTCAAATGATTTTTGCACTCTTGGATGCATCTTAACTCTTAAATCTTCCAATATAAATAAAAACAAATGTACAGAGAATTTGGATGCTATCTGTCTTTGGTGTTTTTGGTGCTCTCTGTTTTTTCTATTTAGCTTGGCTTTGCTTGTGCACTAGCCATAAGGTTGCCACATATTCCGTCTTATTACTTCCTATAGCCTAGAGCTCTTTTTGCGGACAATCTAGGCGACACACAATGTCATATAAGGCCTGGGCCACACCTAACAGCACACCACACACGTCAGCTTTATTCCCGTGCATTGTGGGACATGTCGCCAGCAATTTCCTCGAAATAAAAATAAAATGTCTATTATTTTGTGGACATAATTTAAATGAAAAAACCACCTACGGCAATTTGTAATGGCTGAAAGTTTAGTGCAGAACCAATTACTCGAGTTTAACAGTAGCAGGAGCAGGAGCAGGGGGCACTATCAGCAACAGAACTGACACACTTTGCTGCAGATCCTTGGGGATAGGCTTGGCTCCGTTCGTACATGACAACATAATTTACTGCGGCAATGGTGAAGTTCTGTGGCAGCTTTAAGAGACTCCAACTTTGTGCCCATTTCTGTTTCTTTGCCAGTTCCTTTCCGGGCTGTCATGCTCCAATCATAAAAGCCCATAAACGTTACGCGTTTTTAATGGCAACATATGAGAAAGCAGTGGGAGAAGGAACTCTATCTATTAGACAGCCCCAGACAGGAGAGAACTTGGAGAACCAGAACTAAAGACAGACGCGACGCGACGCGGTAATGGCCAAATAATGGCAGGGTCTGGTCTTCCATTGGCAGGGGCTCTGGCTCTGTTGCGTGTCTGCGCGGCGTTCATCATGGACGAATTCAATAAGCCCGCACCCAGAGTGAGACCAGACAGCCGGCAGACGATTGTCTGGGCCTGGTCTGGTTCTGTCTGTATCTGTTTCTGTTGCTGTCTCTGTCCATCCCCAACCCTTGCTTACCGCTTGGAAGTAGGGCTGATCCAGGTAAAAGTCAAACTGAGAGTCGCGCTCCTGCAGCTGCGGTCCATTGTCGTTGCGATCCAGTAGCTTGATGTCAAAGCTTCGCGAGAATTTGCGCTGCTCCTGGGCCGACAGCTTGACGGTGCAGCTGATCCTTGCCTGCAGCTGGCCAGCACGGGCCATCAAGCCATTCAGTTCATCGTGGTCGAGGGGGTGCCTGGTGTAGAGACGATTCTGCTTGAGTACAAAGTGGGAGGTGCCCGCCGTCAGCGAGTACTCCAGGGTGCGGTGCGGACACAGGTACTTGGCTGCCCTTGAGTTGAGGGCACCAATCAGGACGGGCTCGAACGTTCTCATGCTCTGGCCCTGCGACGACTCGGAGATGCTGTAGTGGGCGCTGCTCCAGAAGCAAATGTGCTCCAGCTCCGAGCAGTACTCCTCCAGCGCCTGTGGCGTCACCTCCATGGTCAGGTGCGAAACGGGCAGGAGCTGGCCACTGGGTTGATCCCTGGGAAATGCCGTCACCACATATTTGGCACTCGAATTCAGCAGCTGATAGTCGGTGCGCATGTAGACCTCGCCGGAGCTGGCATTAATGCGGAGCAAGGGATTCTGCTCCAGGCTGTAGATGTAGTCGCTGGCCAGTTGGTTATCCTCCAGGCGCAGCACTTGGAATTGGGCCAGTGGTATCTTCGAGAAGATGCTCTCCGACTCCTCGTTGATGGGCAGATTGAATTTCACGGATGTGCTGGGAAAGTAAACATCGCTGGCTGTCAACAAATGAGAGAGGGAGAGAAGATGGGGAGAAGCATCAGCATCGTGTTAATGTGTATGGCGTCATGGGGGATTTATTGAAGGAAGAAGAGGAGTCCACAAGTGGTTGGTCACTCCGTTGAAGAGGGTGTCCCACCCCCAAAAATTAAATATCTACATACTATATATTATATTATATTCGTGGGGGTTGGTAACGCTCATCAGCATCTGTGCAGACAGACACACACAATCGTCATCAAATCCATTCAAATTATTTGGTTGAATAAGCCGGCTGTGACCTCAATATAGGTGGTGGAGACCAAGCCCTACCCCTACCCCTACCCCTAGCCCGACCCTTGGTCTATCTTTCCTACCAAATCGAACAGGACATGGCGTATGTGTAATATGATAAGATTTCCTCTCCTAATGACACACGATTGTTGTCGCCCGTTTGCGGTCGTGTGTTTGCATACGAGTCCGGTCCGAGTCCAATATAAGCGTTATAATAAATAAATATAATACAGATATTAGTTATTAGCATATGGGTTATCAGAGACCCGCAACTACTCCTCCTGCTGTGCTCTGTGGCTCTGTGGCTCTGTCCTCTCCATCACATTGAAGTGTCGGCGTCATCAAGTTGCGTATTGATTTTGTGATAACGATAACGCTTTATTTTGGGCCCGGAAAAAAATACATACAACACTCGTACCACCCCAAGTATAATTGGTTACAAATTTGTCCCTCTTCAACGCCCAATTTTATGCCACAGAATTTGGAACAACATTAGTGTGGGGTGCGGAAGGGGAGTCCCAGTTCTTGTAATGTTATGGTTCGAAGTTCGAACAGGATGGGGAATGGAATGGAATGGAATGGAATGGGTCGAACAGCATAATATGTAGAGTAAACAGTGTAGAACGCATGCCATGGAAATTTCACAGATTTATTGGGTGTGTAGAATAGAAATTGATTGATCAACAACAATCGTATTCAGATTTGATATACATATAATTATGAATGGTAGAATATTGCGCCTATTGTTCTCGTTTTTCTTATCTGGTTTGTTAATTATATCAATAAACAAACGATTTTTGTTGGAAGAAAACCATTAAGTAGTAGGTTTTGGGGAAAGTCTAGAAATGCAACCAGAAAAGTTATACGAAACAACAAATTTTAATAGACCTACGAGTATATTCAGTTGAGCGGCTCTGTAGATTAAAAATATTGACTGATAATAATCGTGATTGTCGCAGTTTAATTGAACCCGAATTCTTAATTTTCTTTTTTTTTCTCTTCATACATAGATATTGTTGGATATATTTTGAATATATTTCGACAAGGCCGTAATAAAAATACTATTTAATACATTTATATGTAAATCGAAGCACATTTCATTTAATTTAATTTTGTTTGTCTATTATTTAATTTATGTATGGGTAAATAAGAATGTTTTTAATTTCCTATAATTTTAGCAACTTCCTCCATTCATCCACCAGATAGTTTTTAACTCATTTTAAAAATATTTCAATAACTTTCAAAGAGGTTGTATTCTGTGCCCCATTCCTAGGGGCTTCCACAATCTCCGTCATAATTTTTCTAGAAACATTTTCCATTTATCGACGAAAGATCTTGATTAGTGTGCACAAGCATCATCCAAGTCCTTCCTTACTCACTGGGCTTCCTTGTAAAGTGAAGCACTTGGCACTTAATCATCGGCAAACGGTTCGCAGCGCCACATAAACAGGACTGGCGCCGCCATTTGCCCAAGGATCAATGGAATGGGGGACCACATAATCCTGTCCTGTTAGGGAATCCTCATTTTCCCCCCATCGCCCTTCACGCACCCTTTTCAGTTCTCATTCTATGCCCTCCACATACGCGTATTTCATTAAAAACGCTGACAGCATTAATATATATAATACGAGTATTTGTGTGGGTGGATGGCTCCTTGCTTGCTCGGGTAGTGTCCCCTTTTTGGAGGGCGCCAAGGACACGCTCGTTGGAAGCATTTAAAATGTCATTATAAATGCAAGCGCGTGTGTGTGTGTGGGACTCCGACTCCCCGGCCTCATCTACATATTTTATCAGCATTTTTCGCATGCCTGAACGTCAACAATTGTAATGAACACATTTTATATTATTTATAATATGTGTCCCGGACCACATTCCCCCCCAATATCGTTGTTAAGTCGAAGCAGCAACGATTCCCCACCATAGAATGGTTGGTGGTAGCGGGGTCTCTATTTGGTTTACCTCTGGAAAGCTTTCCCATAATTATGACAGGCATTTAGTGCGGCCGGTGGTGGCGGTGGCTTTGGCTTTAGCGTTGGCTTATGGCCATCCAATTAGCGGCACTTTTATTTACTCCTCTGTTTGCATTTCCCCCCACAATGAGGTGTGAGGAATACCTGGACTTGGGTGTGGGGCAATCGTGATTACCATCTGTGGGCACCACGACCACCCCGCAAAGAAGATAAATCGTGAAAATCCTTGAGAATCACTTCAGAATCGAAGAAGAAAATTCCGAAACTGAATTTCAAATTATCCCAATATGAATCTATCATAAGACCTATTACATAGTGCTACAAATTAAAACATTTGAAACCTTTAAAAACTTGAAAAACTAACCTAGTATTTTAGGTTATATTGCAAATTCTAATTTCTCGTGCAAAGTACATACGTATATACATTAATATATTTTACAATATTTTCCCCTTGAGGATTTTCCAACATCATTTAAGCTGAATCATTAATTAAAAGTCTCAATCCAACATTAAATACCCTCAAGCCGCTTTAAAAGTAACAACTACGATTTCTCCCAATCAGTTCTCAATGTGAGCTCAACTTGACCTCATCCAGTCCCCAGAGTCCAGCCCCAAGTCTGGCAAGAGGAAACCAGCGACAAGTGGGCGGAAAATGGTGCTAAAAAAAGAGAGACTCACCCAGAAAGAACATTGACCAAAAGTCAACAACCGTAAAACAGAAGAAGAGCGAGGAAGGGACGTACTTTTGTAAACCACAGAACGAAAAGGACGTAAACAGGGAAGGACTACGACTATTAGGTTATCTATCAGGAGGACAATTAAAAAGCGAGCGAATGGCGCATTAAAAACTCGAACCGACATTTGATAAAACATGGCCCGAAAGGGAGACGGAAAACATAGGAAGCGGATGGGCCAGGATGGGTCAGGATGAGCGGTATGAGCTGGATGAGCAGGAGGTAGACTCCAGTGGGGGTGATTGGACCTGGACGCCTTTGCTGGCGCTAATGACAGCATTGTCAACAATTGATGGGACGAGACGAGGGGCCATGACAACGGCCATTAGTTCGGCCTGTACCTGTACCTGAAGTTGGTGGCCTGCCAAACGAACGGTAAAGGTAACAGGAACCGTAACTGAGACTCTACTAAATGAGGTGCGGCCGGCCAGTGTGGACGGAATGTCAACTAGTTTCGAATAAACTAATTAATCTGCCCGAATTAATTGACTTTGCATCGAATTAGGTCGACAGTTGTTTGCCTGTTTGCTTCCTGGCTATACCCGTACTATACCCGCCCTGATCCTGGTTACTCTTAGTCCCCTGCTCCCATCCATCCATCGGGGTTTATTGCCCCGTTTTTTATATCCGGTAATCGTGGGGTACAAGGGTAGATTGGGTAGAATACTGGCTGGCGTTTCCAACTAAATAAACCATATACTGTTCATGCTAAGGCTGAAAAGTCGAGCATAGCTAAGGCAAGAATATCTATCCGTTTCTCCATACATACATCTGCTCTATCTGTATGAAGACTGTTTTTATGTAGTTTCATATGTAATAATTTAATACCTATCCACGAAATAGCACCTTACGATTGGATAACTATTATAATCAGTAATCGGAAAAAAAGCTTTCATGCAAATACGAGCACTTCTTGCATATCTTTTCTTATCCTTCGGAGAGAGCTCTTTGGAAAAATTATAAGAAGTATAATTCATCTGTATAGTGGGTATCCTATGGTCGAAATATATGTATATCGACTTTAGAATGTTCATTGTGTTTTTTGTGGTTTTTCGCGTGGTGACTCATTTTGTGTGTGGCCAACTCAGTGTTCCGCAGCATCCGTCTCACATTATTATTTTTTGTCTGCTGCTGTTGCTGCGTAATGAAAAACTTTGTCTTTGTCAGGGTTGGTAGTTTTTCCTGTAATTCTTCCTGCCACACTCGTACTCGTACTTACACTCCCCTTCTTGCCTCAGTGTCTGTTGCATTGTTTTTTGTTTTCATTACTCATACGTCGCGTGTGCCAGACTTGGTTTCTACTCGTATTTGGCTTGGCACTGACTGCTGTTGCTGCTCATTTCGCTGCAGCTGGCACTGGCCAATCTTTGGCTTTGGCTATTGTCTGGCTGAAGTGGATTCCCATTATTAAATTCGTTCCGTTTTCCTCTCCACTTTCACTCGATGGCAGCTGTGTGTTTGGAAATGTGGAGACGGAGACACAAGTGTCTTTGAATGTTTTTCTATTTCCTGGACCGGGACTGTCCCTGAAATGTAGTCGCTGACAGTGCCAACGCAAATTGAATAAAAAGGCAAGGAAAGAAATGTACATGTTCAATGGAGTGGAGGTTTTATATGCGGAAGATTGTATACTCTGCCAACGACAATTGCTGTTCCAGGTTAACATGATATCAAACAAGAGACAAGAAAACGTTTAAAGGATTGTACATCCATATATAAGTTCAAAAGCGGTCTATATTTAAGCTAATTATAGTACATATATATTTAATTTGTAGAAATATAGGCACGTAATCTAAATAGAAAAATATTTGATTTTAAAATGAAATATTTGTATTTTAAATATGAAATATATTTTAATAACATGTTTTTAAATTAAATTTAAATTTAAATTATTTTGTAATCTAAGTGCAACTACTTGAACCTTTTTATAATCCCCTCTTAAAGGGGATTTTTGACCAGAACAGAAATAAAAATATAAAAATAAATAAAATAAATACATATAATAATAATAATATAATATAATATAATATAATACATATATAAAAAATACAACTTTGAACTAAGCTTGGTTTCATTTAAATCGGGTCTAGCACTAATTTCTTTCACAAATTAAAGTGGAAAACATGTATTCTATTTGAAAGAAACTATTCTTTAAGTTTCTTACAATTATATCAGAATTTAAGGTACCATTCGATAGTTTATTACCTGATATTATTACCATGCTCCCTTAAAATAGGGCACAACCCAATAAAAACCATTTGTCTTTATTGATTTAACTGTAATTTCGCATTTAAAGTTTTCCTTTTTTATCTGCCACAAAGAAAAGCACAGAACGAAGATGGAAGCTAGAAAAAAACGGGAAATTGCAGAATAAATGCAGACAAGAAGCCGCCAAACCCACTGAAAATCCAGAAACGAACTTGAAAGACTTTGTCTATGGAATCGACAAAAACCCCCGAATACATACGTCCAAGAAACTGTGACACACACAGAAAAAGGTGACCCTCTGCGGTGATCGATGGGCGGGCACTCTAATTGCTCCTGTCACCATGGGGCAGTTACGTACCCAGCACATTAGTCAAAGTCAGCGCTAGTTTTTGGCTCTTTAAATGTATGCTAATTAATGCTAATAGAATAGAACCCACAATTAGTTAAGTTTTTTATTACCTTGAGTGGAGCTATACGAATGTCAAGCACTGTGTTCGCATCCCACAGGAAAACGAGCCAATAAAGAGAGAAATCGAATAAATGAATGCAGATTTGCAGACTCCCACTTGTAGGAGGAGAAGGAGTAGGAGTAGGAGATGGGGAACCCAACTGAATGGGAATGCATTATTGAGTGGAATTCCGTCGCAGAGAAACAGAGTCGATTCATTCCTTGGAACTGGGTGCGGACACACAGTGGCAGACAGATCTCATAACTGCAAATGGGTTTTCGTTTATTCGTTTCGTTATTATTTTTATGCAAAACTATAAGGCAACAAACAAAACGAACAAACAGCCTTGAGTGTCTGATAAATGTGTCAAGCTCGCTCGTAAATCTAAGCACAATATCTTTTATGTGGCGAAAATATGAAATAAGTTGCAAAAGTTTAGTGGAACTTGGAGGTAATTTGAGAATTTTTATAGATTTTAAACAGATTTTAAAGGGCAGGAGAGCTAAGAGTGCAAGAGATTAAAAGTACTGTAGAAAACTAAAAGAAAAGATTAAGCGATGATTAGTTAAAGCCATGAAAGAAGTTACCCATAAGTTAGTTAAGAATTCTGATGAGTAATAATCACAAAAACCATTCATTACATTTTTAAGAGCTACAACTACCATTTACAGGGTACACAGAAAACTTTTGCACTGTTCTAAAATACCTTCCAACCATACTTGTATGTATTCAATTAAATTCCTTTCAATTTCTATATTTATCCAAGTTTCATAAGACTGGCTTTGTGTCTTGAACAACTGAAACTTAAAGACAGTTATTACATCAAATAGTTTAATTGAAGTCATGAAAAGAGCCCGAGGCGGTCCCCGACCTGCGAACCACTTAAATGCCTTGCAGAGTGAGCAAAAATTGGAAGCAAACTTTGGAGCACAATAAACGAACAGGGGCACACACCTATTGACTTAATTGATTGCACATGAATTCATGAGTTGCGCGAGGGTACCGCGACAGCTGGCAGGCATTTCGACACCTTTAACCTGACAGACAGACATACAGACGGACAGACGGACGGATGGACAGGCTGTCCGTCTGATGAAGGAGTCGCCACCATACATACGAGTATGCTCGTGGTGCATTCAACTTGACAGAGACAAAGTGCAGAACAGAGACAGAGCCTCTCGCCGAGTGTCAGCTGTGGTCAACCCCCAAAAACGTATGGACAATGTGGGTATAAAATTTGATATGTCTTCGCCTGCGTGATGAAATAATTTTTTGGGCGTGTGCTGTCTTGCTAGCCTTGCACGTCATATTCCGGTCTGATGTAGCGCCCCCAGGGGCAGTCCAGTCCATCACCGTCAGGCTCGGTCCGTCAGCCATCGCCATCGCTCCCACATATCGCTTACGGCTATGTCAAAGCTGTCTGCAAAAGTCAAATGTCAGTTCACACCTGTGATAGAGCTCCGCTTCTTCTGTGTTTTATAGACCGAAAGCATTGGGCATATAATTAAACCCTAAGCAGTGCATCATAAACCACATAAAAGAACAGAACCGAACCCAACATACTCGTACGATGTATGCACATACTCGTACATATGTAAAGCCATCCCCCTTTGTGATGGGGTCGTAAACGGGGCTCAAATCCCCATATCTTCGGCTGCATTCCCACGGTGCGTCCACGGACTGTTTGAGTTTAAGTTATCTGTGAGATTTGTTCACTGGCACTCGATGCAAATTAGTGTAATTGCCTTTTATGAGCTCTTTATTTGCCCAAGACCCAATGGAGGGGGTTAATGTTTACCTTATGGCTATGATAAGTCGATTAGATGAGCCGCAGGTTAAATGTCCCGAGCAATTAGCAATGAATGTTGGGGAAATTATTGGAGTCAATATTGGAATAGGAGATACTTAGGGTTTATTTGAACAATTCAAGTAAAATGATACGAAGAAAAAAATCCGATATGTACTATAAAAAAACGTAAATTGCACTGAATATTATTTTTATTCAGACTCCATCAAATAACTCATCTTGATTTATTTTATGATCTATTTTAATGTTATTATTTTTATATTTTGTGTATTAATGATTATACAAAAAATCCCACAAAATTCCCGTTTGATGGATTTAGACGCAACTTTAAATAGATATTATCTTTGCAAGTTTCACAGCAGTCTGAATACCAAATGTTTTTATTTAAGCTAATAAAGTCTCCAAGTTACAGGTGTTCGTACGACATTGCTAGAACGACTCGATGGTTTATCTCGAGCAGAAATCTACAATACAACAAATAAATCACAAAAACTCGTCTGTAATCTGATAAATACAATTGAATCTTTAACATTTTTACGAGTCGAATTGCAATGCAATTGTTTTACAAATCGACTCTGACTGAGTTTATATAAAACATGTATATGCATGTCTTGCTATTGTATAAAACTTATTTACTGGCTTAACACATTTTGTGGACTGCTCTTAATGACTTAATACATTAGCCATTTTCATGGAAATAATTGAATTGTAAGTGAGCTAGAATTAATCATTTAGCATTCGCAGCACATACATATTGAACCAAACAATTTGTAAGCCATTCACATACCTAAAATCAGTATTAAACTCATCTAATTACAAACTTGTCTTGTTATAATGGGGAAATCTTTCTCTACTGATCTTCATTACTCCGTTGCTATTGTCAGTGTTTGTTCTTCATTCTAAGATTCATTCTGCAAAACAATACACATATCAGTGCCTAATTCACCGAAGCTGCAAGAAAAAGAGTGAGTTGAAATTGAGACCCCCGCTTTGTGATGTTTAGTAACGATTTTCCATAGATCATAATATCATGAAACTTAAACATAATTCATTTTGAAACAGTTAACTATAAAGTTGGAATTTATCTGACATAATAAAAAACATTTTTCCTCCCTAGAATATTTTATAGTTTCCCAACTCTTATCGCGTAATTTCTCCAGCCCTGAAGTTATTTAAATTGTCATATGATAAAAGATTTTTATAAAAATTACAAAACATGAAAACTATTACAATTTTGGGGGTCACATTTCTCCTGCTCCCCGTCACAAACTTACCCAAGCATATGTGCCGCTGCAGTATGACACTTGTCAGCAGAGAGAAAATAGTGGCCCAGCTTTTGAGTGCCATCTTTGAAAGTTCTCTCAGATCCGATCAGCTATGGCTTATCACTTTTGCTGTAGCTCTGTACTTGTTGCTCCTGTTTGTGCACTCAGCAAATTGTTTGCTATTTATTTGTTGCTTCTTTCTTCTTTCTTGGTCACTTTGTTCATTTAATTGTTAATTCCATTGACAATTTTGCTGTTTGGGGAAGAGCGCCGTCCACACGTTACACATTTACACATTTTGAGCGCGGTTTTTATTGTTGGATTTGTCTTGAGTTTTTGTTAGTTTCTTTTCAATGATGTTGGCAATTAGCCACGTACGACGGCTCCAGGGCGAACTTAATTACTTTGATCACAAATTGATAAGCAACATTTATCAATTAATGTGCGAAATGTGAGCAAAACAGAACAGGAAAATATGAAAAAGATAGAACAAAAAAAAAAGACATGAACAATAAGTGTGCGGAAGACACTCGAAGTACGAGCACAACACCAACAGAAAGAACATCAAAGTTGTTTTTTTTCGGGTTGCTCTATTATTAATAAAATTCTTTTTATTGATAGCGGCGCCCACACTGCCATTGCTCGTACACCCCCGACCCCTTATAAATTTATCAATTTATCATACACTTAATACCATAGGAAATTCACTAGAGCCGCGGGGTCTATGAATTCCTGATTATTGCAATTAAAAATGAGCTTTGAATTTGATTTCTGTGTTTGGGATTACAATATTATTGATACTATTATTAAATGGTATTCGATTTCTATTTTTGGCCAGCGCCAGGTGAGGAGATTATACGCTTTGTACTTTTATATTCTTTTTGCTATTATTTACGAATTATTTTGCACATTTTTCGCTGCTTCTTATGGGTGTTCTAAGGTCAAACGCACACACCCACAAGCATTTGTCGTTTTGTTCTTATTGTTATTCTTTTTTTGCCAATTCATTTCACAGCGATTCGGTTTCGAGGCGGCTCAATTGGTTTTTAAATGGTAGAATTTTGTTTAATTATTATTTGGGGGGGAATAATTTGTGACGACGGACTTTTGCAATTACTTCAAGTGGTTCTCTGTATGCCCTTTCGGATGAGGGGTTTTTAGGCTATGCGACGGTGTTAGATGCCTTTTGGGTTTTCTCTGAGCACAGGGCATGCGCCAGTCAATTTGATACTTGAACCGAACGGTAGGAAAAAGACCAAAAAAATAAGACACAGAGCCATGAGGTAAGCCATAACTAACGAATTCTATGCAAGTACCAAGGCAAACACTCGAAGAGGACGTGCCATGAAAAGAGCAAAACAAATGTACACTCACGAAGTGGAAATGGAAGTACGTGTACTCGTCGTACTATGTAGTACTCCTCTCCACTCTGCAGTATGAACTCTACGATACCTGTAGTGAATGTGTGTGTGTGTGTGGTATCCAGCGATTCACAGCAGGTGTGATAAAAAGAGCCCAAAAGAGATACAATTGTGGCATGAATTACGAACTGTGGCTGTGCCACTGCCCAGAAGGGCATAGCATACTCGGGGGCCAGACTGGCAATGGCAGATAGCACGCATAATTCAAAAGAGGCTCAAAGTCAAACAACATGATAAGCAATTCGTACATACACGCAGAGAGACCCAGCGACCAACTGACTGACTGTCAGAGTGTCTATACGTCTGTCTGACAGCCTGTCTAAGCACTTCCAGCACCTGAGCACTTTAAAGTTCAAATCTTTTGACACACTCGGAGCGCAGTCTGTGGATGCTAATGACACAAGACTGACACAAAGAGGCTTTAAGCATTGCACACACAAAACACTCCATTCCACTCCTCGCCAGGCCACTCACTTTGCGTACTCCACGGACCCATAGAGAGTTGCCAATTTTAGAGTCCCATGTCAGGCGGCAGCTATGCCTGGGATTTTTCCAATTAAAGGTTAGAGAGACTAAGCCAAGCCACATCGAATACTTTGGCGCATTTTTAAGGTGCGTCCCGTGCCATCCTGTTGCGCCGAAAAAGGCAAATGACCATAAAAATGTATTCATCCGACTAACGATCCACGACCAAAACCACCACCACCACCGACGACTGACGACCGACAAAGCGTCGACCGGCACACGCAAAAGTCAAAGTACGACTGTGGAGGCTCTTCGCTGTGTGCCCCTGACTGTGTCTGCCTCTGATTGCCCTGCCCCGTTGGTGTCTCTTCATTGTCGTTGCTGTCATTGGCTATAGTCGATATTGCGACTATACGATACTCATTAATTAGATTAAATAGGGAATTATCAGCCAAAAAAAAGAGAATTTTTTTCGGTTTAAAAGGATTTGCTGTAAATCAACAGATGATAGCAAAGTTGTATATATGTATGTATTATGATAGTAAATCTACATCTGCAGATCAACACATTATAGCTTTATTCAGTACAATATGGAATAGGATACCCACACTGAAAAACTTCGTCGATTTGTGGGATCTGTGGAACAAATCTACCGAATATTATTTATATATTATTAAAATTATTGGAATTTCTGAGCAAAGGAAGAGTTACGCTTGCATTGCTTTTTGCTTAGTTGATTCGGATGATTAGGGCTTCGTATAGAATTATACAAATTATCGCAGAAATTATCGTAGAATCGGCAAAATAATGCTTGCATTGGAGGTCACCAAGCTGGGGGAAAAATGCAGCACTATAGGGATCTATATACTACACATGCCGAATGGCGTTTTGCTATGGATCCAGAACCATATACTGCCAGACATGTCAGGATCCTCTGGGCTATAGTCTCCTTCGGCAAAGTAAATCCAACATACCCTTGGACACTAAGAGTACTGGGTATTAGAAGAATTCGAATGTAGCATCCACAATATGGCTTGGCCTTTGTGCGAGCTTAGAATTCTTGTTGGCTGGTTCACGTTTCGCTTCCACGAAAAAGGGTTCAGGAATGTCAGCTTTTTGTTCAGGTGGCGTATGCGTGATGTTTGCCCAGAATCATCCATTTACTCTCCGAACCTCAAGCCAACCCAACACAAACTGTATCAGCAAACACATTCTACTCGTAATTGATCTTATTGTTTGAGTTTCCAGATCCGAGCACTTGTAAAACCATTTGTTGGCATGGCAAGGTATTTAAATGGCTTACAATTTGCACACATTTGCATTTTCAATTAATCTTCTGTCACTAACGTAATTAGAAACAATTTTTTAATTATATGTTTTTGTGATTGAATGCGTGTGTGTACTCGTAGTTTGAGAAATATGCACATTTTAATCAGCTTTTCGCCAGTGTACAGACAGGTCTATAAAACCATCAACTTTGGCATTATTCAGTTGATGAATTGCACAAGTAATTTTATTAACCAAAATTTTGTATTGTTAACGTAATTTTTACGGTGTAGTAAATTTCTAAACGTGCAAAATGAAACACTATTAAACGTCCGTTTATGTTTACTAAACGGAGAATTAAGTTTCTTGGATTGCCTCTCAAATTGATGGTAGATAATAAATGGGAACCTAAACGAAAATCAATAAAGCTTAAGCTCTTCTGGTTGGGAATGGGATTCAAAGTATAAATCCAAAGAAATATAATAAATCATATTGCGGGTGCACATAATGAGCTCATGCACAAATGCGATCAAGAACAGAAATCACTTTGAGACGTGTTTTAACTGTATAAAATATACAAAATGTTGCAAAATGGAGATAAATAAATTTTAAGCTCAAATTTTAAATTATTATATTCAAGTGAAAATTAAAAATACTCGCGCCCTGGGAGTCTACCCAAGAAAACTTCACAAAACGCATTCAACACAGAACATGGACGACATTATAATAGTTATGGTTTTACAATAGACTTCAAATTAAGAGCACTAAGCTGATTTAAGCATTAATCAATGAGGGCCTAGATAAGTAGAGACGTCGATCAGAGTCCATGGAGCCCCGGCCTCACCGACAGCGAGCGGATGCAGAGCCTCTCGGCCACCCGCCTAAATGGTGGATTTTCGGCTTAACCATCGAAGAGACTTGGATCTTGTTCAGGGCGAACAACCTTAGGCGGAGGGCAGGGCAGTAAAACGAATAGGAAGATCAAGTACGCCGACTACTTATTGGGTTGTCATGCAGTATCTACTAGGAACAGTCAGTTTCATTCAGTACAGGCAGTTCATTCGGAACAGAACATAAATTCTTCGTAAAAAAATGTGTTCTTTATATGGACATGGACGAACAAAAGAATTGGGAAAACGCACAGCATTACTGAGGACCCCATATTATTTTTTACTAGTCCCGGATCTCTGGTACCGGCGTTGGATTTAAATAATTATCATATTAATTATGTATTCGTTGAAAAACCTCCATAATTAGTGACGCTTTAGTTGTTCAGTTGACGATGCTTAGATTTAAATAAATTCGAAGACATTCAAAATATTCCTGTTTCATTTTTTCCACAAATTGCATATGTACATCTAAATCATGATTATCCACTTGAAAATGTTCACAACTTTTTATTGAGATATCAGTCCATTGAGCACAAGAATCCAAATTAGGAAACTCAACCAAAAACCTAAGCTCTGGCAACACACGAAAACACGATCTTTATTTTCAATTTATGGATGCCTTGCAGCTGCAGCAGCAGCAGCAGCAGCAGTTCCAAAAAAATACAGATTGTGCACAGACTCCTTAATCGCTGTTTTGGCCTGACAGTTTCCCCTATGGCACGGAGTGACAATTATTTATTGGACAGTTTAACAAGGCGATTAATTAGCCACCTTTTCGCGCTGGGCCAGCTTTTCCTACCGAACGTATGACGGGTTAGTGCAAGTTAGTAGCGCTATAAGAAACCGCTTAGCCGCTGAGCAACTGAACCGCTTCGCACGCGCTTTGTCGGACCAATGAAACCGAAACCGGCAACCAGGCGACTCCAAAGCCGCAAAAAGCCACAGAAATCAGACAGAAACCGCTGTTGCTGTTGCAACGACGATACCGACGACAGCGCATCGGGTTTTCAGCCGAAGTGGTCTTCCAACAGGGTTCGTTCGGCGTGGAAACACCCTCGTTGAGTTTTCCATTTACAATTCCTCGGCACTGTTGCTGCCTCTGCTCTAATCATCCGCATGCTCATCCTCCTACTACCCTCCCGAGTGATAGTGAACATGAACATGAGATAATCATGTGTGCTGCAGTTGCCCTCGCGATGATTTCATTTGGATTCGCCCTATCCCCCATATCAGGGTGTGTGTGGGAGAGAGCTACCTTTGGAAATATGATCTCGTGTCAAGCACTTTCCTTGACGTGCGAGTGCAGCAGCTTCTTGAGCGGAGCTTCTGCAAATATTTGCCCACAATTGGGAAAGGGTTTCATCATTCGCCCTTATCGCGCTGGGTCCCTCACCCCGAAATTGTGGGAAACTGTTGGTTGAGAGCAAATATTTCTGTTTGCCTGCCATTGCCAGCCTCCAAGAATGTTCAGTGGCTGAATTGTAATTAAGATTATGTTGTTTGCTTGGATCATAGATCGGCTATAGCACTGAGAAGAGAGCATAGATTTTTCTACTAATGAACGCACGTATATTTAAAAGCATATTCTTAAATGTATTATCTTCCACTTCGTTTCTGCTTAGTTGAGGTCTACAAATGACTTAGCTTAGGGGCGTAGAATATTCTTGTGAGTCGTGGATCCAAAATTCTGTAGTCTTCTGCGTCTTTGAAGTATGCAATGGTTTTTGTCTGTCATATTTAAATGCGCTTTAATCTGAATTATTAAGCAGCAGCATATGCGGCCTTGAAATGTGAATACTGTCACAATAAATCGAATTGTTTTGTTCTGACCGCTTTCTGCTATATTTTCTATATTAGTTCTTGCACTCCGTTTATCCTCTTGCGAATCTGCTATTGAGTTTGCGGTACGAATACGGTCTTATATACATACATATATGTTTTCTAACAAAGTCTGCCTCGAAATAGACTTCAATTTCCTTTTACTTTGACAGTTTGCTTAAATTTACAGCAGCGAAAATATGAACCTAGTAACACCGAGAAGAATAATTACCCATTAACTAGTAAATTGTATATTCCCCATAGCGAATTTCTTCTTGATATTCTGCAATTCTGCAAGTAGAAAGTGCATTTGATTTGTGTGGCTTTTTCGTTTATTTGGTGTGTCTTATGTTTCAGTGTAGTGTGCTTTTAATTTTGTATTAAGGCTTTAAGGGCTGGGCAGCATATACTATATTTGTATTTGTTTTGTTTCTGTTTCTGTTTCTGTTTTGTCTTTTTCTGCTATCAGCAGCCTGCGATGGGCGTGAAGTTGCAAGCTTTTATAATTTCAGATTGTTCAACTCTGAAACGAACATTAAATTATAAATGCATGCACCAGCAATTGTTAGTGTTATTGGTATTGTGAGTCATTCAATCCGCTTGTTTTTTGTTGGTTTGAGGTGTGAGCCATGTGGGTTGATGCCAGAAAATATCCGTGGTTGCAAGGATCATCATATGCAGCCGGGACAGACAGGCTTGTCCCCATCAACGGTGTAGCTCGGCGTGGTGATCGGGTTGCTGCAGCGATTGCACCGGAAGCATTCGCGGTGCCACTTGCTGTTCATGGCGACGACGGCGCTGTCGGTGATCGGCTTCTCGCACTTGGCACACTTGGCGGCGAAGAGGTTCTCGTAGTCCTGCTTGCAGTAGGCCTTGCCTCCCCGCTCGAAGAAGGGCTGGGAGGCCAATGGTTTCTTGCAGGCCCCACCACAGCAGAAGCATGCCTCATGCCAGTTCTCGCCCATGGCGATGATGGTGCGCTCCAAAATCGGCTTCTTGCAGCCGGCACAGGTGTGGGTGTACCGCTGGAGGAAGCACTTGGTGCAGACGGGCTCTCCGTCCTGGATGCTGAAGGCGGCATCGTCGATCTGCTCATCGCAGTGGCGGCAGAGGAAGTGCTCCGGGTGCCAGGTCTTGCCCAAAGCAGTGATCATCCGCTTGGTGATGGCCCCGTTGCACTTGTGGCACACAATAGTCTCAGTCATCTTGGCGGCTGGTTAGACGCTTTCCCTTGCACGGAAAAATTCGGTTGCTGAGTCGGTCTCTTCTTCTCCAAGGAGTGGGATGAATCCCTTCAGTCGTCTGTAGTTTGTTCCGATTTCCAAACAAAATGATTGGGCTTACGAAAGATGAAAAGTATTTTACAAATATACAGATCAGACTGAATTTACAAAAGTTTTTTTGTTAATTTTGATTATTTTTTGTTGTATTTACAGAGCGAAAACAAAACGTATGAATTTGGGGAGACTCGAAAACTGACTGAGAATTTCCACATGAGCAAAGGGGCTTCGTTACAAATGGAACCAATCTGATTGAATGACCTACTGGGTTTGGAAAAATTTCATTCTCGTTTTGTTAGTGAAATGTGTGTGGATAGAGCCTACTTTGTGGATAACTTTGGTTGTTATTAAACAACCACATTTTCGGGAGCATTTATCTTCCTCAGTCACAGTCCAATTGAGACATTTGGAAGTGAACGTAGAGCCATGGTGTAATAGAATACGATTAAGAATTCTTATATGAGAATGAACATATATTAATGACCAAAAAATATTTATCTTTGCGCGCAAATTGTCTTCAGCTTCGATGGGATATTCCTGAACTTGCAACAAAGTTGTAGCACTGTCATCATCTAAATTCCCCATAATTAAATCTTTCGGTGGTTACCCAGACTTGTTTTTCTTTATAAATAATTTATGGCCATCGCTTTCCATTGAAATTTAAACCCTCGAATTAGTCACACCATCAACCATTAAGAAATTGCCTCAAGATGGGATAGAAAGCGAAGAGAATTCCCCCTAAGGGTTGCACAGCCACAACCCTCCCCTCACCAGAAAGCCAAAGCAGAGGTTGCAATTCCTAGAAGGCGCTGCTAAAAATGTTTGCAATTAATAAAATATTTTTCTACATTTATATGAAAAAAATTTAATTAAAGAAGAAATTCTTAGGAGCTTCCGCTTAGTCGGCAATTAACACCCCGCTACACATGCGTGGAAGTGGCAGGACAGAGGACCTGGTCCTGGTTCTTTCTATGAGGGTGGTTCGTGGTTCCCGAAAGGGCCATCGTGTGGTATGTGCCACTTCTTTTGTTCCCCGACTCGATGGGGCAGGGCATTGTTTGTGGGAATGGGAATGGGAGTGGGAGTGGGAGCAATGGTGCCAGGACATGTCACAATTTGGTTTTGCGCTTTGATGCGTTGCAAGGAATTCCAAATTGCAGCGGCTGCCCCCATTTGGATGCCATTTGGACCCGATGGAGGAGAGCTTGTTATGTAAGTTGAAAGGGAATTTGTGTCAGGATGGGATGGCGTCGCGTCTGCAGATGTCTGCGTATGCGGAGTGCGTGTGCCTCCCCAACTTCAGCGCCAACTCTGCATCCAGGCTGACCTGGCCCCGGCACATAATTATTTTATTAAATATCACACCATGTTAATACGCGATAATTGCAAGTTGTTCGCTTCGCACTTTTTAATTGCTCCAAATGGTGCAAGTTTTTGGCACGTTTCTGGGACAAGTTCAAAGTGCTGCTGTTGCTGCTGCTGCTGCTGCTACTACTGCCCCTTGGGGCAACATAAATATCCCTCCAACTTCAGTTGGTAATTGCCAGCGCAGTTGCATGACCCACAATCATTTATTTGGGTTGAGCTACGCGACGCTTTTCCCCCTGCACTTGGGCGAGCTATTTTTTCCCAAATTTAATTAGTCAAGAGATTAGATTAGGAAAGTGCTGAAATGGGTTGTTCCGACCAGAGAGTTGTGGCAGTTTATCACAGACAAGACCATTGTCAGAGGAGATTTAGGGGATATAATATTATGAAATATGCGTGAATTTTTGGGTTACATTTATAACTGACAATTGTCAGCGAAGATTTAGAGGGTATATAATGAAATAGATAAATATATGTGGAGATTATATTGTTGAGTTCCGATTTTACTGGCTTTCAGCGATTTAAAGAGAGGAGACATGATATTCGGAACGTTTTTTAAATATCGAATAACGTGAAGACATCATCATAGCGATACAGGCATCGTCTTCGTCTGAGTCTCAGGCGAAGACTTTAAATTAATTTAATTTAAAGCTCAACGGCAAAGCATGGTAAAACGAGAGCAGGATACAGGAGCAGCAACAGGACATAGGACACAGGAACGAGAGCTGTCGCAATCAATTACAGGCCGCAATCGAGTCAGTTTAATTATGCAATGAGGGTTCAACGGGCATCCAGGGACCTGGGGGACAACAAACAAGCGAAAAAAGGGATGCCGGAGGCGCATTGAACTTTGATTTGGGCCAGGTCCCGAACCCGGGAGTCCAGTCAGTTGGTCAAATAGGAGGTGATTGCATATTTGGGTTTATTTTAATGGAAATAAAAACAGTTTGAAAACAAATATAGGTATGTACAATTAGAATTAGTGTAACGACTAAATTAGCTAAGCGAACTAAATCTAGGGGTTCTTTTCAACTCGATCCGGTAGGGGATCAGTCAATGGTGATGACCTCAGGTTGCACCCCCAAATGCAAGGAACGCGGCTGCTGCACAGGATCCACCAACTGGGGATCCACATCCACCTGCGAGGGTGCTTGCAGATAGTCTGCCTGTAGGGGGCATTCTGGTTCGTCCTCACTCAGCAGCCATTCGTTATATTGAGGCTTGCGTTTCTCCTTGCTGCTGGGCTTCTTCGAGGAGATCAGGGTGCGACGATTCAAGCGCTTCAGTTTCTTTTGCGAAGTCTTTGTCTTCTTTTTGTGGGCCACCTTGAGGATGGTTTCGCGTAATTCCATGCGATAACTCTTCAGAGTGGTCAGCTCTCGGGACAGGTCATCATTGTTGGGAGCTCTGTTCTCCTGGTCGCCATCTCCATCGTCCGCTATCATCGTTGCCTCATAGTTCTCCCAGGGACAACAGGGAGCCTTGGGATGGGTCTGCTGAAGCTTGAGCAGCTCCTCGGTAAGCAGCAACTTGGCTGTGGCCCACTTCATAATATGATGGCTCTTGCCAGGCAGCTGCTGGCGATAGCAGAATAATTGCAGCGGAAGATTTGTGTCAAGCTTTGGCGCCTCCTGCTTTTGTTCTGCAACTTGTTCTTCCTCCTTTGCCTTTGCCTCAATGGGACTGGGCGTGGGTGACACCTTGCGATCCATTACGTTACCCATGTTGTTGCTGATTCGCTGGTTCAGTTGCTTGTGACAGCTGCAACTGATGTCCACTCGGTTTTATATGTCAAAAGCATACATAAGCATTGTGTCTTACCTGTACCTGTACCTAGATCACTCGAGGAGCTTTACCTGCTCCTTCTTCTCTGTGGGTTTATGTTCAACACCTGGCACGGATTACTACCTATCGTTGACAAAATGCAATTACATAAGCCAATGGCAATCCATAACAACATCAAGAGAGGATCTTATAAAATTACCCAACAATATGGCAACCTACCTGTGTCCGTAAAGGAATTTTTCTTCGTGTAGCTTTGACCTGAAAGAACAGGCACGTGCTTGTTCTTAACACTAATTTATAAGATTTGGTCTTTTGGAATTCTTATAGACTAGTTTCTATATGAACCTTTTGCCAACAGAGAATGTTTCGGCGTGTGGGGATCGATTTTGATTTCTACAAAACGAATTTTCCCAGACAATAAACTTGAAAGCTATTCTGACATTATTCTGAGGTTGTAAGGAATGAGTTGAATTTTTGACTTCTCTTTAAAATAAATTGCATAGGCTGACTGTGATTTTGCTGCATTCATACACACTGCGTTTGAACAAATTGGCAAGCAATATTCCACTTTTTAATTTAGAATAACTTTCAAAGGACACAAAGAGTTAAAAGAAAAATAAATTAAATTTTACAACCCTTTATTGATGTTCTATATCGCATCTTTTAGTTGGTTTTTATAATTACACGGAAATATTTGCAACAAAATTAGCCCTACAGTCTCACACAAAATAATTTTCTTCTGTGAAATTTGGCAAATGTCTAAAAGAAATAATTTTCTAAAATTTAAGCCATTAAACAATATTCTGTACCAAATATTGCGTTTTACGATTTAAAAATTATAGCTAAATTAGAGCAGTCGTCAACTTTAATTTTTGCTGCTAGCCGTTGCTTTGACTTCTAATATTATCAGATGAAACTTATTGCAAGTTTTTAAACACTTGATGAAACTATTGCCGTCAACTCCCCTTCAACTAATGCAAATTGGCTGACAATACAGCGATCACATACACACCCGACTCTGCATCCCAAAAACATCTGCAAATCTCAGGTAAAATTAAAAATCAGAAGCCTAAACTTATGGATAAGAATGTCCTTTATTTTGAAAAACCCCAAAAGAGCTACATATGTCTGACCTGACATTCGAATCATGAAACGACAGGATTGAAAGGATGGGCAGGTCATTAGAGTGGTCACAGCTGGCTACCTGCCTAAGTCCTAGCCGGGATATATAAGCCCTGGTGCGTGACTGCTATCACATCACTCGCTTATCGACTCTTATCAGCCATGGACAAAGTGCAGACCAAGCAATTGCTGATGTACCGCACGCCCAACGAGGCACACAATCAGATCTTCATATTCAACTCCCCGATTGACTATAAGGACCAGCAGTTGATTGTGTACCAGCGTCCAGGAGCCCTGTATGGAGAACACGGCTATGGCTACTGTGTCGTTTACAAGCGGGACCACTATATCCTGAACAATCCGCCAAACTTCCAGAGCCCCACCAAGAGAAGTTTCCTCAACGAGTGCATCCGCCAGCTGTATTTGATGAACGGCATGGTCCACAAGTTGTACTGGGGCACGTCGAGCGCCTCGCTGGCCACGCCTGGCGAGCTGTGGCACCAGGTGGACAGTTGCCTGCAGCCGGAGCGGATAACCAAGAAGATCGAGAGCATGAAGCGGGTGAAGCGACAACTGTTCCGGGAGCCCAGATGTGGGCGCAAGACCACAAAGCCAGTACGGGGCAAGGTCTGGGGCACACAGGTCTTCAGCTTTCGCCCAATGCGCGAGAAGATCGGCCGGCGGTACATACGGCGCGGCTTCCTGAGGCCCGCCCGCCAGACGGTGCTCCAGCAGCTGATCTGCGAGAATCTGAAGCGCGAGATAATCTGCTCGCCGGCCGTGTGCAAGACCGTGATCAGTGCCGCTGAGGGCATCTTCAATGTGAACGCCAGCGTAATCAGCGACATCTGCAGCTACCACAACAATGCGGCCCGGCATCAGCCCGCCGTTGAGTGTCGTCTTACAGCCGGACAGGCGAGGCTAAGAAACAACGAGGCCTGTCGGCTCACACAGCGGGCCAAGCGCTTGGAGGAAATGTTCATACACGAGCAGGTGCGTCGTGCCGTCCAGAACCATCAGCTCATCCTGGAGGAGTCGGTACGTTCGATTTTCTATGCCAAGGAACTGTTCCGCCTCATCGAGGATCACGAGGAGTTTGTATATACAGACAAACAGATACTGGGTCGGCATTGAAGTTGAGTAGAGGTTGGCATAGCCACGCACGCTTCTTCCAAATGTTTCTAGGATCTCATTTTTTGTATAAAATTTATATATATTGCATGATTTGTTACAAAAATTGTAAAAATAATTAGGAATACATTAAAAAACATATAGATTGAAGATAACTGATAACGATTTACACGGCAGGGAAAAGATTTCAAACAAAAAAATTTTACTTTCATCTTAAATTTCTAACTAAGCGAGTTGATAAAATTTTGGATCTTCCTTGGAGATCGTGTCCACACAGAGGTCCTTCTTTCAAGGATCCATTTAAAGGTTACGTCGTCTTCTGCTGCTCTATTAACTTGGAATGCACGTCCATAAGGCTCTGTAAATATGTTTAATATATGGAATTACTTTTAGAATTTTTTTGTAAAAATATATTTGTAGTTAGTGCTAAAAAGGACCCCTCTCAACTAATTATTTTCTATTTAATTAAATATATCTTTCAGCTTAACTCAATATTTTTCAAATTTTCGGTTCCATTTTGGACCTATATAAGACAATTGTTGTACTTTCTTATTATGATATATGATCACTTATTATACTAGATTTATTACAGCCAAAATAGGTGCAGAAAACGTTTTTCTATGTATAAATATTAATTTAGTTTATTTGGTGTACATTTCTGTAGTTAATTTTCAATGTTGGAATACACATTAGAAATCGATCATCAGCTAGGGTCCATGTTTTTGGTCCAATTTCCCATCTCTAAGACAATCATAGGCTGCAGTAAGGTTTTTTCATTTGAACATTTTTCAAATATTTTGGACAAATTTTGGGTACACTTTGATTTTTGGCTCAGATTGTCCATCTCTTTGGCATTTTTGAACCTCCATACTAGTCGCAGTCTTACATTTCATTTTGCTTAATCATCTAGAATTTGTTGCAAGCATTAAAATAATTGCAAATAAACTAAATTAAATATATGCGTGTATACATAAAGTGTGGAATCTAAGGAGAATCTCCCGCAAGTCAGGGGGGCGATACTTTACTCATATCTCAGTTTTTGTAACCATCCTATATTGCGGCGCCTTCGTCTATATCCCGCAGAATGCCCTGTGAAATTGTCAAATGGAATGCCAGACCGGCATTAACAAAGTTCTGTTTACTTAATTTAATCAGCTCGTATACTCGAAAAACTGCAACCATTAAAGCCCTTATATGTAATCAAACTGTGCAAAGTTAACTAGTGCAAGCGCCTCTAAATGGGTTAACAATCCCAGCACCTTTATCGTCTTCCCTCATACCAATCTAAGCCCAAGTTTCTATAGAGGAAAGGGTCGAGGGCGGGCATACCTTAAAATACTTGACAGTCTTGACACGCAGCTCCAGCGTGGCATCCTCGTCACAGATCATCAGAGTGTTGGCATGCTGCTGGAAGGCGCTGACCGTCCACATATGGTTGACGCCCTCCTCGATGGCCTTGTAGAGGGCAAAGGCTTTGTGGGCGCCCGTAATGAGAATCATCACCTCCTTGGAGTCCATCACAGTGCCAACGCCAACGGTGAGTGCCTGCTTGGGCACCTTGCTCATGTCATTGTCGAAGAAGCGGGCATTCGCCTCCAGCGTGTCCTGCGCTAAGGTCTTCACACGCGTCCGTGAGACCAGCGACGATCCCGGCTCATTGAAGGCGATGTGACCATCAGGACCAATGCCACCAATAAACAGCTCAACGCCGCCGGCCTCCTTGATCTGATCCTCGAACTTGTTGCACTCGGCAACCAGATCTGCGGCATTTCCATTCAATATGTGGACATTTTGAGGTTCAATGTCGATGTGCTTGAAGAAGTTGTGCCACATGAAGAAGTGATAGCTCTCCTGGTGATCTCTGGGTAGACCTGTGAATGGATAACGTATTAAAAATGTTCATTTAATTCCCTTTCAGCATCTGCCAAGACTCACCCACATACTCGTCCATGTTGAAGGTCTTCACATACTGAAAGGATACCTTTCCCTGCTTGTGGAACTCAATGAGCTCCTTGTACATGCCCAGCGGAGTGGATCCAGTGGGAAGACCAAGTACAAAGTATCTAACAAAGAGAGTTCATTTCGTTAACTGTCATTTTATGTGGAATATAAGCATCCGCTTACCTGTTGGGGCCCGGCTGGAAGTCATTGATGCGCTTCATCACATACTTGGCCGCCCACTTGCCAACCGATTGGCTCGTTTCCAATATAACCAATCTCATTTTCTAGCTGAAATAATTTTGAATAGAATTTTTAATAGAATTTACCGGTGGAAATAAGTTGTACTGCCTGGAAGACCATATCGAATGGAGTGAAGCGAAAACAAGTTTTGAGAACAATTGATAACGATCACTTATCGCACCAAAACACGCTTGGCAACGCTGGCCAGGATTAAGATAGAGGGCGTTCGAGGCGGCTGTAAAGATTGCACACACATTTCTCCGTTTGTTCAATGAACTGATAAGCAAGTCCGATTATTGACAATTAACCCATTTATGGAGCTGGCCCCACCTATTTAACACTTTCATTCTTACTCGAAACATGGCAACCAACATGCACTTGAGTTTCACGGACACTTTGCTCACTCACCTCCAAATCGCTCGTTAATGCAAACAGCTGCTTTTTTATTACTTATACTGCTCAAATAGAGGCGTATCTATATATGCACGTATATACAATATTTCTGCGGGTGCTTGTGTCGTACTTGGAGTGGAGTCCAAACGATACTGGTGCCTGCCGCTTGAATTTGGCTGCCAATTTATGCATTTCGTTTGAGCGGCGATTAGCTGAGTTTGCGGTTGCTACTACGCGCTCTCTGGCTTGGCTGATAAAGGGAAGTACAGGCATAGTTGCAACGAAAACAAAAGAATTTGCAGCAACCTTGAGATACTTTCTGTTATCGCAGGTTATCGTCATGGTTGAAACGTCACTTAATCAGCCCCCCCTCTCCAAAGCCTGTAATAATGCAGTTGAATGAACTCCTCTCTCGTTCTCTCTCTCACTGCTGTCAGTTTTGAGTGGCTTCTGGTTGAGTGTAATTTCTGCTCCCGGCAATCGAGTGTTGTTTTTAGGGCTGTCAGGTTTGTTAATATCGGTTAACCCGCATTTTGTATCGCCGCATAAAAACACAGTGAGATCTTATTATATTCTTAAATTAGGTGTTAGGCTAGTTTCCCTGCATTCTCATTGAAAATTACGTTTAATGACATCATTTGTCTTTGGTCTATCGATAAGTCACTCAATTAGACATATTTTTGAGTGAGACTTGGTTACACATCGCCCGCCAGCATATACACATACACATAAGAATTTAAAATCCAAAAATAATTCGTCACGGCGAAGGAACATACATACCCTACACATATGAATGATAGAAGAGATCTGATCTTTTGGATCTCCTACTCATGCCCTCACATCGCCGAAAATATGATAATGCAGAAGCAGCTAAAGTACTCGGAACAAGTAGAGGACTTGTTGTCCTTCAGCACGGTCTCCACCGATTTCTGGATGTAGTAGCCACTGCTTAGCTCCGGGGATTCCTTACGCATTCATGTTGTTCATTAAACATTTTATATCTTTATTTTTGTTGTTTTATCAAATAGAAAATTACATACATAAACATAAATGTACTTATATTTTACGTTCCGTTATGCACGTTTCTTCTCATCTTTTCTTTTAAAATAGTTTTTGCTTCGTGGGAACGATGATCAATTTTTGGGAGCGGCCACGCCCCATCTATTTAAAATGCGACGCATCGCTGAGCTGTACGATTTTTGTTGTTGTTGTACTTTTTTTTGTTTTTGTTGCTTTTCATTATTGTATTTTCCTGGTAAGTTAGAAGCGGCTGCAGGAAGCCCAAGAGAACCGGTCGTTGCCGGGTAGAAAGCGTCGAGTGTCTGAGCCTGGATCTAGGGGGATCCCAATGTTTAAAAATATATATATTGCTGGGCTTCTAGTCACTTGTCGTATGTATTATCTGTTATATAGTATATAAAGTAATTTTGTATTTTAGGCGGATTGTACAAAAAATACTTATATAAATATTTTTGTTGTCAGGAGCATCTGTTTTTTTTTTCTTCTCTGGATTCCTACTTATTATGCTCGATGTTGTTGTGTTTTCTTGCTAACAGAGATACTTAAATATATATTTTAATTGCTTATGGAGAAAGAGGAGTGCACCCAAGTCCATCAAACATATTGTCTTCTAACAATATCTTCAATGTTCTTCATGGCACAAATACAAAATGTGTGTGTTATGTGTGGGTTGTTCTATGTATGTTCTATATGTCATACAAGATCGATATCAATCGGTCCATATATACCAAATAAAGCATACAAAAAAGTAGTTTATGAATGTCTTTAAACGAAGGGGGAACGGGAACACACAAAACGTGAACATTTGAAACATTAAAAGGGAAATTGGTGCGGAAAGTTATAAAAGGGAAGCACATGTAATGGAAACGGAAAACGGGGGTTGGGAGATGGTGTTCTGACGACGAAGGATTATCGATCTCTTGGCTGGTGGAGCAGATCAACACAAATATGTTTTTTGATTAAATTATCGGCGAAACGGGCCACAAAAAATAACTTAGTATTACTACAAATCTGTCTCTGTGTGTTTTTTTTGAGTGCTGCTGCTGCGGTGTTTGTCTGTCTGTGTGATAGAGAAATCCGTGTGTGCTTTGCGCGCGCGAAAGATTACATAATGGCGCACTTCTCGGCGGACTGCTGGGGATCACCCTGCTGATGGTAGAGCTGCTCGTTGCCATCGACGGCGCTGATACTACGACGGCGACTCAGACGGGACGATGAGACATGGGTGGACACGATGCGCTTGATGCGATCCAAATTGGCTACAGTCTCGCCGTCACCATTCAGCAGAATCGTCTTGGTATTGTCGCCGGCTATCCACTTTTGTTGCTTCATCACAATGTTGGAGGGCGGCTCGTGCGATGCTTTGGTGTCCGCCGACCAAACGGTCACAAACGCATTCGCGTCGATCTTCACAGAGCGATGGAACTTGTACGTGGTCGATGGCCCGCTCTCGTTCACCATGCGCTGCAGCTGCCAGCCGCCGATGGACACCTCCTCGTTGCCCTTGTTGAAGAGCTTCACGAACTTGCCCTCCGGATCGATTTCCTTAATCTCAATATTGCCCTTGGCACTGGCCGACACATAATAGTCCGAGACGCTGCGATCCTCCGACTCGTCCACAACAGTACGCTTGCGCTTCAGTGCACCGGATGGTGTGCGGCGCGAGGGGGTGGCACGAGTACTGCTGCGCAGCGATTGGCTGAAGGACTGAACGGTGGCCGTATTGGCCGGGGTGATGTTCAGGCGATGCTCCTCGCCCATGAGCAGTTTGTCGTAGGCGGCAATTTCCAAATCCAAAGAAACCTTGATGTCCATGAGGTCTTGATATTCCTGCAGCTGCTGGGTCATCTCGTCGCGCAAACGGATGAGTTCCTTCTCGAGCAGGGCCACCTCCTGGCCGTGACGCTCGCGATCGTTGTCCAGCTGATGCTCCAGCTCGCGTATGCGACCGTTCAGCATGGAATTGGTCTGCTCCAGATCGTTGATCTTGGCATTGAGCCCGTCAATGCGCACACGAGTGGTGCGTTGCTCCTCGATGGACTTGTGCGTGGAGTTGTTGCTCCGAGCAGCGGTCTCCTGCAAGCGACGGATCTTGTCCTCGTAAAGGCTCTCGATGTCATCGCGATTGATGCGCATCTGCTCCTCATACTGGGCACGCAGATCCTGCAGCGATTGCTTAAGCTTGGCATCGTACTCGGACGAGAGGCGGCCGTCGATCTCGCTGTACTCCGTCTGGCGTAGGCGACGCGAGTCGTTGATCTCCTGCACGTGAATCTGGTCCTTGAAGGAGAGCTCCTCACGCAGGCTCTGGATGGTGTTCTCCAGATCGACGCGAGTCAGTGTCTCAGCCTCCAGGTTCTTGCGCGCCTCTTCCAACTGCTTGCGCAGGCGCTCCAGCTCCTTGAGCGCCTCCTTCAGATCATCGCAAGCCTTCTTCCGTTCGGCGGCGGCCTGATTGTATTTGTTGCTCAGCTCATTGGCACGCGACTCGTACATGCGGGCATTGCCTGGGAACGGAATGGAGGGATGACATTAATTTAGATTCAATTCAAAGCTATTGCAGCTGTGGTTGCTGCGGCAAACTCACCCTCGGCCGTGGTGCAGTCCTTGGTCTGCTTGGTCAAATTGTTCCTGAGGTCCTCGTTCTCCTCCCACAGCCGCTTGATGTCGATCTCCGCGCGAGCCTTGTCGCGTGCCGTCTCATCCAGCATACGACGCGTCTCGACCAGCTCCGCCTCATAGATGTTCTTGAGGTTCGTCGTCTCTCTGGTGGTGGTGTCGCGGCTGGTTTGCACCTCGATGGTGAGGCGATTGTTCTCCGTCTCCAGATTGCGCACGCGATCAATGTAGGTGGCCAGACGGTCGTTCAGGTTCTGCAGCTCCACCTTCTCGGCCACGCGGGAATGGCGTGTGGGACTGAGCGGACTCGCGGCCTGCTGCTGCTGCTGGGGCTGAGGTCCCACATTCGGCGGCAGTGGGGTGGAGGTGCTGCCGGGCTGCGGCGTGGCGGTGCCAGCACGTCGGGATTTGCTCGACATTTTTGCGCTGAAATGCAAAACAAGAAACACGTGAGTTCGTCTGGGTGCTTCGGATCGCGACCTCGATATTCAGCTGTTTATTTCCTATTTGTTGAAATTTTTGCGCGGAACGAACGACAAAAGCAGCAGAGGAACAGTTTGATAAAATTCCAAACGAAAAACAACTCAAAAAAAGGGAGAGTTGGAGAGAGCAATGAGCGATATATATGGTAAAATGTAATCAAACGAGTTTTCTCTCACTCACCGACACACTCTCGCGTTTTCACTCAGTCGACTGTACTAAAGCGGACGAAGAAAAAGTGGAGTGAGTGGTTTTTGTCGGCGTTTGTTTATGGGCGTGGGGTAATAGGCGCGGGTGCGGCTGTTAAACATGAATTTAACCAATTGCACGTAATCGCTTTTCATTTAATCCCGCAGTACGCTTCGTAACGCGTTCACAAATTTCCCGCAATATGGCGATTTTCATTCAATATTTGCGGCATTTTGCTGCAGATGCAGGCGGGGGGCATTTCGGTTTTGAGTGAAAATGCCGTGCACTTTTCACAACCTATTTTACCCGATTTTCTTTGTATTTTTACCTAATTTACATGTTTACATGTTGCAGAAACAAATTGGTCGACTTACGTGTGGATTAGTATAGAAAAGATGCACAAATTGGAAAATTAAATATTTCGCTGCAGGAAAAACGCGGTATTTGAAATCGGTATTTGTATTTTTTGTTGGGTTCAGCGTGACCGTGACTATAATGATAAAAAAATACCATCCGGCCAAAACATAAATACCATTAAATACCAATTCGGTTTCGAGAAATACCATTTAAATACCATACCATAAAAAACCAGGGCAATCCGGTGATCAAACGAGACTTAACACCCCTCTATTTTGTGTTTATAAAGTTGAAATTTTTACCTTTGTTAATATGCGAAAATAATACTGTTTTTAATGAGAATGCTCCTTGTAGCACTCATCCCTCAGCTCTTTACTTCAAAACAAAAAATGACCACCGACATCTTGCTCACCTGTAATGCGATAAAATATGTTGAAGTTACTAAATTTACCAGGAAGTTGTTCTAAAATACCCCTATGGTACCATGCAAAGGTTAACATATTTATTGATTGAATCGTTTGGCCATAAATTAGAGTATTCAGTTTATCTAAATCTAGCTCGTTGGCCCTGTTCAAGCCGGAATCCGAGTTTAATCTTTACCGATATTTACACCAATTTCCTCACAAGATGTGGCAGTGTGCGAAAAGGCCTATAGTGCATCGTTTACATAATATAGGTTCTTGAAACAAAAGCGGCCAAACTTATTCGTGAATGTATGGGCTAAATGTGACATTGTTGCTGGTCAACCAGTTTCTTCTTCCTTTTGTATACCATTTTATCTTCTTCTTTTTTGCCTACTTCGTTGTTGGGCTTCCAGATTTCCATTCAAAGCGATTCGGTAATGAAACGGATAGCAAAATTGACATGGTTTTACCACCAACAACGACATCACATTCTGTTTTATATGTTTAATTTATCCCGGTTCTGATACCTTTTTATTGGTAACAATGAACTAAAAAGATTCGTTTATGTCTTTAAAAAAGACTGGCTAGTTTCTACGGATTAATTGATCCTGAAATTACAAACAGGTCCAACTAGCCAGTAATATCCAATTCCCAACGTATCAAAATCGTTGCATCGTGCCAAAGTTGCACAACAATGCTGCTAAAAACAATCCCCATGTTTCTGAATAGTTTTGCGATACAAATCAAATGTATCTAACAATAGCAACAAGAACCTTCATTCCATTCTCTTATATACAAAAAAAATTACTGTCCTCAAATTACGATTTATATACAAATTTGTTTTTGTATTTTTTGTTTGTTCACTGTAGCCAATCCAAACTATCATGATCACGCTCGCAAAAAGGCGATAGTAGAGGCTAGCAGGAAAACATCGATACTATCGATAGTGCCCTCGATGGTTTGACACCTCTATTTTCGACAGCCCTGCATCATAGAGCAGTCAAACGATTGATAGTTGAGCCATCGATAGTTTTGAATGTTTTAAAAAAAAACAATCGATACTATCGTGATAGTATCGAGCTCAAATAATTATTAATTATTCATTTTTTTGTTGTTGATATTTACTAGTTACTAACCTGATTAAATAGAGCGGGGCTAAGCTATTTTTTTCTCGGTTTCTGAGGTTCCAGTCCCACTCGACAAAACAAATCAAGTGAAATATTTATTTTTCCATATATGTACATTTGAAAATGACCGCCAATCTCATTTAGCTCACAAAAATATCGATATTATTCGCTCCCAAATCGTGGTGGTTTTTCAAAATTCGCTCTCAATTCGTGGTGGGTTTTTCAAATTTGCTCTCTTTTCAGTGGTGAAGAGAGCATTTTTGTGGTGACTTTCCCCTCATTTTCATGGTGTGAGAAACATGTTCTTAAGATTCATTGTTGCGTCATTCCATACGCGTTCCCGTATGATACATTTGATTTGTATGGGAAAAATTTCCGCAACATGGGGAAATGAAGTAGCAGCATTGTTGTGCAACTTTGGCACGGAATGAGCAACAATCGGCATACCCTGGGAAAATGGATATTATGGACTTGAGATACTGTTTGTAATTTCAGGCTCCAATTAATGCCGAAACTAGCCAGTCTCTTTTGTAAAGACATAAACGAAATTTTTTAGCTCACGGGTACCAATAATAGGTATCAGAACCGGGATAAATGTATATATATAAAACAAAACATATGCATTAATAGGTAAAAAACATGTCAATCTAGTATAAAATCATAAATAATGTTTCAATGGAAATTGGAACAACAAAATTAGCATCAATTAAAAGAAATAAGGTATACAAAAGTACATACGCATAAAAGAAACTTGGTTGACCAGCAACACTGACGTAACATTTAGTCAACATTTACGTTTTATGCTTTGGCCGCTTTTGTTTGAACCTTATTATGTAAAAAATCGAATGAAAAGGAGTTCTGAAAACTAGCCAATCCTAAACAATATTCATTGAGGAATTGGATAAAATTCTTTTTTTAGTGCTGAGAGGGCCATCTATCTAGTAATATTAAACTGAATATCAAAATTGACGAATTTCATATCACAAAATACACGGATGGCGCCCGCAGCAACTACGAATTGCAGGAGTCTGGTAACGCCACAAAACGACGACACATTCGTTTTATGTTGTTTTTGTTTGAACCTTAATATGTAAATAATCCAATAAAAAGGACTTCTAAAAACTAGCCAATCCTAAACAAAATTCATTGAAGAATTGGATAAAATTATTTGTTTAGGGCTGAAAGTCCCAGCTAGCTAGTAATATTAAACGGAATATCAAAATCGAGAAATATCAACGTTGAATGTTTTGAAAAACCAATCGATACTATCGTGATAGCTCTAATAATTATTAAAAAGGCATTGAAACCTTTTAGGAACTTGTCCATTGTAAAAATTAGATGCGACCTGTCGATGATTTGTTTATAAATGTGTCTTCGTATCTTCTAGCAGACAATCCAAACATATTACAAGCGCAACGACTATCATGATAGTCTCAAAACCATCGATAGTAGAGGCTAGCAGCAAAATATCGATACTATCGATAGACACCTCTACTGCATCATCACGTCGAACGTCGAGGTTTTTTTTTATTGTGGTCGGAAAATTGATAAAAAAGCGAAAACTCGTGTGAAATAGGTGAGTAAATGTTGCAGTTAATGTGCCATATAAAAGAACGAACTTATGTGGTATTTCGTGAAATTTTGAAATACAGTTTACGTGTTTTTCTGAAAAACAAGATGGCGGATGGTACGCCGGCACCGGCCCCGCAAAAAGCGGCATTTTTTCGTACAGAAAAACACATGTAATTTACGCGGCTTTTCCCTCTTGATTTTCCTGCAGCATTTGAAACCTATTCTGTATTAAGCGACTTAAAACAAAGCCAAAACTAAACGAAAATGGCCGATAATGAAGATCTTCTCGACTACGAGGATGAGGAGCAGACTGAGACCACTGCGGTCGAGAACCAAGAGGCGCCAAAGAAAGACGTCAAGGGCACCTACGTCTCCATACACAGCTCTGGCTTCCGTGATTTTCTGCTGAAACCAGAAATATTGCGTGCCATTGTCGACTGTGGCTTTGAGCATCCATCCGAAGGTATGTACTCCTTTACACTCTATTGCCCGGTACAGTTTTTCACAATATGCACACGTAATTGCAGTTCAGCACGAGTGCATTCCGCAGGCTGTACTCGGCATGGATATTCTCTGTCAGGCCAAGTCCGGTATGGGCAAGACGGCTGTCTTTGTGCTCGCCACGCTGCAGCAGCTCGAGCCCGCGGACAACAACACCTGTCATGTATTGGTCATGTGTCACACACGCGAGCTGGCATTCCAGATTAGCAAGGAGTATGAACGTTTCTCCAAGTATATGCCCACAGTCAAGGTATGTTTGGGTCGTCAAAGTAAAAGGGTCACATCTTTGGTTATACTAATCTTTGGCTACGCTAGGTGGCAGTGTTCTTTGGCGGTTTGGCCATACAAAAGGATGAGGAGACCCTTAAGAGCGGCACGCCCCATATAGTGGTCGGCACCCCCGGTCGCATTCTGGCGCCTGATACGCAACAAGAAACTGAATCTGAAGCACTTGAAGCATTTTGTACTCGACGAGTGCGACAAGATGCTGGAGCAGCTAGGTACGTTTTCTAAAGGGTTTTCCCGAACCCTAATATTCAATGGTATCTAACAATGTTCTTCCCACCCTTTCCACAGATATGCGTAGGGATGTGCAGGAAATTTTCCGTAGCTCACCCCACGGAAAGCAAGTGATGATGTTCTCTGCCACATTGAGCAAGGACATACGTCCCGTGTGCAAAAAGTTTATGCAAGATGTAAATATCAACGTGTTCATAACCCAACAACTGCTCGTACTTCTCCTCGCATCCACTGCTATCACGACAATTAGTTATTATTTTTGTAAACTCTATTCAGTATCGATACGTATCCGGTACAACCTCCTCCACAATTGCTACATAAGCCACAACACCATATTTGTAAATGGTTAAACGCGTAAACTACCCCAAACGTTCAGAGCTCGTGTGAGCATAACCAAAAACAAAAGAAATGTTAGCCGAATGACTGCCAGAAACCATTTTCTAAATGGTTAAACGCGTTGAATGCAAACGTAAACGAAATATAACATAAACCACATGCAACCTCCTGCAATCCGCGACACACATCATACACCTAATCGCAATGATTTAACAACCATCGAAACGGAAAACCCAAAACCAATATAACAAAAAAAGAAAGAAAAAAAAACGAATGAGAGCAACAGCCGTGGACTGGTTAAGAGATGAGGGACTGTATGCGACGAATGCCGCTCAACTGCAAGCTGCACACTTCACTTCACGCCGCAGAGTGATTGATTGATTGATTGATTGTCTATCTATGTCTACCGGGAGCAGTCCCGGCACGGTCCAGAGTACTACTAGTTGATGAGATATGATATGGTGGTAGCGTGGCCGTATGTAGAAATTTCTAAACATATTTTGTTGTATGTTTTGAGGCGAGCCTAGTTTTAGTTGCATTTCTTTTCACACCCCCTAATTGTTTTCTCTTTAAAATGTGCTGCGCCACATTCTATTTCCCATATATCTAGCCCATGGAGGTATACGTCGACGATGAGGCCAAGCTGACGCTGCACGGCCTGCAGCAGCACTACGTTAATCTTAAGGAGAACGAGAAGAACAAGAAGCTGTTCGAATTGCTCGATGTGCTCGAATTCAACCAGGTAAAACGCAACGAACTGCTGCGCAGCCCTCTGCTTCGTATTTTTCCCCCACGATGCTCATACACTCTGAGGTTGTTTCCCCCCTTCCGCAAAGGTGGTTATATTTGTCAAGTCGGTCCAACGTTGTGTGGCCCTGTCGATGTTGCTGACGGAGCAGAATTTCCCAGCCATTGGCATCCATCGCGGCATGACACAGGAGGAGCGTTTGAATCGGTATCAGCAATTCAAGGATTTCCAGAAGCGCATTTTGGTGGCCACCAATCTGTTTGGTCGTGGCATGGACATTGAGCGTGTGAACATTGTCTTCAACTATGATATGCCCGAGGATTCCGACACCTATCTGCATCGTGTGGCCCGTGCGGGTCGTTTCGGTACCAAGGGACTGGCCATTACCTTCGTCTCGGATGATAACGATGCCAAGATACTTAACGAAGTACAGGATCGTTTCGATGTCAACATTAGTGAGCTGCCGGAGGAGATTGACTTGTCCACATACAGTAAGTCGTCGCATCATCATTATGATATGTGTATGCAGATTTTATATCATTATGTTTTATCTTTCCAGTTGAGGGACGCTAGAAATTTTAAGAGTGCATGGGGATAGTACCACCCAATAAAAACAAATGCACATTGAATAGATACAAATAAATCCAAACCCCCCATCTTTTATAAAACACTACTTTATAACTAAATAAAAAAACCTTTCAGACTTTGTTTTGACGTACACTAATCGATATGTGTGTGTTTCCACTTGTGTTCCCCTCTGCACAAAATCCTGTCGAAATCGCAAGCCGGAACAGACTGGAATAGTTGTGCAAGCGAGCGAGTGTCCGTTTTGTAAGGACATGCGCAATGCATAGGGAGCTGCTGCTACCTCTGCTGGGCAGGGAGGGACTGGGGCTGGGGTAGGCAGCAGTGAAACGGAAAGAGGAAAACATCAGTCAGGCCCAACGCGACCCCAAAAACAGAATGTGAGGGGGAAAAATGCAAGTGGCAAACGAAAATGTTGCTAAAAAAGTATGTGAAAACCCGACGCAAGGTGAAGATTGTGCTGCTGCTGGCGATTGTGGGTCTGCTCGTAATCACCATCATTGTACTGGGCTCCACGGGCCGCAATGCTGCCATTGAGCTGCTGCTGGACGAGCGATTTATTGCACGGGCGTATCGGCCTGGTGACAAGCAGCCGCCGCAGAAGTTGCAGGAGCAAAAACAGCCGGCTGCGGTGGGTCTGCTCCAGCCGCAGCGGGAGAATGGTGTGATTGTGCCGGAGAAGTATGATGAGCATAAGATCAAGGCGCGCATCATACAGAGCCGACTGGACCAGATCAAGCAGCAACAGCAGCACGACCACGAGGCCGAGCAATCCCGCACCACCCTAGAGGTGGCCACGACAGCCGTGCACATTTTCTACACGGCCCCAGTGCCCTGGTACAAGTCCAAGAAGCCACCACCACCGCCCGCTGAGCATCCATACGATGTGCCCCTGACGACAACACCCAAGGCGGTGCGAATACTCAACACTGCCTTTTACCCGGCTCTGGGTCTGTACAAGCCCAGCGTCTCGCTGCTCTCCCAGCACTTTGAGAACATACGCAGCTGCGGCATTGGCGTGCTCATACTCAGCTTTACGGGCAGCGGCTCGGGCAAGCCGGCGGAGACGGCTCTGCTTCATCAGATCATTGACCTGGCCCCGCAGCACAATCTGACTGTGACCTTTGAGCTAAGCGTGGCCGGGAATCAGAGTGTGGAGTATGTGCGCCAGCAGCTACAAGAGATTGCGACCTTTGCCAGCCTGCCTGGTTTCTATCGGGTGTGGAGTCAGTCGAGAGGGGCCGCCATGCCCGTTCTGTATGTGAGTAATGCCTACAAGCTGAGCGACAGCCTGGGACGACTGCTATGCCGCACACCTGCCCAAGTGGATCCCGATGGACTGAGGCGAGTGCTGGATGGTTTCTTTATAGGTCACATAAGGTGAGCATGCCTCCTGATCCAGCTTCAGGTGGTAATCCAAATCTCCTCCATAGACTCAAGAGTCATGCGGATGTGATGCGTCGGCTGTGCTTCGATGGCTTCTACAGCAAACTGCCCAGCAATGGAGCTGTATTCGCCAGCACCTGGAAGAACTGGTCATATCTGAAATCCTATGCCCAGTCCTACAAAATGATGTTTGTGCCGACAGTGGGTCCCGGGTTCGCGGAGAGAAATAAGTTCCCTCGGCATGGGGACATACAGAGGCATCGCAGCAATGGACGCGTAAGTAGAGGAGGCCGAAGTCTCTTCTTTGGGTTATTTAATAGATATTGGAATACTTTCCCTTCCTTTCAGTATTATGGCGTAGCTTGGCGTTCGGCCATACTCAATCATGTGGGATTTATCAATATAGCGAGCTATAACAATTGGCCTGATGGCAGCCAGATTGAGGAGGTGATGCCGCGTGCCGGTTTTCTTGACTACAATCCCGGTTCGCGGACCAAGTACTTGGATCTCACGGCCCATTGGGTGGGAAATTTTCTAAAGACGCGCCAGGAGGCGGCGGCTGCAGCAGCTGCCCCCGCCTCGCCACAGAACTGCTATGAGCTCCTCAATGGGACAATTTGCTAGGGTTCGTTCACACGAAGAAATCTTCCATATATGGATAATACTAGTGCAAAGTCGGTATTTACTTTAGAAGCAATATATATCTATAGATTGCAGGAAACACAATTACTTTCCAAATCAAAAATACATAGCCATATATCGGTCAACTATTACTTACAATTTATATACACATACATATATATAGAGAGAGATCAAGCAATATATCTTTAAGTAGTGGTTAGCAATTAGTACGGACTATGCTCAAATTATATCTAATAGCTAGAAGAGCCACAACATTTTTTGGAAACTTTATTAGCTTTCGATTATTGTAACAATAATAAGAGGACGGGACGAAGGAAGGATGAAGAAACAACAATATCATACACATAATGCCATGCCATATTATATAGAAAATCAAATGAATGAACAAATTATCTATGTTATATCGGGATATATACTAAAAACACTTGTTAAACAATTGGTACTTGACAAATTTTAACTTTATTACCAGTAAAAATATATTATTAAATTACTTTATCTAAGCTTTAATAGTTTAGTGCCAAAGCAATTATTATTATTTATTTTTATGGGGAGCATCCTGCTGATGGCACTTAATTTTCATTCCGGAAATTTCAACGGAAGCGAATATCCGATATGGAATGTGTTTCATGTCCCTGTTTTTGTACTGTCATTAAAGCTGTCAACTGTTCCATTCCACCCATGCCATGAGGGTTCGTTCCATTCATTGACATTTTGTTGCTGCTGCAGCTAGAGAAATTACATTACATTTCGTAAAGGTTTTTTGCAAAATGAATTCATTTCAAAGTGGCACCACTGCCCCGGCAAAAGTGGCAACAGGACGTCGCCAGCCACGGGCACCAAAGCCACCAAAGGATTCCACCGTCAAGGGATGTGCCTGCAAGCGTACCTCTTGCATTAAGAATTACTGTGACTGCTATCAGTCAATGAGGACTTGCCATGAGTACTGCAAGTGCCTTGGTAAGACAATCAGAAAGGGTTATCCATTTTCCCCAAAACCATTTCCAGCTCTACCTACTCCACCACTCAGATTGCAAGAATACTGTGGAGCGTCCCGTGGTTACCGACAATCCGCCAAAGAACTCCAGAAGGCAGCGTGCCTCGGCCGTGGCTGCCAAAGCCGAGGCTGCAGCCGTCAAGGCTGGCCTGAAGCCGGCTATCACACCGGTTGCTGTGGTTACTCCGGCCAAGGTTATCATACAGGGTAAAAGGAACCAGCCTGGCGATCAGCCCATCATTCCACTGGGAGTGCGCACAGCACCGAAGTCCACGCCTATGAAACTGCTGCCGAACAAGCCACGTGGTGGTATGCCACAAGTGCCGGTTACGTTGCAAATGCTACAGTCGCAGCATCAGTTGAAGCATTTACCAAATGAAGCTCCCCAGCATGTAGCCCCCAAGTTTCGTCCCGATCAGGATACGTTGATGAGCCAGGCCACCATGCCTGAGAGCCAGGCATGGAGTGGATCTCCGCCTCAGTCATCGGCAATGATCATCGCTTCGCCTAGTAGCTCCAAGCCAAAGGAGCCAGAGAAGGAGAACAAGGATGAGAAGACACGCAAGGAACTCAATCTGTTCATACAGCCCATCAATTCGACACTGCTACAGTGCATGATGGTCCAGGCCACAGAGGCGGAGCAGCTGGGATTGAATGAGATACAGGTGGGCCAACTGGTACTTTGCGAATTCGTCCAAGGCCTGAAACTCATTTACGCTACCTCCTGTGGCAAGAAGGCGGGACAGAAATGATTGCTATGTGATTGTATTTACGATTTACAAATAAATGCATAATTTTCAAATTAAGAATTAATCAAGTCTTTTGTGGCAGCCAAAACATAGCCCTGAGCTACCAGTCGGGCGGATGAAAGATCAGCTCCGTTACCAGCATGTCGCAGCTGTTCCTACGCTGTCCCCGACTCGATCCGGCTACTGGTGTGGTCTTGTGCCGCTCCAATGGCAGTTCATTGTCACTGTCGCTTTCACCCTCGGCCGTTGCCGCATCATCCTCCTCCTCTGTATCGGCCTCAGCCTCATCATTCGCAGGGCGTCGCTTGCGTCTGGCTCTGGTCTTTGTTGGCTTTGCAGAACGATATTTTTCCCAGAATTCTGATGGCTGTGCAAAGTCAATGTAGCTGGGAAAGCGCATGGCCAAAGCCTGGCACATGCTGTCAAAGGAATGTTGTAGTTCGGGGCTCATAACCGATTGAAGGTTTCTATGTGTTTCCTCCACATAACGCAGACAGCGCTCCAATTGTTTGAGCTGCAGATGGGAGGAATTTGAACTGATTCTAAACTGATTTCTATATCAAACTCACTGGCTCCTCCAAGTCCACACGTTGACGTCCACGTCCTCTCGCTGGGGGTGCTCCCGCTGCTGCTGATGTTGAAGGATTTGGTGCTGGTGGTGCCTCTGATTCCTGCTCACCTTCATCGCTGTTCTCACCATCGGGCCGGGCACCTCCTTGCTGTCTGCTTTTACCCTTGGTGAGGTAGCAAATGCGACGCATAATGAAGAGAAGGTCCTGTATGACGGCCAAGGCGTCGGGTGAACCCACAAATGCTTCATCCTTGCTTTTCTCTAAAAAGACAGAAACATCAGGATTCAATGGGAGACAGAAAGAGCTACCTTTAGCTTACCCGCCAACAGCTTCAGTTGTCCAAAGTACAGCAGCAACGTATTTTCATCTATCGTGGACATAATGTGGTTATATAGCAGTCGCCGACTTCTGACCATCTTCTGACCCTTCAGGGGCGACTGGTAGCGGGTATTAATCGGTTCCACACCTTTCTGATAAGCCTGCCCATTGAGATAAAAAGGGGATTCCTTGAGGCAATGAACAAACACGGTCTTCTCGTACAGCCTTTTGTAGCGTATGAAGAATGCATCCGCCTCGCGCGCCACCTCAGCGCTATCGTCCACCAGGGCGGAGAGCATGGATATGAGAATTGGTCCCTTTAGCTTAATAATGCCCGAGAGTATCACATCCTTCACACAGCGGAATGTGCGCACGCGGGTCATGGCAAACTTTGAGTGCATCTTGGCTAGAATGCACTGGAAATTGCGTTCCAATATGTTTGGGTGTTTCTTCCCCAGGTCATTGAGGGCTATGAGTGTTGTATTGATGATTTGCGGCCGGTCGTTCTTAGTCAATATGATCTGATATAGATCCGATACTTCGTTGGCCAGACGATGCTCCCGCAGACACAGGCGGCCCGCTATCACGATCATCCAATTGGTCATGCGTTCGTTTTCCGTATCGAACTGGGACTCTCTCAGCTTGGTGCACTCTCGCAGGTACTTGAATACGATCTCCTTGATGCGTGTGTCCACGGTCAGCGGCAGCATTACCAATATTTCCGTGTATGTGCCCAACAGGCACTGCAAACGCGTGTGTTCCTCCTGGAAATTGGTAGCGCTGGCCAGAATGCCTTCCGTGAGATCATCCAGTAGAGTTAGCTGCCAGTTTGGAGAGGCATCTGAGTCAGCGGACGGCCCCTGACTGTCGGACAAATGGTGGATTTGATTGATCAGATTCACGGCACTCGAAATGAGACCCAGCCAAATGTTGCCCGTGCGCAGGGCCCCGAGAAGACGCTGAAAGAGCTGATTCAATGCCGATTTGGAGAAGTTGGACAGACAGCAAATGATTAGCTGCAGGGCCAGCACTTGGTTGGCCTTCATGTTGTACGAGGAGAGGCCATTGAAAATGACAATCAAAGCATCCATGTTGTTGGTGATGCGGCTGGAGAGGAGCAGCAACAGGGCCCAGGCATCGGTGTCCGTTGATGTGGATAAATGCGATATGATTACATTTATCAGCTTGGGTCTGTAAGGAATGGAAGATTGTACAGATTCTAGGGTATTTGTTTGAGGAAACCCTTTGCTTACGTGACAATAGTTTCCCTTTCCAACAGCATAGCGAATCGCTCCTGCAGATAGGCTCGCGGCTGTGTCATCATCAGCGTACCAACAATACGCCAGGGCATAAAATGCTTTGGTTCATTCGAATACTCCATGGGTTGGATGTTCTTCAGAACAATCTGATTGAAACTCTGCAAAGAAACGAACATTGATAGAGAAACTTATGGCTCTTTAGGGGACTACTCTCACCTGAATGGCTAGCTTTTGCAGAGCCACATCCTCATCGCCAAGCAGACACGCCCAAATCCGACAATAGACACAAATCAGAGCGAAACAATTGGAGTAGGCCTCCAGCAGGGTTTCCATCAATTCCAGCGCCGCTTTGCGTACCGATGCCAGTCGGTCCACGGCCAGCAAGGAGGTTTCTCGCACGAAATTCGTGTTGTAGATGATCAGAGGATTGACCAGCACCAGGCGTTCGAGCAGAGCTATGCCCGAGGTGCGGGCAAGCCCGTTGTCCGCATCAAGGAAGCGCTGGTAGATAATTTGAGGCAGATTCTTCACCTCAGCCTCCAGTTGTTCATGTCCCTCGAAGCTGTAGGCATACTGCAGAATGTCCGGCTTCACGAAGCGCAGTTCATGCTGTTCGGCAGATGGCTCGGCCAGCGTCTCCACATCCGTGGCATCGAACTGAACGAATCGGATGCTCTCCTCGAGTATTTTGCTGGTCGTGGGCGACCCCTGCTTCAGGGCCGAGATGAGCACTTGACAGGCCTTGCGGCGCACGCTGAAGGTTCTGTCGTTGAGGCAACGCATCACTTCAGCCAGCAGCGGCACTTCGCGTGGCACTTTGGAGACATCGTAGCGAAAAATGCTCCACTCGACTTCGGTTTGTTGGAGCAGGATGCGTTCGATAAGATCTAGGGCGCGGGTTTGGATGCCCACCGCATCGTCTGCCTTTACGGCTTCCAGGAGGAAATCTGCGCATGATTTATTGCACTTGGCATAAAGAATGCTGTCGTATTTGGCCGCATAGCCAACGGCAATCTTCTCATCAGCGGTTTTCCACTGCAAAACAAAATGGCACACTTATTCGTTGAATTTTGCTTCTAGTCTTTCGTACTTACCGCCTTCAGGGGATTCGAAACAACGCACTTAATATACACGTGCAATATTTGGGCTAATATGTCGGGATATTTCTCTATAAGCTGAATAAACCAATCCGATATGTGCTCGCCACTCTGCATGTGCCCGCCCCGTCGCCCGCTGCCAATGTTCTGGGGGCTGTCCGTGAATATGTGCATGGGGAATGACTGTCGCATTAATAAATGCAGTGTGTCATAGACATCGCCATTGTGCTCGTTGGCTATTTCGCCAAATAGTTCGTAGCATTTGGCGTGCAATGCGGGAGCACCTAAAAAGCGTTACAAATTTAAATCAGTAATCGATAGCAAAACAGCTGACATTTGCAGAGTTGCCACCTCGCCATTAAAAACTAGAGGCAAGAAATTAATTAGAATAATTGTGAAATAATCAACAATTTGTTTGTTTACAGAACTCATGCTAAGCTTATTTCTGCAAAATGGAGGGGCCGCATCCAAAGGGCAGTTGCGGTACGTGGCGGCACGCCTCCTGTCCACAACAACAACAACGTCAACGCCGACATCGGAGCACTTTGATATCATCATCGGAGGCGGCGGTCTAGTCGGCACCACCTTGGCTGCAGCTCTGGCCAAGAATGACACACTGGCGGACAAGAAGGTGCTGCTCCTGGAGGGCGCTGGCGAATTTAGGGGCTTCGATGCCAGTGGTTCGTACCAGAACCGTGTGTCGGCCATCAACAAGAACTCCATCGAGCTGTTCAAGTCGATTGGCGCTTGGTCGCATATTGAGGCCGCCCGCTACAAGCCCGTGAAGCAGATGCAGGTGTGGGAGTCCAACAGCGATGCGCTCATCCAGTTCCAGCACGACAACTTTGCCAGCGATGTGGCCTGCATCATCGAGAATGATTTGATCCTCGATGCGGTCTATGCACGCGTCCGAGAAGCCGCCAATGTCCAGGTCCTAAACAAGGCCAGGATCGAGTGTGTCCGTTTGCCCAAGGATACAAACGGCAGCCACTCTGAGCTTCAGCTCCAGGATGGACGCTCCTTCTCATGCGAACTGCTTATTGGCGCCGACGGAGCCAACTCGATTGTGCGCAAGGAAATGGGCGTCGATGTCTTCTCGATGAACTACGATCGCATGGGTCTGGTGGCCACTCTGGAGCTGAGCGACGATGCCTGCGACAACTCTGTGGCCTGGCAGCGCTTCCTGCCCAATGGACCCGTGGCCCTGCTGCCCCTGAACGATAAACTCAGTTCCCTGGTGTGGAGCACCACAGTGTCGCAGGCCAAGCATCTCAAGGACCTGCCCCCGGCGGAGTTTGTGGATGCCCTGAACGAAGCTTTCTGTCGTCAGTATGCGCGCGTGGAGCTGGCTGACAAGGCTGTGCAGGCGCTCAACTCCTTCTTCGGCCAGCAAGCCGCCAAACAGCAGCTGCAGTATCCTCCCCGAGTGTGCGGCGTTAAGGATGGCTCGCGAGCGACCTTTCCACTGGGCTTTCTGCATGCCTCCTCGTATGTGTCCAGTGGTGCCGCACTGGTGGGCGATGCCGCACATCGCGTGCATCCCCTGGCCGGCCAGGGTGTCAATCTGGGATTCAGTGATGTGCGCTACCTTGTGGAGTCTCTGGCCGACGGCGCCTATGCCGGCTTTAAGCTGGGCGACAAGCAGCATCTGATCAAATACGAACGCAAGTGCCTGGCCAAGAATGTGCCCATAATGCTGGGCGTCCATGGCTTGCACAAGCTCTACTCCACCGAGTTCAGTCCCGTGGTTCTGCTGCGAAGTCTGGGCGTCCAACTCACACAGAATTTGCCACCCATCAAGAACTTGTTCATGAAGGGGGCCATGGGTTAAAAAAAAACGGGAATTTAAATTTTAAGCGTTTACAGTTTTTATAGTACGAAATAAAATCGAGTTAATCGAGTCAATGGTCAGGTTAAAAAACACTCCTTAAGAGCTATGTCAATGGTTTCGGCTTAATCATCAATTGTTCAGATTAGATACTACAGATATACTTTGTGCAAGTAGTTAAAGTTTTCATTTGTGGGGGAACTTGCTTTGTGGGACTATCTTTTTGCATTCCCTTGCTCGGAATGTTTTCAATGAAAAACTTTTGTTTGTTTTGCAATTCTCCGGGATTCACTTTCTCAGCATTCTCTTGAGCGTTTTGAGTCTAGCTTCAATTGTACTCTACTTATGTTTTAGCAATTCTCTGGCGTACTCTTTTCAGCCTTCGCTTGTGCGTGTCGGGCATCAATATGCCGGGTAATGGGAGAGCACTGGGAGCTAGGAATAATTATTAATTTTTCTATGTTTACACACATTTTGTACTTCCACAAAATATTCATATCTAGAGAGCAGAACAAAAACTTAAAGCTAATTTTTGATCATTCGTTGCTGAATAGTTTTCTGTTGGTGGATACGCTTTAAGGCACGTTTTTGGCTTTTTCTTTTAAGGATAACTTAATCTACAAACATTTGGCATGCTAAAATTCTTTGAAAATTCGTTAGAGAGCTTCTTAGAGCTCTTGGTGGCTTTTGCCTGGCAGCACATTAAGCAAACTCTCGCCCAGCTTTAACGGCTGCTCGAGTATGCCCTCGTCGCCTTTTTTGTCAAACACTTGCTCGCGATCGCTCTTCAGACGCGCCACCCCCTCAGTGGTTTGCACATTTATTTGCTGGGAGTCCTCCGTGTCCGAGATGTAGCCAGATTCTCCGGTGTAGTGTATGGGGTAGAGCAGCAGTGGGGCGGCACTCAGGGCGATAAGGTCGCGCTTCTTGAAGGCAGCGGCCCAGGTCTTGTTGGGATGGCGATCGAACATCACCGGCAGGAACTCATCAACGGGTATAAGTTTCTCGAGTGGTTTGGCCGCGAGCAGTTTAAGGGCACCTTGCTGAGAGAGGACATAGCCGAGGGTCCAATAGGAATAGCCGGCATGAACGAGACTGTCTGCATCGGCCACCCACGGCTCGCTCTCCTCCTTGAGACGCTTGCGTCCAAAGTAGATGAGATCGTACTCCACCACGCTCCTGGCCTGATTGAGTACCCGCACGGCATTGGCCCGGAAGTACGGATCGAAGCGTATGTCGTCCTCGAGGATGAGCACTTCCTTCAGTTCGAGCTGCACCATTCGCACCCAGATGCGGTAGTGGCTGAGAAAGCAGCCAATCTCGCCCATGGTCATGGCACGATGATGGTAGGGATCCTCGTAGCCGGGCAGGAATCGTATGCCCATTTCATGCACACGATCCGCGTTGAGTTCCCTGCCATCGACGGCGGGAAAGTGCTCCACCTGCAGTCCGATTTCCTCAAACAGATTCTCCATCTTTTGCCGTCTTTCCGGCCGACGGTCCAGATTGATCATAAAAATCTGATCGAGGGTCAGCTTTGTTTTTTCGGGTTTCGTGATTAGCTGCTGAAAGTAGTCCAGGACGGGCGGCACTGCACCCAAATCGCTGACCATGCTGGATCTTAGGTTTAATAGCATTTGCAGGTCCTGGTCGAGGGTGTCCCCTGGCTCCAGCGGCTGCAGGATGTAGCCAAAGACCAGCTCATTGCAGACATATAGGGGAATGCCCGAGCTATTGGCAGACATGGCAAACACTATGATATCATCCGCGGGGCCGTCATAGAGCGGTTCTATCTGTTCATTCTGCTGCATTTCCCGCAAACGCTGGCGATCAAAGGTGAGATTCCGGGACCCCTTGTGGTTCATGTCCACCAGAACGGCCGTATGGACCATGGGCACCGGGAAGCTGCCCTGCTTCTTCACATGATAGATCTCCTTGTACTCGTCGGTGCGCTGGTAGTAGTACTCCTCCGTCATGCCGCACCAGAAGTTCGAGTACAAGCTCTCCGACAGCAGCATGGGCGCCACAATGGGCAGCCTTAGGGCTGTGAGCGTACGCAGTGCCTGCTGTGATGTTAGCAAAACATCGGCGTCGAGGAAAAACACAAAGTCAGCCCAAATATCCCGCCCATAAGCGAAAGCCTCCTCTTTCAGGGCAATCACATGCTTGAAACGCGACACCGTCCAGTCGTAAGGGGAGCTCTCGTTTTGATAGCCATGCGGCCCTTCGCTGTCAAAGTCGTAGTTCACGCTGTGATAGAGATCTCCCGAGTGTTTCAGCCACTGCTTTAGCAGATCAATGCTGTCATCGCTGCTGTGATCACAGCGAAGCCTGGGTTGAGAGCAAATGGGTTGAGAGAGAGACTCATTCAAATGTTGTGTTGCTTACCAAAAGGCTATGCGTTCCTTGGGATAGTCCTGCTGCTCCAAGTAGCTGAGGAACATGGGCAGAATGTGCGCCTTGTTGCGCACCAGCAGTGCCACCAGCACTGTCGGTGGCTGATACTCATTTTCCACAACCTCATCCTCGCCGTAGATGCACACAAAGGCGCAGGCCAGGAGGAGGCCAAAAAACACTTGCTTCTTCAACATTTCCACGTCATTAGATGCCACACATTGTCGGTGGTTCAAGGAGGTCACACTCGCACACGCACTATCTTCTGCCACACAGCGGAAGCAGCGTCTGTTCTGTTTCGACTGATGCTGGAGAATAAGAGAATTCTCTAATCTATTTATAAACGACGAGCGTTAAATGTCCCAGCGGCGAGCGTCCAGCCTCCCTCCTCCTACCCCTCCTCCAGCACAACAGCAATATGACGCTCTCTCAGGCGATAACATATCTATCGCTCTCAAACTGCAACAAAACAGCTGTTTTGTTTGTGGGACGTTGGAATTTTGAATGTATTCAGGATTCTAGAACAGAAGTAAGTGTACATATATATTCCTGACCCGCATGAAACAGAACAGATATGGTTTATAGTTTGTATAGCTCGCTTGTTTTGCCCGATTTTAGAATACGGCTCTTGTGTTTTTTCTTTGCGCGGCATCAACAGGGATTTGAGATTACCCTGTTATCCAAAAATATTTGTTGTGATACAACTTGACATTTTAATCACAGAAAAAGAGCGTTTCCCTTGCGAATTTTGAAAGAAAAATGTAATCCGTTCAATGAATCAATTTTCTATCAGATTGGCCAATTTGTAAAAGTTTAATTTTATTACATAATTTTTAGATGAAAAAATGTCTAACAAAATTATTGGAACACTTAGTTTTTAATGGGCCAATGTCTTGTAATATGCCAGATGGGCATCTGACCATCACTTTTTTTTTGGTTAGGGACAAGGGTTCATTTCGCCCTTAGTTCTAGCTCTGTTAAACCACCCAATTATTAATATTAAAGTGCCTGCAATGGTCGCCAAATTTCATAGATTAAATACATGAGAGAAACCAACGAATCTCAGAAGAAAATAGTTCAAGGCAATTCGTAAGCTTAGATTGAGCTGAGAATTACAAAGAGATGCAACCGACTTGTATTCGGAGCATCGTTCAGCTGCTCAAAAGGGCTTCAAAATGATGAATTTCGAAACGCACAAATGCTTTCTTTTTGTATTTTTCTATGGCTCTGAGTTTTATTTGATTAAAACAGATCATTTTGTTTCTCAAAACCAAATAAACATTTGAAATCACAATTCTTAGATCCCTCTTCTTGCATTATTTTAAATGAAACCCTCAAGATTTCGTTAACGTGCAGAGGTGTTGGGCACCTTCTTGCTCAACATTGATGCTCGTTGTCAATTGATTAATGTAACAAATATTTATTTCTTTTCAACAAAGGGGTAAGAAGTGTATTCCCTATGCAGTCGCCGCATGGGGCTTGGCATAGCTGGGGAAGTTCAGTTTCAGACCCTCTTTGGCCTCAAAGAACGTATAGGACAGGGTGATGGTGTCGCAATGCTCTAGCGCCGGATCTAGGGTAATTTCGGGGTCAATGTAGAAGAAGACGGGCATGTCCACCTCCTCGTGAGGGTTTAACTGCTGCTCCTCGAAGCAGAAGCATTGGATTTTGTTGAAATACGCGCCAGCCTCAAAGGGGATCACATTGTAGGTGCTGATGCCAATCACGGCCTTGTCCGTAGGATTTCTGGCCGTGTAGAAGGCCAGCGCGGTCTCGCCGGGCGCCACTTTGATCTCGTATTGCTGCGGCTTGAAGTTCCAGCGCATGGAGGAGCCAATGTCCGCATTGAAGCGTATTTTGAGCACACGATCGTTCACCTTCACCATATGCTCCACCTTTTCGGAGTCGTGACCCTGCGACGTGGTGCCTCCGTAGCTGTATGCTTGGCAGAAAATGCTGTACAGCGGCACTGCCGCATAGCTCAGACCCACAATGAGCACTCCTCCGGCTGTGATGTAGTACAAAGTACTCTTGAGCCGCAGCTTGCGCGCTGCTGCGCCTGGTGAATCGGTAGATTTCATCCGGAAGCGGCATGGCAAAAGTTGTTGTGGTCGTTGGCCACTGTGATGGGGCGTGAAGGTGCTCCTCAGCAGCTGCTGGCACTGCCCACGCAGGCCGGAAAGGGTGCGCAGCATTTAAAACTATTCGTCCGGGGTGTTCAGGAAGTAAATCCTAGTTGTTTTCATCTAAAAACCACTGTTTGTATAATCTACCTATGCACTTGCTACGTTTTAGTGAGTACACACCAAGTTATATCAGCTGTTTGGCAATATACATTAAAGTATCGGACTATCGATTGTCATTTGGCGCGCAACCATTGGGCAAGATTAGACTTAAATTTTTGTTTTGAACTTACGTGCATTTTGATAGCCCTTTTGGAAATTCATGTAGAGAATCTCCAAGAGACAGCGGATAATCTTGTCCCGTAGCTTGAGATGCTCCTTGAAGTGCACATAGCGAAAGACCAGCTTCAGATCATCGCAAATCGTCAGAAAGAGCATCCAAATGGTGTCGGCAAAAACGCTGCGGTTCGCATTCTGCTCCAGCAGACTAAACAGCTTCAGCAACTGCTCGATGACGTCCTCGTCAAAGATCGCATAGCGCTTGGCTCCCGGAATGGTGAGCGTTAGCAGGTACGTGCTGGCCGCATTCAGGGACAGCTGCAGGTTAAGCTTCTGATTGAGCACGTCGGGAGACGCTTCCAGAATGTGCGCGGGCGGAATGGAGATGCTCACGACGGTGTAGATGTACGAGAGAAATGCACTGGCCGGAGAGACGCTTATAATGTTCGACCAGTTGTCGTGGGTATTGCTATAGCTACTGTTGCTGTCGTGGCGCATCGAACGAATAACGCTTGCCAATTCGCGCAGGATCTGCAGTTGGCTCTCCTGCTGGCGGCCGTCTTGGCCACACATCGGCAATGACCAGAACTGGCGGGCGCGCTCACTGCCCTCATCCGCACTTGCTGCTTCGCCGTACAGCCACTCCTCCACATCGACCCACTGCAGGCTCGGCACATAATTCACGCTTAAATCACTAAAAATACGGTTCAACTCAGACATTGTTTACATTTTTCTGCTACTGGCACTATCGATAGTCGATACAGCGACACGAAACAAAACAGCTGTGAAACGAAAAACATATCGAGTACACACTGATGCTGGCGGTTGACATTCAAAGTGGGGAAGAGGAGGAAAAATGCAGAGTTGATATATTAATGCATTTACTTGGCTTATTATTATGCAATTTTGTTGTTTTGTGGATACAGATACATACTTAATTTCTAATTCCACTGCAGTGTGTGTAGCAACCATTGACAGCTAGAAATCCAACGAGGCGGAGGCATTGGAATTGATCAACACGTTGGACCCGCACTTGGGCGAGGCAATAATATCATCAGCAGCCATCGCTGACTGTGAATTAGCAGGGGACTCCTGCAGCTCTGGCGGCAGATGGAACCGCTCGATAACGAACTTCTTGCGGCGCAATTTAAAGGCCAGATCCGTGGTCTCCGGCATATGCACGGCAAGGGTGTTCAATGCCGACATCTTGTGCAGATGCAGCAGGCCGCTGTATTCCTTAAAGGCGGGGTGCGTCTCCCGCTCGGAGCCGGCAAACGACTCCAGTTCGATGGCGTAGTCAACCAGTTGACGGATCTTGGGCACTAGACTGGCATCGTACTTGGCAATCAGATGCATGGGCATCGTGATAAGGCAAACCGAGTTGCAGTTGCGCACGCTGGCCATGAGCAGAGTCAGAAACTTGAGCATATCCTCGCCAAAGTTGTCGTCGTACCACAACGGTGAGCCCAGCGAGGTGAGGCACACGCGGCACAGATGCTTCTTGGTGCCGGTGATGAAGCTCTCGTCGCGCAGCTGCTGCTGAATATCGTTGAGCAGGCCGCCATAGCGGGTATTATGGAAGACATTGTGGGGCCAAACGGCTGGCTGGCTTCCCGTTTTCGTGCTGCTGGTGACGGTTGTGGTGTTGTTGGCAGTGCTATCGACGGTAGCTGCGGCGTTATTGTCCAAGGGTTTAATATCAGCATCGGCTACGGGCTCGACATTGGCTTCGGGTTCGGTCTCGACAGCCGCCGACTCCTCGCCCATAGCCTCGGCCATGGGCTGCTGCTCCATGGAGATGGAGGGAGAGCTGCTCTTGGATAGTTCTCCATCGCCAATCCAGTTGTCTTTGTGGCTGTCATCCCAAATTACGGTGTTGGCATAGTACAGCATTCGCGAATCCATCTGCTCCATCAGATTGAAATGATGCCCGATCTTGGCCGTGGCATGCTCCGAGTTCACCAACGGCAAATCATTGTAGCGCCAGGCAATCCTCAGTCCGTTCTCGCCTGTCTCGCCCGCTTGCCCACTGGCGATCTGCTCCTCGCGCTGCTCCACCTCGGTCAGGGGACGGGGCAGACGACGCAACATTTCGGCGGGGATGTCGTCCAGACTGCCGAGAAATATTTCCTGCTTGGAGAGCACACCCTCCGCCAGGAAGTACTTGGCCAGCACCTTGGCATGGGTCATGAAGCGATCCTCCTCAATCAGGCAGATGGAGCCCACGGGCAGGCCGCCGCCGATTACCACGTCAAGATACGGATTACCGCTCGATGTTATTATCTGGGCGGTGTGGGGGCTGGTGCGAGTGCCCGGGATGGGCTTTTGCACAGTGCGTTTGCGAAAGCTGGTCATCTTTTCTTTTGTACAATTAGAATTAACCTTCTTTTTTAGCTTCTCCTATTCGTATAAACTTGTGCAGCCAGTTGGGGTACTAATAATATCGATAGGCCGCCCAGCTGTTTGTTTTGTAACCGGATGCATTTGAGATGACACTATCGGAATAGGGGTACTATTGGGAGCAGAGGTACTATTGCGCAGAGATCTTCTTCTTCCTTTTTGCGGAAGAAGAAACTTTTGAAACTTTTTATGTAAACAATGCAATAAAAAGGACTTCTGAAAACTTGCCGATCTTGTAGAAAATTTATGCATCTATCGGATGAAAATTATTTGTTTAGGGATGAGAGGTCCAACTAGCTAGTAATATTAAACGGAATATCAAAATCGAGGAATATCAACAGCCAATACAAACATATCAAAAGCGCAACGACTGTAGCTCGATACTATCATGTTAGTCTCAAAACCATCGATAGTAGAGGGAAATATCGAATTGGAAATTATAAATAAATTGGAATATATAAATATAGGAAAAATAAAGGAAAACAATTGCCAAATCTTTAACCCTGCCATGGCCACGCACTCTGAGGTGGCGTCGCCGCAGATGACGGAGCAGTTGGACAACGAAGAAGTGCGGGAAATACTGAAAAACACCACCGATCTGCGCCAGTACTCGCGTCAGATTGAAAAGGAATTCAAAGAAGTGGAGAATAAATCCATCGAGGGTATACATATTGGATTAAATTCCAAAGTTACAGACAAACTTTAATGATTTCTTTCAACATTTAGATTACATTGCCGAGTCCCAAAACATTGCGAATCTGCACAATCAAATCAACGACTGCGACGATGTGCTGGGACGTATGGAGAACATGCTAATGAGCTTCCAGAGCGTGCTGAACAACATTAGCACCGAAATCACCCAGTTGCAACGGAAGTCCGTGTCCATGTCGCTGCAGTTGACCAACCGACAGTCGGTGAAGGCGCAGCTCTCGCAATTCATTGAGGACATGGCCGTGTCCGAGGAGATGATCAACATCATCATGGAGACGCCAGTAACGGAGCGTGATTTCAGCAGCCAACTGAATGTGCTCAATCACAAGCTGTCGCTGGTGAAGGAACTCAGCTTCAAGGAGTCCAAGTCCACCAGCGATGTGAGCGATGTCCTGCACAAGCTGCGTCTCCGGGCCATGACAAAGATACGCAGCTATCTGCTGGAGCAAATATACAAGTTCCGCAAGCCCATGACCAACTATCAGATACCACAGAATGCGATGCTTAAGCACAAGTTCTTTTTCGAATTCATTCTGTCCAATGAGCGGCATGTGGCCCAGGAGATATGCAGCGAGTACATCGATACCATGGGCAAGATTTACTATAGTTATTTTAAGGTAGGCATCCATATCATGCAAGAGATTGTCTCCCACAAACCTAATCCTAATTGCCTTTGCAGAGTTATTCCACCCGTTTGACGAGTCTCAAATTCGAGGAATCCTGCACTAAGGATGATCTGATGGGCATTGAGGACAATGCCTCCAAGGGTTTGTTCTCCAAGACCACCAGTCTGAAGCACAAGAGCACCATCTTCACCATTGGCAAGCGCGGCGACATACTTAACCAGCAGCTGGAGGCGCCCATAATTGTACCCCATGCCCAGCTAAAGAATCGCGTGAGATTGTCAAATGTTCCCAGACTGGTCCTTTGAAATTAAAGATGATTTTTATTTCTTCCAGTACACAGCAGAGGCGCTGTTCCGCTCCGAGCAATATGCGCTGGTGGACAATGCCTGTCGGGAATATCTGTTTGTCACCGAGTTCTTTATGGTGCGTGGCAGCCAAGCACAGGATTTGTTCAACCAGATTATGGGCAAAACCTTAACGCTGATGATTGTAAGTAACATCTGCTATGGGTCCAAAGGAATTAATGTTTATTTTGGGACTGCATAGAAAAACCTGGACACCTCTATACACGATTGCTATGACACCATAGCCATGTTCCTGTGCATCCATTTGATATTCCGCTATCAGCTGATGTGCCACAAGCGCTGTGTGCCTGCCCTCGATAAGTGAGTTTTATCTTTTGGGGGCATATCTAGAAACCGATTTAATCAGCGCTTGTTAACAGATATTGGGATTCGCTGCAATCGGTTATTTGGCCACGATTAGAGCATGTTTTTCGCCTAAACATACAGAGCATCCATGACTGTGATCCCACCAAATTCAACAAGGAGTTGGGACCGCACTATGTATGCCCTCCTATCCGATTGATGCCTATGCCATATCACAATAGCCTTTTCCTTGCAGATAACCCGTCGCTATGCAGAGTTTAGTGCCGCCATTGTGGGCATCTCGGAGCATTTTCCCAACGAGCTGGTCAGCCGTCTGCTCTTGGAGCTGCAGAGTGAGGTGGAGTGCTTCATTTTGCGCATGGCTGCCATATTTCCCACACGCAAGGATCAGCTCATTTATCTCATTAACAACTATGACCTGGTCCTGGGCGTGCTGATGGAGCACACTCGCGACAACTCCAAGGAGGCGGAGGCCTTCCGCGAGCAACTGAACGCCCGCAGCAACGAGTATGTGGAGGAAATACTGGCCCCACACTTCGGAGGCCTCATACAGTTCGTCAAGGAGTGCGAGCACTTCTTTGAGAAGGAGCAGATGGATGAGCTGCGCAAGCAGGAGCGCCGCAGCCTTGCTCTGGTGGCCAGCTTCTCGGCCAACTGGAAGAAATCGCTGGAGGAACTTAACCGCGAAGTACTTTTGTCATTCCCCTCGCTGCTGACAGGATCACAGCTGCTGCAGCTGGCTCTGGCCAGCCTAGTGCAATACTATCATCGCTTCCACAAGCTGCTCACGCCCAATGCGCGCGCCCAGTTGACCAACATCCATGTGGTAATGGTGGAGATAAAAAAGTACAAGAGTAATTACTGAGAGAGAGGAGGGAGGAGCCTTTAATCAGTGTTATCTGTATGTGTGTGTATGCTGAATAAAGCTATAAAATATTTAAGTAAAAACTCCTGCTTAATCCTCGTCTTCGAACATCATCTCGACGAGATCTTTGTTGGAGCAGCGCTCGCCATCAAGGCGCTGCGGTTGCTTCCAGCGCAGCAGCGTGGGCAAGAAAATCAAATGTGTATTGGGATCCTTGCGGAAGGGACAGTTCAAATCCTTCCAGCTAAACGACAAAGAACTCGAATTAGTTTATTCTTGACGCTGGGTAGAGATAAGGCAACTCTTAATTGCCGATTAGCCCGCATTGAAAGCGACCAGCGATAGCCCGGTAATTGCTTTTATCATGAATATTCTGGGCTATGCTATGTATTTCATCACATTATATACTTACTAGGCGCGCTCTCCCACATCCACATGCACAAAGTGCGAATTGTCGGGGGCCTTCTTCAAAGCATCGTGTATCACCGGCTCAGCTGCAATAAAAAGTTGCGTCGTTTGGGAATGAATAAAGTAATTGAGTAGTCGGCGGTAAACCACAAAGGGGCCGGGCTGTGCCACTAACCATACAGTATGGTTAGTGGCTGTGACTCACCCTTGACACAGTATGGGCACCAGCTTTCGCCGTTCTCATCCTTGCCGCCGCTGAACAACACATGCACCGCATTGTTGCCGGTTTCCAGCTCCTCCATCTTCTTGGCGAACTCCTCCCAGCCCTTTACGTTGTGTGTGACGACCATAATTTTACTGGTATTTGCTTTGCTAACACCGACCGCGTATGAGCGTCTGATTAGGCGACCAAAAAACAACTTTGTGAGCGACGTGATGGAGCACTTTTAACTGGCTTTCGGATGAAATTTTCTTGTTTTATTTGTTTTTATTGTAGTGCGATAGGCCGATGACAATTTCTAGAGATGTGAGTGGCTGCTAAGTTTTCAATATTTTTGTATAATCTTCATGGCCTTGCTATCGATGTATCGATAATAATAACAGCTGTTTTCAATTATTAATTCTTATAAAACTGCTATTATTTACTCTCTTGGCCATTGATTTTGGTTTAAACAATGTCACGATTAGCTTTATTGCGCAATTTAGTCTTCCATAGGCAGAAACTGCTGCCCAAAGCAGTGGCGCGTCTGCAATGTGCGGCATCGTTGCATATGACCCGCTGCCTGAAGCAGGAAGCGACGCCCGGTTTGTATTTGATTAAATGCAGTTATCTTTACGTTAATCAATCCCTTATTAATGCATTCAGGCAGTGGTGGAGGCGCTCTACAGCAGTCCAAGGGTGGCACCGATGTGTCCACGGATGTGAGGCCCATTGGCGAGAAGATCAAGGAGAACACCAAAACGGCCAGCTATACGGCGATAATTTTGGCAGGTCTGGGTGTGACCGGCATCATGTTTTACGCCATTTTCCGCGAGCTCTTCTCCAGTGAAAGCCCCAACAACATCTATGCCGATGCCCTGAAACGTGTGGTTGATGATCACCGGGTGCAGGATGCCATTGGAGCACCCATCAAAGGCTTTGGCGAGACATCGCGTCGCGGACGTCGCCAGCATGTGGCGCACTCCAGCTACGAGCGACAGGGAAAGCCACATATGAGGATGCAGTTTTATGTTCAGGGCGTTAGGAACAAGGCCACCGTGCAGCTGGAATCGAGAAGGGTAGGAGGAATCCATTTATTACTTTTCATTTATATATATGACAATCCATCCGGTTTTTCACAGTCTTGTACAGGTAAACTGGAGTATCGCTATCTGTTTGTGCAATTGGATCATTATCCCCGTACCACCATTGTGCTGGAAGACAATCGCGCCCTTGATTCTATACCCGAGCCAGAGACTGCCCATGCCACATCTTCTTCGTTTGGAAGCCTGGCCCTTTTGTCCAATAGTCAGGACAAATAGGGGATTTATTATTCGGTTCTGTTAACACTTCTGCACTGCACTTAAATTCTCTGTATAGTTGTTATATTTATTATTTGACTGACAATGAAAATCCCGTTGGAAAAATCCAGTTGTAGCCCTCACTCGCCAATCGAGAAGTTGTCCATTTCCAGAATGGCGCCCGACTCGTGTCAGTAGAGCTTCTTCCACGGTATGATCTCCCAGGAACGAATGATGTGGCGTCCAAAGAGGAAGTCCTTCAGCTTGTTCATGATGTAAAAGGAGATGCCAAAGAATGAGGCAAAGTATAGCCAGAACTGTCCGAGGCGCTCCCAAATGCTCAGATGATAGCGAGCCGGCACCTGCAGCACATCCAGCTCCAGCTCGATGCTCAGGCCAGGCTCCAGGCGCGGCGATGTTGGCCGGTAGTAGGTCTCCTGAATGGACAACTGGAAGTAGGCAGGATTGGCTTTAACCTGGGCCATCAGCGATTCCATCTTGTACTGCGAAATGTCCGCATGGCTGGCGTTCGTCTGCACATGGACGGGACGAAAGTTGGTCTTGATGTTGCGTCCCGGGAAGGGGCAGGTGAACTCCACGTACTGTTTTAGCTGCAGCTCACCCTTGAGTTGGATGCGACCGTTTCGAAAGCGTCCCGACAGCGGCAACTGGAGCTGATGCGACAGCAACGAGGGCGGCGACAGATCGCACTTGTGCTGCAGATGGGCGTCGAAGAAGAGCAGCAAATCAAAGTGCATCAGGCGTGCGGGAACCTGTTGTAGTTCCAGCTGGAAGTGTGCCCGATCTGTGACCGTATCATAATCCACATCCTCTGTCCAGTACCTGCTGGCTGAACAGCTATTGGTGTATTGCCTCATTTGAGCATTGAAATAGCTGAAGCTGCTGCACGCGACCAACGATTCTGCCTCGCCATCCTCTCCGGGCTCTGTGCTGCCCACGAATATATACTGGTAGTTGTACGCCACATTGGGCTGCTCGTACAGCACCCGGGACTCGGATATGCCCGAGTAAGGGCTGAGCAGCGAGACCAAGAGAACAGGAAGCATCACCGACAGCGCGATGAAGGCCAGGACGAACAGTGAGGCGCAAGAGCATAGCGAATTTTTGTACACGATCGCTGTGTTCGTCGTATGAAGCGGAATGAATCTCATTTTGGATGATACAACTTTGCACCCAATCCGGATTTCGCTCACTTCACTTGCTGTCCACTTTGACACTTGTCATTCGGTTGGTTTTTTGTGTGTGTCGTTTCGTTGCCTTGCTGCCTGGCAACCAACGTAGTAGGCCTTTAAACGGGGCGCCACACGGTGGTTATATCCCTTTGGCGGCTTGGCCAATGTACGTTCTATTGATTCCTACTTCAAGTAAAATCCGTTGTGTACATGACATTTTACATGCCATTTGTGTAAACTTTTTGGTTGCTTTTGCAAATACTTCCAACTACGGATAATAATAACATTCTGTATATTGATAAATAAGCGTTAAGTGTGCGCATTCATGCTTTATTTTAATTATGCTCTTCTGGTTTTTCCCTAAAGGATAACCGAATGAAATGTACCTTTTCGTTTCTGCATGTCTAAAATATGTATACTTTACATTTACATGTCCTGCAGTGCTGAAAAATGGTCTAAAAATATTTTAAAAATTTCTAATTGGAATAACGGTCTAAAAACGGTAATAACGGTCGAAAAAACCATTATTTACATTTATATGTCCTACAGTGATTAAATATGGTCTATACTAGAGAATCTTCAATTCTTAAATAATTATATAATGTTCTTCTTACCCCTATCACCTCTCCACCTGCTCTGGTAGGCATTCGTTTTTGTCTTGTTCAATTCCAAACAATGGAAAAGTGCTTCCGCATTAGGAATCCCCTTTCGCTGTAAAGAAGACGACTGCTGAATCGCTCTATTAGCCATGGACTCTCCAGACCTTAACCCTCCACCAGCCTCCTCCAGACTCCAGTTGAGGCTCAAGCTTATGCCGTGGCCCAGGGCACATCCGTTCCGTCTTTAAGCCGATGCTGAAAAAGTATTGATTGCACATAATTATAGGATTTCGATACGAGGCGAGCCAAGGGCCATGCCATCCATGCCGCCTTCGAGCTTTAGCTTGGAAAAAAGTGAACCTGCAAAAAGCCAGGGAAAAGGAGGAAAAAAACAGGAATAAATAAAGAACGGTCACATAACTTGACCAACATTTGCTCATAATTAAGACCGACAACTGGTTTCGAGCATTGCCTTCCTTCCCCTTGGTAAGCCCTGGTGCACTGGTGCCTTCGTGTGCACCGCATAAAAATCGGAAGTTGCAGCTTTGCATTTAATGCGCTTATTTTAAAGAGTGTTGAAAGCGGAGCGCACTCAAGAAAGACTATATAAATAAGTACAGACGAGCAAGAGGAGTTAAAAGCGAGAGAAACCAAATGGTTAAATAAATAAAATGAGAAAGTTAATGTAATGTTTGGCACAATTTTCCAAAGTTCTCATTTTGCTTTTGAAGCGATATTTTGGGAGAGCAGAAATTTATAAAGGAAAATGAGGTTCTTGGTTTTGAGACCGACAATAGATGCAAAATTATGATAAAGAAATACAAAAAAGGACATACATGAAAGGCACTTGGGAAGTGATGGACTTCTGATCTACTGGTCAAATCAGCGCTAGCTGTCTACGTCCGTGTGGTAAATTTGCAGGATGTCTATCATAGAGATTGGGTGATTATGTGTCTGGTATGTGTCTTTGCTTACCTGCTGTGCCACTAAAACTATTGAAGCTGTCTGTTTTTTGATAATTGAACAAGACGTAGACGCTGAGCTTTGAAAAGGCAAATAATTTCACAAAAGTACAATTTGTCTCTTCGAAAGACAATTGAACTAAATACTTTGAGATTTTTCCGCAAATCCAAGCTCCTAATGAAGCCTTTGCCCACCAACCATTGTCATTCCCTTGTCACCTTCGAAAGTTTCCAATGAAGTTTGTCGTAAGCCAACAAACTATGAGCATTTGATGGCTGTATTCACTTCACCTGCGGCAGCGTGACATGTCAGGATGGTAAGAAGTTTTTCTGATTTGTTCTTTGACTTTTGTTGTGACATGTGCTTTTCTGTGAATAATAAAAACGTGTGGGTAAAAATGATGGGCATGCCGTGTCACAACTAAGAAAATGTACGAGAAGGCAGCCGAACGATGAATAAATAAAAGTATATCCCGATTTGACAGCCACATACAGCTCTTTGACAGTTGGACAGAGTGGGACTGAAATTAGTTTGACTGATTCCGCATGGCAGATGGAGAGAGTCCCTCCATATCAGAACATCCTTTGAGGCAGAGTCCATTTCAAAGCATCCTTCCTGAACGCAAACCTTCCTTGGCTTTAAGCGGCTTAAGGATAAAATCCACGCAAGAAGAAAAGCTACAAAAAAAATCAATAATTTTTCTGCATTTTCTTTTTCCGCACGAACTTTTTTGGTGTCTCCCCCACATTGCCACGCCATTTTACAGAAAAATAAAAGGAAAACGCAAAAGAAAACGAAAAAGAGGAAAAGTCTGTATGTGGCAGCCAAGATGGCGGGCAGACAGACGGAGAGAATACACACGGACGCACGGATACGGATACGGACACAGTTGGAATTCAGCTCACGGCCCCAGGACAATGCCAGCTCTGGGCCCATATATCCTTTTTCAACGAAATTTAAGCTTTCACTCGTTTCGCGTACGTGACCGTGTTGCCACCAAGGAGCTGTTGAAGTGGCAAATTCGCACAGCGCCACCAGGGGGAGTAGCAGGAGAAGGAGAAGCTGGAGGTGGAGGCTGGTGGCTGGTGGCAGAGTAATGGCCATAAGGAATGGAGAGAAGGAGGGTTGGGGTCTGTGCGCCAGGTGGGGTGCGGGTGCTGGCAAAAAGTAGCAGTTTATTAGGCGCACCAAATTAACATAGGACTACTAATGACTGCCAAGGCAAACTAACTAAGCGGGAGAGAACCCACGAACTGCCATGAAAGGTGGGCCAGGTGGGAAAGAAGCTGTACCCAGGGAGTTCCCCTTGAAAATTGGAAATGTACTTCTTCGGAAGGCTGTTACGATGACTCCTAAAGATGGTATATAGTATTCATCCTTTTGGAACTGCATTGCTTAATGAATTATTTGGGCTGTACATATATTCCAAATCTTGAATAAATTTTCCTCCTTTTATTAAGAAGACTATCCTCAAACCTAGCTCAGATTTCTCTAATCACAGCTTTCCAGTAGCTACTTTATTTTTGAATACTTAAGCAATCCTTTAAAAATTCCACCGATCAGGCAGATTGCACCCCAACAAATAAATACCCATACATAACTCACCAATATCCGACGAGCATTCAACATTCCAAGCTGAGAAGTTGTTCAACGACAAATTATTACAACGCCTGCGCGGATTTACATTATTTTCGGTGGGTGTTCCCCTCTGAGCCAGGCCAACCCCCTTTTATTGGATGCTGGAATAAAAAGGGGAAATGTAACCGCTTTCCCTTAAGCTTTTGGTCTCTCCCTTAACTCTGTGGATCCCAGAGGAAATCAAAGGGAAACACAACGTATGGAGTGGAGTCTGTTGAAGTTGCTCTAATATTTATACAGAGTTCATGTTTCTGTCTGGGGGAGGCATGCGGGCATATAGAGAGAAATTCCCCTTATAACACTCAAGTGGAAATGTGTGGAACACTCGAATATACATGTGTAGGTACATATATGAATGTGGCATGGGCGTATAAGAATGGTAGGAGTGTGAGAACACACAGGCAGTTGTTGGGTTCCTTTCCTTTCGTTTCCTTTCGTTTCCTTTCCTTTCCTGAACTATATTTGACAATCAAGCCGCAAGCATATGTTACCCGATAATTTGCCGAAAGTTTTAATGAAAGACATGGGACTCATTTTTCCTCAGCTTTCTCTTTCTCCTCTCCATCTGTTTCTGTGTGCGTGAGTTAATGTGCTTTTTGTGTGTATGTGTGTGTGTGTGTTTCGTTCTGCTTCCTTTTTGTCGCCATTTTCTTGGTGTCTGTGTGGAAAAGCATATTTTGATGAGCCCGAGAAAAGTTACTGTCTTTCCCTTTTTCTCTGTGCATTTGTGTGAGTTTTTCCTTCCCATTCTTGCATGTATGTGCAGAATTCTCATTTCATAAATGAAAATTGTGGCGTAGTAGCCGCAGGCAACTGTAATCACGCCATATCTGTTGAAAGTTTACAACTTAGTTACTCGAAAGGCATTTTGGTTAACACAAATTGTAGGGGGGGATAGCACTCATTTTGATTTGTGGCTTTGACTATTAGAAATATTTTACCTAAATACTCTTCGGTTTGAAAATTGTATTAGCACAGGAGCAAGGATTCCAGAGACCATATTGTTATTAATTTTAAGTTAAAATAGAGAGAGAGAGCCTCCCCAGCCTTCACCAATATTAAATATTTATCTACATATGTATGTATATTAATTTCTAATTTTCGCAATTTCAAGCTTCTTTTGTAATTTTTCCCTTTGCGATTCTGGACCTGTTCGTTGTCGTTCACATTCAAAAGGCTCCTTTAACGAAGCTCCTTGTTATTATTAAACGAGAAGGCCATGTGTTCAAAGTCAACAAACACCTGCCTCGATTTATTATTACTCTGATGGTGTGAGATATTCAAATTCCGCATTCAACATTTGCGCCTTTTTGTCGCTCACTACATTGATTTGGACTTTGCTCAGGTTCGTTCAAGAATCTCACATAAATTTAAAGGTTCACAACAGAAATGAAAATACTATAAACCATCAACCATGAATTTGAGCGAGTCAATGGAAAAATTGAGCGATGTGGGCCGCCCAAATCCGAACTTCCAGCGACTGATTTCCTACATAGAGCCAACCTGCGAGGAGCAAGAAGCAAGCAGCGACGAGGAACAATTCGCGCAACCAGCTAACCCATCGACACCATCGCTTAAGCCATTGAAGAGGAAATCTTTCCAGGACTTTATCAGGGCCACTGTCGTGGATGTGGATCCCCGAACGGGTGGGCCCTGTCTGCGACACAAGATCATCTATAAGTCAACTCTCCGGAAAGTGCAGGCGCACTCCTCGCTGATGCGCCGCAAAAAGTTTACCAATTTGCATGCGTCCAGCATGCACCAGAAGTGTATACCGGAGGAGCTTCTGGAAAACAGCGAAAGCGAGCTGAAGGTGCTTTGGGTGCGCGGACAGTCCCCGGATAGCAGCTTCAACCTGACGGCTCGTCGGGTTCCGGCCGAACAATAACATAGAAAAAGAACCAAAGCGACAAAGAGCTGATTGGCGATCAACAA